ACCGACACCTTGGCTGGAAGAGAAGGCTGGCGGCCCATGACACGCCTAGACCGTCATGTGTGGTTGGATGGCCCGGTGCGGTGTCCTGCTGTGCAGGAGGCAGTGCACAGGGAGTTTGGAGGAGGACAGGGCGTGGGCTGGAGCGGGGCAGGAGGGGCAGGGAAGTGCTGTGGAGGAAGGAGCAGCTCTGACCGCTCAGAGAGGAGCAGGACTGGGGCACTGCAGAAGTGGGTTTTGTCTGCACCAATGCTGAGACAGACGGCCCTGCTCGCCTCTAACTTACCATCGCAAATAGCCGGCCTCCTGTGGCCCCAAGCGATCAGTCGCACAGTTGAACACCTAATGACACGTCTGTCATCGTCTTGCACTGATCTCTTGTTCCTCCACCTCCTCTTTGTCTGTCCCAGTCCTAGCTCCGGTCAAGACTCGCCCGGGACCCTCCTCCCTCCAGAAACCATCCCTGACCGCTCCAGCCCACGCCCCGCCATTCTCAGAAGTCCCCGAGCACTGACACTCTGAAGAATAGGCTACAGTACCTGGGTTGGGTGCTAGGCGTGTCATGAGCCTCCAGCCTTCTCTCCCAGCTTAAGGTCACGGTCTGGGGGCCGGGGGCCACAGCTGCTACCTCTTCAGAGTCTCCCGGAGCACACGGCGCTCGGGCCCCATGAGTGACCGTAAGCTGAGCTATCGACTCCATGAGGGCAAGAGCTTGCATTCCCGTCCCTGCAGCGTCTGCACAAGGCGGGGTCGATTGTAAAGCTCAGCCGGTCTTTATTGGTGGGGGAGTAAATGCCGGAGCCTCCCTGCCTGCCCAGTCGGGCGAGCCCGGGGAACACAGGACTCCTTTGACTCAAGATGCGCAGGCGTCTCGGGCAGGTGCCTCTCACCGGCAGCCCCTGTCCTACCCCGCAGCCAGAGAGGAAGGAGCTGCAGGAGGCTGGGCCACACGAAGATTCTAGTGTCTTAGCAATCATGTGACAGGTAGATTTCACGAAAGCCTGAATGCTCTCTCTGCTAACTACCTGCCCCCTGCCCTCGGGGCGGGCAGCTCTGTTCTTCATCTTGTTCCACCTCCCCCAGTGGGTCAGTGGGTCGGTGGTCGCCAGAGTGGCTGTGGGCTGGTTCCATTTGAGACACCCAGGTCTCAGGCATCTAGATCAGTTGGTTGTTAGAAGAGGAAAGGGTTAGCAGTTGGGGGGAGGAGCTGGGAACCCAGGGAAAGGGCTAGGAGGAAGAGGAAGCGCTACCTGGACACAGGCAAGTACTTTGCTCTTATGCATAAAGCTCATTTGAGTCTACAGCCACCGAAAATTCTGGAAAATGATAGCCATGCCATAACTGTCCCCCAGTGCACCCTTCTGAGGTGTGGTGGAGGTGGGGTGCAGAGAATGGAGGACTCCAATATAAAGACTGAGCTGTGAAGAAAGAATTAGGCATCACTAGGTCGATCTCCGTGGGGTTCGGGTCTCTGTGATGTTTCTGCTATTAACTACCACAATCCAAGGGACCTTGTTCGATATGATCATTCTGGTGATAGTGGATTTGCCCCCGTCTTCCTCACAAGTGGGAACTCGGGTCTGTGGGATGGAACAGAGTGTTGTAACCTGTGGCGAGCCACAGGGCGCGGAGATCACTCTCTCAGCCATCGGGGCCGTGGTGGGACCCTAGTATTATCCTATCAAAATGCACCGGCACATTAAAACACTGGGAACAGAGTTTTTGTTTGGGATGGTGAAAAAGTCCTGGAAACAGTGGTGATGGTGATGCGGCATTGTGAATGTGCTTAATGCCACTGAATTATACACGTCAAAATGGTTGACATGGTAAATTTCATGTCGTATATATTTTACCACAATAAAAAAAAATTATAAAAAAGATTAGGAAGCCCAGGCTCCATGGAGATTAGGAAAGGAGGAGGGGTCGCTGACCTGGGGGATAGATGAGTGTGAAAAGGACAGAGAGTTGGGGAAGAAATGTGTGGGGAGAAGGGGAGGTTGGTGCCTTCTCCCTCCCTCTCCCTCGGCCACCCGCAAATCCAAGCCCCGTCTACGCAGTAGCACCCTCACATCCACGAAGCCTTCTCTGTCCTCTAAGGTCTTTAGAGCCCACAGATTACGTCTCTCAGCACTTCCATCCTCTGCTCTGTGGGCATCAATAGCTCGTCTCCAGTCGGACTGCAAGTTCCTCGTGGATAGATTGCGTGTTCTCAACATCTCTGCTAGTCCCCAGGGCTGGTGCGTTCCGGGCATGCACGGGGGAATGTGCTGTATACACATTGGCTACGGTACATCTCTCTTTTGGAACACAAATAAATTTTAGCTAATTCACAAAACATTTCTACATATAGAAAGAACAAATCTGTGCCTTACTTCTCAGAGCATTTTCACATACAGGGATGTGCTTCTAAAGTGTCCCGCCTGGGAAGGCGTGCACACTCATCTCAGCGAGCCCTCCACTGTTGGGTCCAAGCTCCTCCTTGGGAACCGCCTTGAGAAACCCCTGACATTGCATTTCTTGAGCAGGCGCCTTCTGAATTGGTTACCACCAGGCTGGATGCTAAATGACTTCTGACTATTTGCAAACAAGCTCAAAACTAAGGACAAGGATATGCCTTGTCGAGCATCTTCAAGAGAATGTGAAATCCTAAAAATGTCTGGCACATGGCAGGATTCACCGAATATGCTACAGGGTCTGAACGCTGTTCTTACACAAGAGTTCCAGAATGTTTCAAGAAAAGAAAACATTGGTATAACCAACAAAAACACTGTTTTCCTGTGTTTGATTTTAAAAAGTGTGTGGGATTACTTTTCTGGCTGGAATCACAAGCTGAGTGCCTAAGCCAGGTAGGCAACTTCAAAAGCCCTGCGGGGCTCCAACACTGGGGCCGCAGTGAGGACTCCCACCCCTTAGCCCAAAGAGGCCACCATCTGCTCAGCTCCAGCCGCCGGCTGCCACATCTCCCGACTTTCCACAAGGGAAGCTGGACTTCCAGATGTTTAAAATGCGGCAAGGGGTCCAGGGAGGGCAGCCAAAGCGGCTCCTGTTTTATGGCCACACCTGCTACATTAACCTGGAATCACCTCCTCGTTCCTGGCCGCAAAACTTAAAAACCCTCCCACATTCAAGCCTCCCCGAGCGCACAGCAGAAGGGGCTTCCTCCCGGCACCTGCGTCCCTCTTCTGTCTTCTCTGGGACTTGCTCCCGTGATTCCTGTTGCCATCTGAGTTCTGCCCTGACCGCCCTGCTGCTGACTGCCCAGATGCAGAATCCAAAGGACCTGGAAGTCCTCAACTTCTGTCACCTCACCAGCCTTCTGCTGCCACCTCCCTCCTGTCTGTCCTTAGCTTTTTTTGTCCCCTCCTCAGGGTTTTCCTGTCCATTCCCTGCACCCCCACTCTCTGATATTCTCAGACTTCTCTCTGTGGCAACCCAGAATGCTGGTGTTGTTCCAGAGCGTCCTGTCCCAGGCCCCTCTTTTCTCACTCTGCACTCGCTTCCTTCAGGACGCCACCTACTCCTCCATAGCTTCCAAAGCACGCATCCACGGTGCTCAGGCCTGTCTCCAGCCCAGCCCTCTCCCGAGCTCTCTCCTGACACAGCCTGCCTCCTACTGGTCACCAACTCAGCATGTTCAGGACTGAGCCCCCAGCACAAAGCTGCTCCTCCTGTGTCACCCATCTTGGGGAATGCCACTATCATCGAGTCAGCACTCAAGCAGAAATCATGCCAACCTCATCCATTCCCCCCACTCCCTCTCCGCTCGCCCCACCACTAGTCAACAGGTCCTATTAAGTGTCACTTGAGTCCATCACTTCTCCTCTCCTCCGACACTACCCTGATGCCAGGTCACCACCTCCTGTCACCTGGATGGCTGAGGTGTAGGCTTCCAGTCTAACTCCTTCCAGCCAGACATCTTTCCAAAACCTGTGAATGTAAACGTGGCCCTGCCCCCCTCCCGTGGATACCATCTAAACTCCTTCACGGGTGTGAAAGGCCTTTCTATCTCCCAGGCCACGTCTCAGGCCTCTCATCTCCTCTCGCTGGAAAATGAATGCTGTGCCCTAAGTCCCACCCGGGGCAGAGGACGGGTCACACCCGAGACGGCTCACTCCAAGCCCAGAACGCTTGCCATTACTTACACCCTTCAGTGCCGGCCAGCGCCAGCTCTCACACCTGCCTGGGCTGGGAAGTCAATGACAGAGACTTCCGGACCAAGCAGCCCTCATCCAGAGAGAACTTGTTGGGAAGCGTGATGTGAAAACCCCCTTCACCAGCTGTTAACGTGCTGCCTCCTTCCAGGCAGGTGGCAGGTGAGGCTGCCATTCCGAATCCCCTTGGGAGAGCTGCAGGGGCAGGAACACAGATCTCTGGAGCCCATGACGGCATGCCGATGGCACGCCATCTCCAGGGGACCGGCCAAAGGACAGCCCGCCCTTGCTGCAGCTCCTGTCTTTGACACCTGGCGTGAGAGAAATGCATACTCTCGTTTATTCCTTGTCATATTTCTGAGCTAGAAGCAGGAACTGGGGTAGCAGGTTGGCAATTAAAGATACTACGTTTTGAGGCCAGGCACGGTGGCTCACGCCTGTAATTCTAGCAATCTATGAGGCCCAGGCGGGAGGATCACTTGGGTTCAGGGGTTCAAGACCAGCCTGAGCAAGAGCAAGACCTGTCTCTACTAAAAACAGAAAAATTATCCCGGCATGCCTGTAGTCCCAGCTACTCGGGAGGCTGAGGCAGGAGGATCGCTTGGGGTCAGGAGTTTGAGGTTGCTGTGAGCTACAGTGACGTCACTGCACTCTAGCTGGGGCAACAGAGTGAGACTCTTTCTCAAAAACTAAAAAAGTATATTACATTTTGATTTGGAGAGTTAATTAACATCTGCTGGCTAAATTTAACTCAGGACTGAAAGGGAAGGGGGGCCCTCTGTGTGTGGATGGAAGTGGGACAACGGCTAAGCGGAGCCAGGGGTTCCCCGCAACTCATTTGGCAGCCCCAGAGCCTGCAGAGTTTAACTTTAATGAAACTTTAAGTGTATAGATAACCACTCTTTCCCACCCGCTACAGGTTCCTGGCCCCGTCTGTCCTTGGTCACTCGAGGTCCAGGAAACGTCTGCTTTCCAAAGGGGCATCTGGGTGGGAGTCTTCCGAGGACTTTGGTCTGAACTGTCCCCAGCAAGGATTCCCTCTGCGCCTAGTCTTTGTCCTGTGACGTCAGAGCTGGGAACGCTTTTCCGACTCCTGAGGGAAGGAAAACGGCCGGCGGCAGCCCAGGCCTGGCGGCACGAGTCCCTGGGAACTGTGAGCAAAGGGTCCGGGCGACAGGGCTCAGAAGAAGAGCGGGCGCGGCGCCCCCTCGCTGGGAGTGGGCCAGGCCGGGGCGGGCAGGGCAGCGTCTGCGGCCGGATGCGCAGCTTCGCCGTGGACGCGCTGGTGCCGCACCAGGTGGGTCTTGCGGCTGAAGCTCTTGCCACACTGCGGGCAGGAGAAGGGGCGGGAGCCTGTGTGGATCGCCTGGTGGCGGACCAGGTTGGTTTTGGAGCTGAAACTACGGGCGCAGACGGCGCAGGCGTGGGGGCGACTGCCGGTGTGCACCGCCTGGTGGCGACCCAGGTGAGACTTGCGGCTGAAGCGGCGGCCACACTGCGCACAGGCAAAAGGCCTGGCGCCGCTATGGGCACGGGAGTGGGCGACCAGGTTGGGCCTCGAGCCAAAGCGGCGGCCACACTGAGCGCAGGCGAAGGGCCGTTCGCCCGTGTGCACGCGCCGGTGCCGCGCCAGGTGCTGCCCGTGGGCGAAGCCGCGCCCGCAGTCCGGACAGAAGAAGGACCGCTCGCCTGGAGGAGTGCGCGGGGACACCGCTGGACCAGAGCCTGTCCCGCAGCCCGGCCCTATGGGCGCGCAGGCCAAGGACTCTGCGGCGGCAGGGTCCACAGTGGCGCCCAGTGCACACTCTTCGCACCCAAAGGGGCGACCCTCACTGCGGTGCAGACGCTGGTGCGTGGCGAGGTTCTTTTTCCAGCCGAAGCTCAAGCCGCAGTCGGAGCAGGCGAAAGGCTTCGGCCCAGGAGGGGACGGGGTGGGGGACGGGGCGGGGGAGTGGGGCGAGGCGGGCGCGTCGGGGGAGGGCCGGGCCTGGCCGGCCGCCTCGTGCACCCTTTGGTGCCGCACCAAGTGCTGCTTGTGCGTGAAGGTGCGTGCGCACTGCGCGCACTGGTAGGGCCTCTCGCCGGTGTGGATGCGCTGGTGCCTGATCAAGTGCGTCTTCTTGCGAAAGCGCTTCTCGCACTCGGTGCAGGGGAAGGGCCGCTCGCCAGTGTGGGTCTTCTGGTGTGAGCCCAGATGTATCTTCTGGCTGAAGCGCTTGCCGCACTCTGCGCACGGGTAGGGCCGCTCGCCCGTGTGCGTGCGCAGGTGGCGGGTCAGGTGGGCCTTCTTGCTGAAGCGCTTGTCGCACTCGGAGCATGGGAAAGGCCGCTCTCCGCGGTGGCTGCGCTGGTGCAGCAGCATGTGCGTGCGCTGCGTGAAGCTGCGGCCGCAGTCCGGACAGGCGCAGGGGCCCTCGCCCCGGTGCAGCCTCTGGTGCAGCCGCAGTGTCAGCTGGTCCCGGAAGCGCCGTTCGCACTCCCCGCAGCCATAGGGCTTCTCCGGGATCGGGGCCCACCCGGACAGCGAGAGCCCTCCCAGTGCCCCTGGGGCCCCGGGCTCAAGTTTGTAAGCGGCCAGATGCCCCAGGTCAGGAGCAGGAAAGGGGCTTGGAAGTAACGACAGATGCTGGGGCCATTCGACCTCCTCTTCTGCCTCCTGATCCTCATCCTCCACTTTCACTTTCCGAATCATCCATTCGTCCCCTGAAAAGTCAAAACAAGAATTGTCTACTCAGCCCCATGGGCCACAACGTTAATTTGCCAATGGGACCGCCACCTCCTGGAGCCCTGTTGGTCTGGTGTCTGCTTTGTCCGCTCTACCCAAAGGTTCCTGGGAATGACCAAATCGGAAACTCTTCTCTAGTCCTCCTGCATTCTCTGCAGTCTGTGGACACCACCCCCTTCTTGGGACTTCCTCGAAGGCTTGCATGTCACCGAGGAGCCCTTCCCTGCCTCCTTGCCAGGCAACACTTCCTCTTGTGTCCCCTGAATGGGAGCGTTGCCCAAGCCTGAGTCCTCATGCTTCACTCTGAGTTCACAGCCCTTCAGTGGCCACCCAGGATCTCCCTCCTTTCTGGAACCACGATCAGTCTCCCATCCCCAGTTGAGCAGCTCCCCCTGGATGTCCTGCACACTGGCTGCTACTCAGAAGGTTCATCACCAAACACCGGACCTTCCCAAACCTACCCTTGGTTGACTTTAACCTTAGGACCACAGCCTCCTCCTCCCAACTGGATGGCCTTGAAACCTTGCCATCACTGCTCCTCTTGCTGTGTATGTCCCCTCCAGTGGCCATAGTGCCAGGGTGCTGTTTTGTTCCTGCTACTCCCTTCACTCCTGCTGCTGCAGCCCGGATGGAAATCCTCCTTTAGGAAGAGGAGGATGGAGTTTATGGGACTCAGGGAATTAGTGAACACTGCCTCTGGAGAAGTAAGGAGGGCCCTCAGGGGGCGCTTCAGCCCAGGGAAGGCTGGAGGGGGTTCTGCTGGAGCTTTGCCCCTCTGGGGCACTGCAGTGGCCCAGCTGAAAGGAGCCCAGAGCCCAGACAGAGTGTCCACCTTGGGTTCTCCTCTGACACTAATCAGCAGGATGACCTTGGTTAAGTCACTTAACCTCTTTGAACTAAGTTTCATAGTTTGCTTAAGTGTAAGGTTTGGACTTCTTTATAGTTCCTAAACCTTGTGCTGCATCATAATTTCCTGGGGAACTTTTATAAAATGCATATATGGGGCAAGGCCCATGAATCTATTTCTTTAAAGCTCCAAATTCTTGTTTGAAAACCATTGAACCAAATGATATGAGTTTCTGTCTGGCCCTAATAGTCTGTAATAGCCTGAGCCTTGATTATATTACACATAGACTGCTACAATTAGATCTACTACCAGTTTCTTCTATCAATCCATCAATTCCAAACAACTGTCTGCATACCAGACTGTGATTTTGCTTTCATTTTCATTGTGCCACTCTTCACTTGTCTACTCAAGAACCATCCATAGCTCCCTATGATTTATAGGATAAAATAAGTTCTAGCTGCATCTGAGGCTCACCTCAACCTGGTCCAACTTTCTTATTCTCCCAGGTATAAACCCCTCGCTTCAGCCAAGCTGCTCCTGTCCAACCATGTCACCTTTCCTGCTTTGTAAGGTCTTTTCCCAGCCTAGAATATCTTCCTATCCTCCACCCCACCCTTCATAGCTGAAGACTACACCTCTCTCAAAATGCAGCATAAATAAACATTTTTGACAAATCCAATGCATATAGATCTTAGTATAAACTCCTATAGCACTTTTTACTGTTAACATTTTCACACTTACGTACAAGTTGCCTTTATACTGTTGTTTTGTTTATTCCTGTTCATATTAATGTCATCTCAACTAGATTTTAACTTCTGGGGGGTACAGATAGTGTATGTTCTATTTCTTCTGTCCAATAACAAATGTGTTTTTATGTGTCTAGTAAAAATGAGGACTGCCACCACTTATTAAGGGCCAGCTACAGGTGAAGCACTGTACATACACTGTCACAAACCTTCTCAACGACCATGAAGTTACTATTATCCCTGTTTACAGGTGAACAAACTGAAGCTCCTGGAAGTAAGGTAGCCTGTCCCAGAGCACTGAGCTAGGAAATGCAGAGCAAGGATTCAAACCAGGTCTGTGTAACTCTAGAGCCCATCCCTTTCCACAACACCTAACACCACCTGTACACAGGAGGCACTAAAGAAATCCTTATTGAGTAAGTGAAGTCACTCTGGCAAGAGGTGACAAGTATGATGGCAGTGGAAGGAAGTGATAGGTGGATTGTGGAGACAGAATCAACTGTTTGATCACCTGGGTGTGGGGAGATAGTTGCATACCGCAGATTTGGAGCATCTGGATCGGTGGAGGTTTGGGGGAGCATATCTGGGAGACAGCGAAAAGGCTGATCAAAGCCATGTATCTTTATGGCAATTGTAATTGAGGGGAGCAACAAGCACATACTTAGACTGAGGGAGATAAGGAAGGGAAGTTAGGACTTCTAGAAGGCGTCTGAGGTGAGGGTGTGTTTGTTTCTCTTTGGTGACCAGCCTTTCTGATTCCCCCTGCCTACAGATGTGAAATTCTCTTTGGGCACTGAAGCTCTACAGCAGAAAGGTGCCAGTGCCTGAACTCATCTTGCTGGAAGGGCCTGGAGTGGCTGTCTCCCAGGGGATGACCCACCTCTTCAGATGGCAGCTCTGGAGCTTGCTGGGCCCCTGTGCCCTTGGCCTGACCCCATGGTGGGATGAAGCGCTGGGAAGACTTACCTGAGCAGGAGCCCGCAGGCTCAGCCTTCTGTGGTGTGCACACCTGGCCGCCTCTGCAGGGAGCCTCGGCCTGCTCAGTGTGGGCACCTTCCTCCAGACTGGGGGCCTCATGCCCTGGCAGAGAACAGGATACCTCAAGGACTCCCGAGACATCACAGATGTGCAAGTCCCCATTGGTGCCAGGGAGCAGGGGCATTTGAAATCCTAGCTCCAGCCCAGCCCACAGGGTTCCTCCCACATCCTACCTGAATTCGGGGGCTGAATTCCCAGCTGCCCCAGGGCTGCCTCAGGCTCCTTCAAGCAGGGCAGCTGCTAAGGGTGTGCAGGTTGCAAGAGCCACAACTGTGAGGGGTTTCTGGAATATGTGTATGTAAGGTAGTGGAGGAAAGGAAGGACCCTTGGCCTGAGGCTTACCTGAAGCTCCTAGGAGCAGGGCTGGGGGCCTCCCAGCCCCCAGATGGACCCCAGTTCCAAGGCAAATCACTGGAGAGGATCGGGTTGTCAAAAAGCCAGGCACGTGCCTGCCTTAAGTGTTCTTTCTGTTCCAGCTGTCCCCCTGCCTGAAAGCTCTTCCCTAGTATTCGCCCAGCTGCTTCCTTCATCTCTTTCTAATCTTGCTCAGATCTTACCTACCCAATAAGGCCTAGTCTTAGCACCCAATTTAACCCACTAACACGCCCTACCCCACCTGCAGCAATCTCAGCCCCCCTCACCAGGCTTTATCCTCTACCCCAGAGCACTTCTCATTTTTGAACACAGTTCATAAGTTTCCTTATTTTTGTTTATTGTTTGCTGACTCTCTGCACTCACTGGGATTAAGTTTCTTAAAGGTAGGGATCTCTGTCCGTTTGGTCACTGAGGAATTCCAAATGTCTAAAACAGCACCCCGACACATAGTAGGTACTCAACAAATACTTGATGGATGGATGTAAGGAAGGCAGGCTCCTCCCTGAGCTCCCTCCATGATCCTCACTTACTTACCTGAGCACATGCCCAGCACGTTCTCCCTGGAAGAGGCCATCTGCTCCTGGGCATTATGAGATCCTTCCCTGGGCTCACTTTGGGGGGCCATCTCTGGCTGTCCCACAGAGAATCCTGTTACAGGCAGAAGGATGGGCCCAAGTGAAGCATCCAGTACAGAACAGGTGATCAGAGGTGGGGGCTCTTCCCCTTCCCAGCCTACCCAAGTGGCTTTTCCCAACCTGCTCAGGAAGGTAGGGTCTCTCGCCAGCATGTACAAGGGACAGCCCAGGCTCCCCAGCAGCCTGGCCAGGAATCAACCTCAGCCCCTTGGAGTTGAGTCAAGGACAGAAGAAGGAAGAGATGGAACGATGTAAATATCACAGTGCTCTGTGAGTGCCTAGGTGTACATACAGTCTAGCACAGCCTCCGCCACATCCCAGGCAGTCAAAGACATCCTGAAGAAATGGAAGAAAATGCTGCCCTGTGGGCTCCCCAGGTCTCTGGGGTCTCAGGGTTGCAGCCTGGAGAGTGACTCTGCTTATTAGTTGTAGATGCCCTGAATTTTCCGACCCCTCTCCCCCCAGGTTCCTTCAGTGTGCCAGCTCACCCAGGGAGCTGAGGGCCTCCAAAGTCTCCCTCATGGCAACCCAGAGCAGCTCCTCCTGGGCATCGGCCACGGACCCTAGGGAGAGAAGGGAACCTTGTTCAGATTCTTCCCAGACAGCTTCCACCAGGGCCCTGGCTGTGCCCACCTGCCCTATGGGCTCTCCCCAGGAGCTCCAAAGGTGACATCCCCAGGTATCCATGGGGGAAATGAAGGAAATTGGATTTCAGAAAGCAAAGAGATCTTTGAAGATGGCTCAAGAAGAAGGCCTTGAAGCCATTTCTACAACCTCGGGTCAGTTCTAGAAATCAGCCACTGCCCCTTCACCTGGCAGGTCTCAGGGCCAGCGCCCCCACCTCACACCCCAGTGTGGGGTGCAGGACTATCTGGTTCTGTGGGGAGAGGGGAGAGGGTGGGAGACCAGGGTGGGAGACCAGGGTGGGGAGTGGGAAACTTCATCTCCTAGGCCTTCCAGCTGTCACTGCAGGAGCTGGTGAAATAGGAGCCGGCCCAGGGGCGGGAGTGAATGTCACTTTAGTGCTACTGGTGGGGGAGGTCCTCAGAGAAGGGTCCTCCTTAAAGGTAGGAAATGACTTGCTTCCTGTCCCTAAAACCCTACCTCAAAACCATCCCCTTCTCCCCCTCCCCCGCCCCCCCCCAATTTCCCCAGGCCCGGACACCTCCCTTGTGCCCCCTTCCTGCCCCTCCCCCAGCAGACTCCCCTCCCCCAATCTCCCAGGCAGCCTCCCCTCTGCCCCTCCCCTCCCCGCGCCCGCTGCCTTCCGCCCTCTCTCCCCGCGAATCGGGCTGGCTCCGGGCTCCTCCGCTGCCCCGCCCCTCGGGCTCCTCCCGCTCGCCCGCGCCGCACCCGGCAGGGGCAGGGCCACCCTCCCCAGGCCCCTCTGGACGGCCCTCCCCAGCCACCGCCTCCCTGACCCTCCGCACTGGGCAGTCTCAGCCGCGCTCTCCCCTCCCGCCCCACTCCCCACCCCCCTCGGGCTCAGGGCCGCCGCTCGCTGCCCTCCCGGTTCTCCCCCCTCCATCCCCCTCCCTGGCTGCTCACCCTTTCCCTTCCTTTCCCCCTCCTCTTTTCCTTCCTCCCCAACACCCGCCCTCCTCCTCCGAGCTTTTCTCCCCCACCCTGCTCTCCTCTCCCCTCCCCTCCCCCTCCTCTCCCACTGTGGTTTCCCCTTCCTTCTCCTTTCCTTCCCGCACCTCGGTTCCCTCCCTCCTCCCTCTCCTCCTCCCCAGCCCTCCCCCACCTCCTCCTCCCTCCCTCCCTCCCTCCTGCAGCTCTCCTTCCCCTCCGAGGCCCCCGCCTCCCTTCCCCCTCTGCCTCCCCAGCCGGCTTGAGCGTCGCTTCCCTCCCGGCCCCCGGTCCTCCCCAGCCCTCGGATCAGCTCGGCCCCTTTCCCCGCCCCCGTCGCCCCCACCTCCCTGGTCCGCCGGCCCCCCAGGCCGGGCCCGAGGCTGACCCGCTCACTTGGACCCTCCCTGCGGCACTGCCCCTCCCCAGCCCTCCTCCCCTCGGAGCACACCTTAGCGTCCAGTCTCCTCCCTCAGTGGCCCACGCCCCCCTTTCTCCCCTCGGACTTGTTCTCGCCCCCTCCCAAGTTGTCCCCCAGACCGGGACTCCCCCACTAGCCGCTCCGCCTCCCGTCTCTGTTAGTCCTCTCGAGCCTCCCGGCTCCCCGACGTCACCCCGTGTCCCGGCCCCCTCCCCTGCTCCCGGGCTCACCTGTCAGTGCCCTTCTCTCCCGCCCCTCCCAAACGGCCCGTCCCCCCGCGCCTCCTTTCCCCTCCCTTCCCCCTGGGTCCCCACACTCCCTCTCCGCTCTCCCGAGACGTCCCACTCCCTGCCCCGGGGACCCTCCCGCCCCTTTCCCACCGGACTCCCACTCGGCCCCTCCCGGCCCCCCGCCCTTCCCTTCAGATCCCCTGTCCCCCTTTCTCCTCCACAGCCTCCCCCAGACTCGCCAGGCTCGCCCTCCCCCACCCCTCCCTCCTCCGACGCGTGCCCCTCCCCCACCCACCCCGTGGCTCCCCGCGCCCCTACCCCGGGGCTGTCACCTGCGCCGAGCAGGCGGTGACCGCGAGTGTCGGCGCGGAGAGGGAAGCGGGCGGAGCCGCCTGCAGCCGGGAGCTCCGCGCCCTTACCTGGCGGGCCGGCTGGTCTCCCCGCTACTGCGGGGACCCCGGCGCCCGGGCGTCCTGCCCCTGCCCCTCTGCTCACAATGGCGCCGCTGCCTGCGGCTCGGGTGCGGGCCGCCCGAAACACTGACAGGCTGACAGCCCCGAAACTTCGCGGGGAGGAGAGAGGAAAAGACGCCGAAGGAGCAGAAGCGGGAGCGGCGCCCGCGAGGAGGGAGGGACCGAGGAAGCGGGAGGGGTGCCCCGGGGCACCAGGCTGGGGGAAGTAGGGGGCAGGGGGCTCCCGCAGCGGGGTCGCCGGGAGGGTGCGCCGCGGGGTTAGGCCGGCAGGTGACGGCCAGGAAGCACAGCGTCCAGAGTGGGTGATGGAAAGTAGGAGCTTAGGACGGGGAAAGGGAGAGGGGAAGGAAAAGAGGGGTGTTGGGGGAGGGGTGGGGAGGGCGAGGAGGCTAGGGAAGAAGGGCACTCGGGCTGAGGGACTGTGCTCGCAGCCACCGAGGGAGGAGCCGGGAAAGGTGGAGCGCGGGCAGGGGTGGGGGAGAGGGGGAAGAGGAGGGGGCGCGCCGGGGCGGGAGCCAGTGAGTGTGCGCTGCCGTCTCTACGTGCGAGTGCCGGCCGCGGGTGTGCAGCGCCGCTCCGCGGGAGGCGAGTCTGGGGGCGGGTCCGGGAAACTCGGGCCCCGCTCCCGCTCCCCGCCCGGACCGCACCCGGATTCACCCAGACCCACCCCCCACCCCCCGGGCCTGCCTCCCGGGGACCGGTCCGATGCCCGCACTGGAGCCGTTGGGGAAGGCCCAGGGAGAGAGGGCTGGGCCCTGTGCCAGCGAGAACGGGCCTTTCGACGTAAAAACTGGGGTGGGGGCTTCGAGCCAGGTCCCTGGGAGAACGCGGGCGGGACAGGAGGCACCAGGGGGCGAGGCTGGGGCGGGGCTGGGCGGAGACTCTGAGGGCGGGGTCCGCGGGAGGGGCGGGCAGGAGGCCGGGGACAGGAGGGGGCTCTTGAGGCTCAGTAGTGGGGTTGCGGGGTCGAGGGTGGGGGGTCGGAGGTGGGCCCCCCTGCTGCACCCGAAACCTCCAGTTAGCTGTGGAGGGCAGCCCTCAGCCCTCGATCCGACTGGGGGGGCTGCACTGGCCGTCCTTGGTCCCAGGTGTGCCGCCGGTGCGCCTGCACTCTGAAAACTCCCCATGTCGTGTCCCTCTGGAACTAAAACCTGGGCTGGTTGTCCCCGACTCCTCTCCACAATCTCTCTCCGAACTCCCTTGGGTTCTAGCTTCCACGCTCCTGCCCCTTAGGGGAAAGGACAGCTGTGACTCCCAATGGATTGGATTGCTTCTTCCCAGTCCAAGTGCTGCCTTAGCAGCTGTGGCCGGATCGCAGAGCGGCAGTGATGGCCGCTGGAGGCAGCGCCGCTGTGGGTGGGGGCGTGCATGAGTGTAAAACGCGAAGAAGTGTCCGGTGTGAGTGTGACTCCTGAGGGGAGCTGATCCTAGCCATCTGTGAGCCCCAAGGGACTCACACGGGACCCTCTTTTGGCCCCAGGACCAATGGTGGGCCCGGAGAAGGACTGCATAGCCCAGCTCCAGGTCCTGGCAGCCTCCTTCCTCCCTGCAGGTGGGATGACTATGCAGGATGCTCAGTGGGACATGCTCCTCAGGTTTAGGGGCTGGAAGGGCATGAAATCTGAGGTCCAGGCCACATTCCAGCCTGGGTGTCTTCAGAGCACTGCTGGTAACCAGGATGTTGTAACCAGGATTCCCCTGCGGAGCCAGTTGCTGCCCCCTCCCAACCACTGCCCCCTCCCAGCCGGACTCTCCATCCGGCTCAGCTCTGCCCCAGGGCTGGGGGAGCTCCCGCAACCAGGCACTCCTTCCAGAGGCTTCCTCTCATTCTTCAGCCCAGGCTCCCTGGTTCTGGACCCCGGAGACCCTTGTAGAAGGGGGGGGCGGGGGGCCCAACCAGCCACACATAATCACCCCCAGTAAGAGGCTGGACCCCATGCTGTGCACCTGTCTCCACACACCGAACTCACTGGTGAGGTTACTGCTGTCACTCCTGTGCCTGGCGGGAGAGGGGCTGGAGGAGGCAGGACAGGGCTGGGAGACCGTACCAGTCCTTCAGCCAAGGAGCTCTTAACCTTTCGGTGGGGTCATACTCCCTTGAGAATCTAATAAAAGTTAAGGCACTGTCCTCAGAAAAATATGCACACGTACAATTTCAAAGAATTCACAGAGTCTCTCAGTCCCATTTCTGCACCCCTGGGAAGTCCCTGAAGTTTTCACTGATAAGAACACTGAAGCCCAGAAAGGGAGGGAGGGTGGCTTGCCTAGAGTCCCAACTAAATTTGTGGTCGTGCCCAAGTGTTGAAATACCAGCGGCTCAGAATGTCCGGCTGGGCTTCCCCGTTACACACACACACACACACACACACACACACACACACTAGGAGGGGTGGAAAGAGGACCGTTGCCTAGGAGAGCTGGCCTCCCCGGCAATGATGTGGGAAGGTCCAATCCGGTCGTGGGCAGCTGGTGCCCTAGGCATGAGGCTGGGATAAAGCCTCCCCAGCCCCAGGGACTGGCGGCAGGGCTGCAGCAGAGCAGCGCTGGGCTCCCTGCCCCTCGGCCGCAGCCTTGCCTCCCCAAGCCTGAGCCTCACGTTCGCCCAACGGTGCCGTGGGGGTGGAGAGCACCATGCTGCTCCCCACCCTCCTCTTTGGGGTGGCGTGGGCACTGAGCAATGGGTGAGCACCCCGCCCTGGGACCGATGCCACTGAAGTCCTCTTCCCCTCCCTCCTAACTTCAGTAACCTCTCCTGAGAGTGGGGTCCCTGGATGGGGCTGCTTGGTGACAGAGGGGACGGTGGTAGCAAGTGTGGTTCCCCACTGTGGGCAGGCGATGGTGTGAGCGGACGGAGACCATCCGCGTGGAAGAGGAAGTAGCCCCTCGTCAGGAGGACCTGGTGCCCTGTGCCAGCCTCTACCATTACAGCCGCCTGGGCTGGCGGCTGGACCTGCCCGGGAGTGGCCGTGCCAGGTCCCCAACACCCGGGCTCTGTCCCATCTACAAGTGAGTGAGGATCAGGGCCTGGGCTGTCTGCTGGGCAGAAAGGAGGGACAGGCTGGACGCCCTCAGAGTCGGGGAGGACTGGGAGCAGGCCTGGTAGAAGCAGGTGTTGGGAAGTAGGTCCTGGGTGGGCTCGGAGATTAGGGTGGGTGGTGAGTGGCTGCTACGCAGGGCACAGCAGGGGGAGGCCCAGAGCCCGCTCCCTCTGCCCCCACTCCCTGTCTGCCTGCCCAACATCATTCTCACTTTGCCCGTGGGGAAATTAAGTCCAGGACAAAGTTAAATGACGAATTCCATCAGAGAGTGATAGATCAGACCGAAATGTTCCAGGCTCTTCCCGGTGATGGGAATGAACTGAGTACTAACATCTTCCACCCCTCCCCCGCTTCCACCTGCTCGGTGGGTACAGACCCCCAGAAACCCGGCCTGCTACATGGAACCGGACGGTGAGGGCTTGCTGCCCAGGCTGGGGCGGCACACACTGCACCGAGGGTAAGCGCCTGAGTGGGTGTGGGGCAGTGGTGCCCCATGCCAGCCCAGGCAGGGCAGGGCAGCCCAGACCTCGGTTTGGAGAGGCAGCAGGCTGCCCAGGGAGGGAACCAGGCCAGGCTGAGAGGTGCAGGCTGCCCCCATGCCCACTGCCTGGGTCTGCCCCATTCTCTCCTCAACCCACCACAGCCCTCGACGGCGCTAGCCCTGAAGGCCTCTGCTTTGCCACGTGGCAGTGCCAGCCATGGGCAGACTCAGTTAACGCTTCGGCAGAAAGCCTGGAAGACTGCTGTGCCCGGCCCTGGGGTCGCAGCTGGTGGGACGGCAGCTCCCAGGCCTGCGTCCCCTGCTCCAGCCCACACCTGCCAGGTGGGTCGGCAGCCCCCAGCCTGCCAAGTGGTCACAGTCCCGGGCAGCACCCCCTCCCCAGGCACTCCCACATAGAGTTCCTAAGCTCTGGGCCTTTCTGCAGGGCCCATGCCTGCTCCCCGGCCCACCATAGTGACCATTCCCTGTCCTCCTGCTTCCTGCTCTGCCTAACCCTGGCCCTCTGTCTGTGCTCAGAGGGTCACAATTGGTGTGTCTCTTGCCCAGTCAGTGCCTCCTCTCCAGCCGTCCTGCAGCCCCTGGCAGGGGCTGTGGGACAACTCTGGAGCCAGCAGCAACGTCCCTCTGCCACCTGTGCCACCTGGTCGGGCTTCCACTACCGCACCTTTGACGGACGCCACTACCACTTCCTGGGCCGCTGCACCTACCTGCTGGCGGGCACTGCTGACTCCAGCTGGGCTGTCCACCTCGGGCCTGGGGACCACTGTCCCCAGCCTGGGCTCTGTCAGCTGGTGAGGGAGGGAGACAGGGACCGCCACAGGGAGGAGGCTGGACACAGGACAGCCGCTGATGCCCTTTCCACTATGTGTCTCACCACAAGGTACGGGTGACAATGGGACCCGAGGAGGTGCTGATTCAGGGTGGAAACGTCTCTGTGAAGGGGCAGCTGGTACCTGAAGGGGAGCCGCGGCTGTTCCACGGTGAGGACACTGTGGGGGCAACAGACCGCCGGGCCCCTCTGCCCCTCTGGGAAGTCTGCACACCCCCAGGGTGGGGGTCAGAAGAGCAGCAGGGACAGTTTGGGACTGTGCCCACTGCTCCCCCCCGCCCCCACCCCCTGCCACTGGGAGGCATTTGCAGATGCAGAGCCAGGCAAGGAGCCCAGGGGACACTGGCCTGGTCCCTGACCCTATGCAACCCGCCCTCTCCCACCACCTCCTCCATGTATGATCTCGGGCAGGTCCCTCTGCTTAACCTCCCTGAGCCTCAGTTTCCCCACCTGCCTCACAGACGGTGGTGAGGAAGTGCTTTTGTGCTAAGCCATGCGAAGCTCTCCTACTGGGCCTTTTGTTCCAGCTGGGCTTCCCACGTGCGTGTGCGTGTGTGTGCATGCGCGTGTGCTATGTAGTTTTCTCTTACAAGAAAGCGTCTGCAGCCTTCATGAGCATCTCAAAGAGGGCCATGATGGAAAACAATCGCTCTGCTTTAAAGAATATGCTTTCATGATCAAGTGCGGAGCTCTGTAGAATTGAGAATTCCTTCCCTCCTGCACTCCTCCCTGGGCACTTTGAGCCCTGCTGTGGTCATGAGTGTGTGGCCACAGGTGGCCAAGTGACCCCCTTCCCCACCCAGGGCTGAGCCTGCAGTGGCTGGGGGACTGGCTGGTGCTGTCGGGGGGCCTGGGGGTCGTGGTGCGGCTGGACAGGGCTGGCTCCATCTCCATCTCTGTGGACCACGAGCTCTGGGGACAGACGCAAGGCCTCTGTGGGCTGTACAATGGCCGGCCTGAGGGTGAGTAAGGGGTGGCTTGGTTGCTGGTGTAGCAGGGAAGGGGAGACAGGAGCCTCCAGCCCCGGCACCCTCGCCTCTGCCTTCCTCAGATGACTTTGTGGAGCCTGGCGGGGGCCTGGCCGTGTTAGCTGCCACCTTTGGGAACTCCTGGAGGCTTCCTGACTCGGAGGTGAGGCTGATGCCCGGGCTCCCTCCCTCCCCGCCTGCCACTCCCAGCTTCTCAGCCTGGCCCAGCTCCTACTCCTCCAAGCCCTTGTCCTGGCCCCATCGCTGTCCTGCCCCTAGGAGGGAGCCCGGCCCTCTCTCAGACCCTCAGGGCAGAGGACAGGCCGCAGGGTCCCTGAGAAGCGTTGGTGAACCAGTTAGTCATCCAGGCCTCAGCTCCTCCGCCTCCTCACCTGGGCTGCCACCTTGCCGCTGTCCACGGCACCAGGGTGTGGGCCGGTGGACGTGATTACGGGGCCTTGACGCAGCCCCGTAATGTGAGAGCGGTGGTCATTTTCCTGGTGTCCTGGTTCATGTCCCTCACCATGTCCCCACCCTGACCTGACTCCGTTTGTCCCCAGCCTGGGTGTCTGGATGCAGTGGAGGTGGCCCAGGGCTGTGAGGGCCCCCTGGGAAACACAGAGGCGGGCGTGGAGCCTGGCCAGCTGCGGGGCGAAGCCCAGGACGTGTGCCATCAGCTGCTGGGCAGTCCGTTCTGGCAGTGCCATGCCCAGGTATGGGTGGGGGTGAAGGTGGTGTCCGATACCCAACGGGGTGCCAGAGAGCTGTCACCAGGTGGTCTTGCCCTGCCACTAGGATGCCTGGGGCTATGGGTCAAACTGTGCCCTCCCTGTGCTCGGCTGTGTCTCTGGGGACCGAGAGGCTGCTCTGCAAGACCCCTGCAGCCCTCCCAGACCGATTCTATGTGGTTATGAGCCAGGGAGGTGATGGAAGCTGGAGGCCGAGGTGCCGGCGGCGAGGAGAGGCTTTGTTGCTGAGGGGCTGTCCTTTCCCGACAGGTCCCCCCTGCTGAGTACCACGAGGCCTGCCTCTTTGCCTACTGCAGGGGGGCCGCGGCGGGCAGCGGGCGCGAGGGGCGGCGGGAGGCCGTGTGTGCCACCTTTGCCAGCTACGCCCAGGCCTGTGCCAGGCGGCACGTGCAGGTCACCTGGAGGAAGCCCGGCTTCTGCGGTACTGCCTGGGCTCCCACCCTACCAAACTGACCGAGGGTGGCCACCACCCACGGGTGTGTTCCCCGAGGGCTCTTCAGGGTCTGGCGGGAGCCACGGCCACTCATGGGCCACTCCTCTGCCCACAGAGCGCCCGTGCCCAGGAGGCCAGCTCTACTCCGACTGCGCCTCCCCCTGCCCGCCCAGCTGCCAGGCAGTGGGCCCGGGAGAGGAGGGCTCCTGCGGGGAGGAGTGTGTGAGCGGCTGTGAGTGCCCGCGAGGCCTCTTCTGGGACGGTGCCCTCTGCGTGCCTGCCGCCCGCTGCCCCTGCTACCACCGGCGCCAGCGCTACGCCCCGGGCGACACCGTGCTCCAGCTGTGTAACCCGTGGTAGGTCCTCACTGGGGTGGCAGCGGTGTAGTGCCTGCTGCTCTCCCCAGCCTGCCTCCCCCCATCTCCAGCCTGCCCAGGCCCTTCTCATGGGGGGCCCGGGGCCGCCCCCGGCATGGCAGATGGCCCTGCTTGAAGACCTTGTCTGCTGACCTCTGCCCCTTCCAGTGTTCGGGTGCAGGGGAGGGGGGAACCAGGGTGTTGGGGTGGCGTCTCCAGCTCTGCCCCCCATATGCCCACAGCGTCTGCCGGGGCGGCCGCTGGCACTGCACACAGGCCCCGTGCCCCGCCGAGTGTGCGGTGGGAGGGGACGGGCACTATGTCACCTTCGATGGGCGGAGCTTCTCCTTCCGAGGTGGCCCGGGGTGCCGCTACAGCCTGGTGCAGGTGGGCAGAGAACCAGCTCCTAGAGGGGGTCTTGCCAGAGCAGAGGCCATCCTAGGGGATGTTGGGGTGGGCTACAAGGAAACCACTAAGTCAGTGAAACACACGGTCCTCCCGGGAAGAGCAGAGAGAGCCAACTCTGGAGGGAGGGAGCGAGGGAGGGTGCCTGCCAAAGGCCCAAAGCCTCCCCTTGACTTCCCCTGAAAGTCCTGCTGTCGAGGTCCCCAGCCAGGGCCACACACCAAAACCCATCCTCAGTCCTCTCCCACAGATGGGACAGGCTGGGCTTGTCACAGGCTACTTCACGCAGAGCGCCCCAGGGGAGATAAGGGGCCTTCGTCCCCACCCGCCCTTCACCACACAGTTCGGTCACTTTCCGAGTTCAGGTGCAGCCATGTTCTTTCCCACGCTTCTAGGGGCCCTTCCGTGATCCCTCCATCTAACTATTGGACCGTTTCCACTCCTCTCATGAGTAGACACGGGGTGACAAAATCGGGGGAGTGTAGAGTCCTCAGAGAGGCTGAAGGCCTGTCCATCAGGAGGAAGAGGACAGCTGTCTCCCCCAACACACACAGCCGAAGATGCACACACACAGACCACACACCAGCACACAGACTCACATATGCACCCTGTTCCCACTTACACAGACACAAACAGGCATGCACACACAGCATACACTCATGCATGTGCACATAGATTTAGCACATACGTTTGCATGCACACATATAGACGAACATTCATACCTGTGGGGAGGAAGCGCATCATCTCACCTCAACATGCAGACATGTACGTGTACACACTCATGCACACACAAACACATGCCTTCACATGCACACACGCACACATACGTGGCCATGCGCACACATGCACAGAGACATCTGCACATGCCAACCCTTGGCGAGGGTTAAGCCCCTTACCTCACAGAGAGGCTGGTAGGCGGCTGGACAGTGGTCGGTTTAGGTGCTGGGCGGGGCTGCCTCCAGGTGTGTGCAGAGGGTGCAGTGCAGAGAAGGTCCCAGAGAGCTCTGCGGAGAGCCTGAGGTCCGCCCCCCCACACCCCGTGTGCCCCAGGACTACGTGAAGGGGCGGCTGCTGATCCAGCTGGAGCACGGGGCCTGCGACTCTGGGAGCTGCCTGCACGCCATCTCTGTCTCCCTGGGGGACACCCACGTCCAGCTCAGGGACTCAGGTAGCCCCAGCCCTGCCTCCTTGGGGCACCCAGCAGGCTTCCTTTCACCACTGCCCCACCCTGCCCGATGGCGCTGGAACCCCAGGGTAAACTGCAAGTAGTTATGAGAGTCCGAAAGGCCTCAGGCTTGGCCAGACCAGGCAGGCCCTCTAGGGCACTGTCCCTCCAACTCTCTGCCCTGGTCTGCTCCTGACTCTCTGCCCAGCTCCATCGGCCGCTGGCCACAAAAGGAAAGGAACAGGCAAAATGTGTGCCGAGGGTGGCCCTCGGGCCTGGGTGGGAGGGCCCAGGTGTGAGAGGTGACCTCTGGGGTCACTCCAGTTGTCTCTGGCTGCCCACCCTGACAGGGGCTCTCCCACCCGAGGTTCTTCCCTCCTAGCGGCCCCCTCCCTCCACGTGCTCCCCGCCCCCATCAGGCCCCTGTTCCAGGAGCTGTGCTGGCGGACGGGCAGGACGTGAGCTTGCCCTGGAGCGGCGCTGGGGGCCTCAGAGTCTCCCGAGCCTCCTCTACCTTCCTGCTGCTGCGCTGGCCTGGGGCCCAGGTCCTCTGGGGAGTGTCGGACCCTGCTGCCTACGTCACCCTGGACCCCCGTCATGCCCACCAGGTGTGCCAGGGTGGTGGTGAGCAGCTGGGCAAGGCCATGGTGGGACTGGACAGGACTGTCTCACGTGGACTCCTCCTGTGGCCCAGGTGCAGGGTCTGTGTGGCACCTTCACCTGGAACCAGCAGGACGACTTCTTGACACCGGCTGGGGACGTGGAGACCAGCATTGCTGCCTTTGCCAGCAAGTTCCAGGTGGCAGGCGAGGGAAGGTGCCCCTCAGGGGACAGCGCCCCGCTTTCCCCCTGCAGCGCCCACTCCCAGCGCCACACTGTCGCAGAGGCAGCCTGTGCCGTCCTGCATGGCCCGGCCTTCCAGGTAGCCGGGTGGGCGCCGCCCACACCTGTGAGATGGGCGACACCTGCCCTGCCCTCCTCCTGGGCTCTTAGAAGGATCAAGGGAGATCAGCCAAAACCAGGGAGGTGGCAGCAGGGACTGAGGGGACGGAAGCCCCATGGAGGAGGAGCTGACCCATTTCCTCCTCTATTCCCAAGGAGTGCCACGGGCTGGTGGACAGGGAGCCGTTCCAGCTGCGCTGCCTGGCAGCCGTGTGCGGCTGCACCCCTGGCAGGGACTGCCTGTGCCCGGTGCTCTCTGCCTATGCACGCCACTGCGCCCAGGCCGGCGCCCTGCTTGCTTGGAGGAACCAGACTCTCTGCCGTGAGGCTCCCCCTCCTCCCTTGTCCTCCCCCTTCTAGGAGTGGCTGGGGGCAGGGCTGCACCTCTGACCTTGGCAGATTGCTGGGCTTTTCCTCCTGCAGAGGCCCAGGGGCTGTGGGGTGTGCAATTCAGAGGGGGTGGGCAGAGCTGGCCATGGCAATGCCCCTGACCTGCATGTGTCCCGTGCCCAGCCGTCCTGTGTCCTGGTGGCCAGGAGTACCAGGAGTGTGCCCCGGCGTGCGGTCGACACTGTGGGGAGCTGGAGGACTGTGGGGAGCTGGGCGGCTGTGTGGCTGGCTGTACCTGCCCCCCAGGGCTGCTGTGGGACCCCGAGGGCCAGTGTGTGCCCCCCAGCCTGTGCGTCTGCCAGCTCGGAGCTCGTCGCTACGCCCCGGGCAGTGCCACCACGAAGGACTGCAACCGCTGGTGAGGGCAGCGACCTTGGGGCGAGAGGAGGAATGTGGGGTGAAGATGTAGAGCTTGAGAGAGAATGGGTGGGCTGTGTGGCCTTGTGGGTCACATGTTGGGGACCACAGCGTGCTGGTAACTTCCCTTCAGTCGCAGAGCACTCGAGGGTCTACAAGGCACTTTGATGTACGCTATCTTATTTAATTTTACTTTCTTACAATGACCTAATAAAGTGAGAAGTGGAAGAATTGTTCCCGTTTTGCGGATGAGGAAACTGAGGCTCAGATAGGCTAAATGGCGTGCAGAGTCACAGGCCTGGCTTATGAATGAGGGTAGAGGCGGTACGGGTCAGTGCAGGCAGGGCCAGGATCCGGCACGGGGTGGGACAGTGCAGTCCCTCTCCTCCTGGGCTGGGAGCAGGCTGTTCAATCTCTCTCTCCACCCCAGAGCCTGGAGAATGGTGCCACTGGAGCTGGGGCAGGAAAGGATGACAGTGCCTATCCCAGGCATGTCAGGGTGCTGCAGACAGCCTAGCCCCCTGCGCTGGTGACTGGCTGTTGGGAGCTGAGATGCTCAGGTCTCCGGCGTCAGGGCTGGGTCTTCACACCTGTGCCCCCAGCATCTGGGCTCCTGAGACTCTCACTAGGTCAGACCAGGGCCCCGGGGGCCTGAACTTGGTGCTTCCTCCCTCCCAACCTGCTGCAGTGTCTGCCAGGAAAGGGGCCTCTGGAACTGCACGGCCCGCCGCTGTCCGCCACGGCGGGCATTCTGTCCCCGGGAGCTTGTCTATGCCCCTGGTGCCTGCCTCCTCACCTGTGACAACCCCCAGGCCAACCACTCCTGCCCCGCGGGCAGCGCTGATGGCTGTGTCTGTCCGCTGGGCACGGTGCTGCTGGTGAGTCCAGGAAGGGGCAGCAGCGCGACCTCCCCTAGGCCAGGGCACTGCCCTGCTCCCCTCACTGTGCACAGCAGCGTGGGGTCGTTGGGCAGCCTCCCACGGCATGCTTTGTCCCTGCCCTCTGCCCAGGATGAGCGCTGTGTGCCTCCTGAGCTGTGTCCCTGCCGTCACAGTGGGCAGTGGTACCCGCCCAACGCCACCATCCAGGAAGACTGCAACGTCTGGTATGTCCAGCCACTGTGACCTTGTGGGTCTGGCTCTCCAAACGTCATCCTTCCCTTCGCCAGAAGAGGCTGGGGTGGTAGGTGGGGTGTCCAGACTGCCCGGGTGATGGGAACCCGCAGGACCCCTCCACGATGCCAGCCTGTCTGCAGTTGCCTGGAACCCAGCCCAGCTTCATCCCTGTCCTCAGTGACTCTGTTTCCCCCCACCTCACCCACAGCGTGTGCCGGGGCCGGAAGTGGCACTGCACAGGCCGGCAGTGCAGTGGGCGGTGCCAGGTGTCAGGCGCCCCCCACTATGTGACGTTCGATGGACTGGCCTTCACCTTCCCCGGGGCCTGCGAGTATCTGCTGGTGCGAGAGGCCGGCGGCCGGTTCACAGTCTCTGCCCAGAACCTGCCCTGCGGGGCCAGCGGTCTCACCTGCACCAAGGCGCTGACTGTGCGTCTGGAGAGCACTGTAGTGCACATGCTCAGAGGTGGCTGGGACACTAAAAGGGTGACATTGCCGGGGCCTGGGGTTTCCATGCCAGCCCATTGAGGGACAGCTCCTCCATGGCTCAGCTGCCCTCAGCTGGTGCCTTTCCTCTTGATTGGGAATCATAATTCCATAAAGCTCCAAGAAATTAAGGCCCAGAGAAATCTAATGATGTGCCCAAGGTCCCATAGGTAGAGAGGCAAAGAAAGGATTGGAGGGGAGGCTGGAGAGCCCCTCGAGGGCCTGGGGGGCCCCTTCCTCCAGGCTGGGCCTGAATGCTCTCTTCTTCCACAGGCCGGGCAGTGACAGTGAATGGGGTGAGTGTGACACCACCCAAGGTCTACACGGGTCCCGGGCTGAGCCTGCACCGTGCTGGCCTCTTCCTGCTGCTCACGACCCGCCTGGGCCTCACCCTGCTCTGGGACGGAGGTCAGCCCCTGCCCCGGCCGTCTGACCCATGCCCGGCCTCAGCACAGGGCTGGACTCCCCGAGACTGTCCTCCCGACGCCAGACCTGCCCCTGACACCCCCACAGGGCACGTTTCCAGCCTGACAGCCAGGCCAGGCCCCCAACCCTGACTTTACCCGCCTCCTGGCCTCAGCCAGCACAGCCCTGCCTCCCGGCCCGTGCACACGGTCAGAGTTTCCAAATCAGGTTTTCATAATGATGTTTTTCTTCATTATGAAAGCAATACTTCCGCACCAAAGAAACATTTAGGAAATACCAAGCTTTAGAAACAAGAAATGAAAATAAATCTCCTGCCATCCCACCACCCAAACACAAGCAGCTGGCACATTAGAAATGTAGCTGTTACTGAGAAACCAAGAGAAAGCGAAGTGACACCCACGTGGCCTCGGCTCAGTGCCGCCGGGCTGCCCCCTGGCCCGAGGCCGCCAAGGGCTCTGGTGCCGGGAGGTCCCGCAGACTACCCTGGAGTCTGGCTTCCTGTCCAGAACGTGACCTGCCCCCAGCCTGGCGTTAGCAAAATAGACCCCAGCTTCTCCTCCCCTTAGCCCCCCAAATGTAGGTGTCCTCGCTTACCACCACCAGCCAGCGCCCCCCACAAAAGAGGGTGGTGGCCCCTCACGGTGTGAGAGACAGGCCAGTTGTCCCCCCTTGGTCTTCTCCCGGGCCAGAAGAAGGCCAGTGTGCTGATTTGTTTGCAATGCTGCCGCCAGGCACGCGGGTGCTGGTGCAGCTGCCCCCCCAGTTCCGCGGTCGTGTGGCCGGGCTGTGCGGAGACTTTGACGGAGACGCCAGCAACGACCTGCGGAGCCGCCAGGGCGTCCTGGAGCCCACGGCTGAGCTGGCCGCCCACTCCTGGCGCCTCAGTCCCCTCTGCCCGGAGCCAGGAGACCTGCCGCACCCCTGCACCGTGAGCAAGGGCAGGAAAGGGGGAGGGGTGGGGTCCAGAGGCCAGGGCCCGTCCAAGGTGCTGGAGCTGCCCTGGGCCTGCAGGTGAATGCGCACCGGGCTGCCTGGGCTCGGGCCCGCTGCGGGGTGGTGCTGCAGCCACTCTTTGCCCCGTGCCACGCGGAGGTGCCCCCGCAGCAGCACTACAAGCGGTGTGTGTACGACGCCTGCAGGTGAGCGGGGGCGGGCTGGGGCGGGTGGGAGAGGGGGTGCCAGGGGTGGGCAGGGGTGCCGGGTCTGAACGCGCCCTCCCACAGCTGCGATTCAGGGGGCGACTGTGAGTGCCTCTGCTCAGCCGTTGCCACCTATGCAGACGAGTGTGCCCGGCACGGGCACCATGTGCGCTGGCGCAGCCAGGAGCTCTGCCGTGAGTATGCCCCACCCTCAGCCCCTGTGCCCAGTCCTGGCACGTGCAGGACGCTTCTGCTGTGTGGAGAGCCAGCCGTTTGCTCATTCGAGAGCAACTACGCATCGCAAGCTTACTGCTGCCACTCTTCTAGATCAGCCAGACATGCGAGAACGGCTGCCCTGCAGAGCTGACACAGTACAAATGGCCCTGGCGGGGGGAGAGGGAGTCTCAGCAAAGGTCTATGCCAGGCACCCCTCTGCCCTCTGTGGGTGTCACCTGGACCATCTCGCCTAGTACTGATGCATACTGTTGCCCTCGTGCCTCGGTGACCCGATCCTCTCTCCTCTCCCTCAGCCCTGCAGTGTGAAGGGGGACAGGTGTATGAGGCCTGTGGCCCCACGTGTCCCCCCACCTGCCATGACCACCGTCCCGAGCCCAGGTGGCACTGCCAGGCTGTGGCCTGCCTGGAGGGCTGCTTCTGCCCCAAGGGGACTCTGCTGCACGGTGTGTGGGTCAGAAGGGGCAGAGGGGAGGGGACGCTGAGATTGGGAAGGGGCCACAGGTCATGGTGACAGGGCTGGGCTAGTAGCCACCGTGCCCTCTGGCTCTGAGCCCTGGGCTCTGTGATCTCAGGAGGAGCCTGCGTGGAGCCGGCCGCCTGCCCCTGCGAGTGGGAGGGCAGCTTCTTCCCGCCGGGGGCCGTGCTGCACAAGGACTGCGGGAACTGGTGAGCACGGCCAGGCCCTAGGAGGGGCCTGTGGGAGGAGCCCCGCGCCAAGCCCAGCCTGGACTGAGCCCAGCACACCGTGTGCTCAGCACGTGCCAGGAGAGCCAGTGGCGCTGTGGGGGTGACGGTGCCCGCTGCGAGGACCTGGTGCCCAGCTGTGCAGAGGGAGAGGCCCCGTGCCAGGGGAACGGACACTGCATACCACTCTCGTGGCTTTGTGACAACCAGGACGACTGTGGCGATGGCTCAGATGAGGAGGGTGAGTCTGTGCCTGTGCATGGCAGTGACAGTGATGGGTTAGTCCTTGTACGTGTCACCAAGCTTTCTGGGGCTGAGGTGGTTGTCCCCTGGGGTGTCTTCTTTAGCTACTGCTCCCATTGCCAGGGACTATGACTTTGGGGCGGGTGGGGCGGGTGGGGCATCCCGGTCCTCCTGGGACCCTGGGCAGTGTCCTGAGCCTGCCTGCTGCCCCGTGCCAGGCTGTGCCGCCCCAGGCTGTGGGGAGGGGCAGGTGTCCTGCAGCTCTGGCCACTGCCTGGCGCCGGCCCTGCTCTGCAACGGCAAGGACGACTGCGGAGACGGCTCTGACGAGCAGGGCTGCCCGTGCCCCCCCGGCTCGCTGACCTGTGCCGACGGGGGCTGCCTGCCCCCGGCCCTGCTCTGCGACGGGCACCCTGACTGTCCAGACACCGCTGACGAGGAGTCCTGCCCGGGTGCGTTGTCCCCTGCCCTGGACGCCCGCCCACTAGGCACCCCCTCCCACAAGGCCCCTGTCCTCGTGAGCCCCCTCCTTTGCCAGGTTCCCTCTGTGAAGTTGGCACCTGTGAGGGTGTGAGTGGGGTCTCCTCAAGAGTAAGAGCAGTGGGCAGTGCCCTGCGACCGGCTCCTCCTTTCCGGCTGCAGAGCAGGTGAACTGCATCCCCGGGGAGGTGTCCTGCATTGACGGCACCTGTGTGGGCGCCAGCCAGCTGTGTGACGGAGTTTGGGACTGCCCGGACGGAGCTGATGAGGGGCCTGGACACTGCCCCCTCCCCTCTCTGCCCACACCACCTACCGGCACCTTGCCTGGGCCCTCCACCGGCTCCCCGGACACTACGCTGCCGGGTCCCCTGGCCGGCGCCAGCCCAGGTGAGTGTCCTGGAGGCAATGGGCGGAGAAAGCTGGTGGGGACGAGGGGGAGGGGTGGGGGAGTGTCTGAGGGCGTGGGTGCTGCTCAGGGCGGGAAGGGGCAGGCATGGGGCAGACAAGGGGAGATGCCCACCTGAATGCCGTGGCGGGCGTTTGAGGGGGATTGAAGAGTCCGAACTTTATTTCCTGGCGTTCAAGGCCTCCCTCTGAGCTGAGGGGAGTCTTCTGGGAACTCCTGGTCCAAGAGAGAGCTTTTGGAAAACCAATAGGGCAGCAAAATGCAGGAGGGATTGGACTTGGGGAGGGGCAGAAGGTGGGTACAGCCGGGCCCGGACAGGACGCGAGGGCCTGGAGCAGCGGGGGAGATGGCAGGGCAGAGCCGCCTGGAGGCCGCAGAGCCCGCCGAGGGTCTAGCGCGGGCGCCCTCCGCAGCGCCGCCCTGCGGCCCCTTCGAGTTTGCGTGCGGCAGCGGCGAGTGCACCCCGCGGGGCTGGCGCTGCGACCAGGAGGAGGACTGCGCCGATGGCAGCGACGAGCGCGGCTGCGGCGGGCCCTGCGCGCCGCCCCACGCGCCCTGCGCCAGCGGCCCGCACTGCGTGGCCCCGGGGCAGCTGTGCGACGGCGTGCCCCAGTGCCCCGACGGCTCGGACGAGGGCCCCGACGCCTGCGGTGAGAGTCCCGCACCCCCACCCGCGCGCCCCATGGCCAAGCAGGCCCGACCCATCTCCCCGCACGCACCTCCCGCCTTGCCCTCTGCCGACCAGCTGGGGGTGCAGCTAGAGTGACTTGGAGGGTGGGGACTCAGAGTCTGAGCAACTTATACCCTCTTGTGATCTTTTCATGAAACTTTTTTGAAAACTTTCTGCCCTGCCACCGAGGCCTAGGGGAGAGAGGATAGGGGGTTTGTCTTTGCCCAGAGATTTCTTTGAGCCAGGCGTGGTCCCATATTGGCCCTGCCTCCTACCCGCATTCCCCTCCACTGCCTTGGCACCCCTGCCAGCCCCTTTGCACGGAAGGGGTGGGAGGGGACAGAGACACAGCAGGACACTCCTTTCGATGGCCTTAGGCTCCACCCAGCCGCCAGCTTGCCATGGGCTCTCTCCCTGCGGTTTGCCCCCTGGCCTGCCTGCACCCTGAGTGGCTCTGCGGTAGGATCCCCAACTGTCCCCAGAGCAAGGATGAGCTGGACTGCAGTGCAATACTTCGTTCACCTGAGGGAGGCCATGCTGGCGTGAGCCTGGGAGGTGGCTGTCATGCCCTGCTAACTGTGTTTTCTGTCCTCTTCTCCCTCAGAGGGGCTGCCAGCCCCAGGAGGCCCCAACAGGACAGGGGCTCCCTGCCCAGAATACACCTGCCCTGATGGCGTCTGCATTGGTTTCCAGCTGGTGAGAGTGGGAATGGGCGGAGGAGGCAGAGCCGCTGCGCACCCAGCTCGATGGGAGCCCTGATCCCCTCCCCTCCCCAGGTGTGCAACGGGAAGCCTGACTGCGAAGGGCCGGGGGAGGCCGGGCCCTCCCCAGAAGAGCAGGGCTGTGGGGCCTGGGGCCCCTGGAGCCCGTGGGGGCTGTGCAGCCGCACCTGTGGGCCTGGGGTGCAGGCCCGGAGCCGCCGCTGCTCCCCACCTGGCCTCCAGGTGCTGCAGCACTGCCCGGGCCCCGAGCGCCAGTCTCAGGCTTGCTTTAGCGGGGCCTGCCCAGGTGAGGCCTGGGCTGGGAGGGGTGGGGGCCTGGAGAAAGGGGGAGAGAGGAAGGGCCCTGGGCCTAGGCCCTACCCCCCCCCCCGTCCCTGCCGCCCACCCTGCCCCTCCGCCTCACAGTGGATGGAGAGTGGAGCTCCTGGTCTCCCTGGTCCCCGTGCTCTGAGCCGTGCGGGGGCACCACGATGCGGCAGAGGCAGTGCCACCCACCCCAGAACGGGGGCCGCACCTGCGCTGCGCTGCCCGGGGGCCCACACAGCGCCCGCCAGACCAGTGAGTGGAAGGGAGGGGCCCCGGTGGAGGTGGGAAGGCTCGTTCCCACCTGCTGCCATCCACCCTCCCCAACCTCTGGCCCTTGTCCCGGCTTTCTGTCAGAGCCCTGCCCTCAGGACGGCTGCCCCAACGCCACGTGCTCTGCGGAGCTGGTGTTCTGGCCCTGTGCTCCCTGCCCTCTGACCTGTGATGACATCTCTGGCCAGGCCATGTGCCCGCCTGACCGGCCCTGTAGCAGCCCAGGTAAGGGGACCTGGGGCCCAGGGTCTGGCTTCGGGCTGCGGGTCTGTGGAGGCCGAGCTCCCTGCCTGGGAGCCTCACCCTGGGCCTGCCCTAGGCTGCTGGTGCCCAGAAGGGCAGGTGCTCGGCATCGAAGGGAGGTGTGTGTGGCCCCGGCAGTGCCCCTGCCTGGTGGACGGCGCCCGCTACTGGCCTGGGCAGCACATCAAGGCTGACTGCCAGCTCTGCACCTGCCAGGACGGGCGGCCCCGGCGCTGCCGGCCCAACCCAGACTGCGCTGGTGAGGCCCCACCCTAGGCCCTTCCCTCGGGGTCCCTGGTCCCTTACCCAGATCACCAGCCAGGCACCCACCCCCTCCTCCTCCTGGTCCCAGCTCTGACTCTCGGCCCTCCCTCAGTGGACTGCGGCTGGTCCTCCTGGGCCCCCTGGGCCGAGTGCCTGGGCCCGTGTGGGAGCCAGAGCATCCAGTGGTCCTTCCGGAGCCCCAACAACCCCCGGCCCTCCGGCCGAGGCCGCCAGTGCCGTGGCATCCACCACAAGGCCCGCAGGTACCCTGCACCCACCCCGGGGCCCTTGCCCCCACCTCCCACTCAGGAGGCTTCCTGTGTGCCCCTTCCCTCGATAGGGGACCCCTAATTAGGAACCCTGCTCGTGCCCCGGCCAGGACGTGGCCTTCTCCTACTTCAGTTTCATGCCCTCTAGGTCCAGAGGGGGTAGACAGAGCCCACAGATGCAGCTTGACAAATCCGGGGCAGGAATGGGTCCCCTGATTTGGCCCCTTGCACCTCTGGAGGTACCTGGGGCGAAGCTCGCCAGGGAGGTATCTGCCCGCCGGCCCCCTGGCTGCGGTGCTGCCTCAAGTGGCCTCCCTGCCCCTCTTCCGGGCCAGGTGCAAGACGGGGTGTGAGACCAAACGTCCCAGTTTGCCCAGGACTGGCCCAGTTTTCCAGGCAAACCAGGAGGGCTAGTCACCCTGGGTGGGTCCCCTCCGTTCCCAGGTGCCTGACGGAGCCCTGCGAGGGCTGCGAGCACCAGGGCCGGGTCCACCGCATCGGGGAGCGCTGGCGCGGGGGCCCCTGCAGGGCGTGCCAGTGTCTGCACAACCGCACCGCCCTCTGCTCCCCCTACTGCCCGCTGGGCCGCTGCCCCCAGGTGAGAGCCTGCAGGGGCGTTGCGAGGAGCCCAGGGCAGGGGAGGCTGATGGGGTGGGTCGGAGGTAGGCAGGTGGCCTGACCTTTGTCTGGGTCCCCACAGGGCTGGGTCCTGGTGGAGGGAACAGGAGAGTCGTGCTGCCGCTGTGTCCTGCCTGGTGAGTGGGCCGGGGGTGGCAGAGGGCCACCAGGGGAGGAGGATGGGCAGGGACCCTGAGGGGCACCAGGTGACTGGATACACAGCCTCAGGGTGCTGAGCAGCCAGAGTCCTGGATGCTGGGAAGGCAGGGACCCTGTGGTGGCAGGGCTTGTCTCTGCCCTCCCCTCTCTGCCTGCCTCCCTTGTCGTTTAGAGGCTCTCTGCCTCCATCCCCTCACCCCCGCCCGGTGCCATCTTTGAGGGCACTCTCCTTTCTGCTGGGCCAGATCCGGTTGCTCTCCTGTCCCCCTTTGTTCCTGAAAAAGTTGGACTTTTTCAAGAGCATGTTTACCTTAAAACGAATTATAAATGGAACAGGAAAATCCAAAGGGTTATAGACAGATGCATTTATGGGTGCAGCTTTCTTATCCTAAAAGTGCATCCACAGGTTGCTGAGGTTCAGACAGAGCCAGCATACACAGTGGTACAGGTTGCTCACCGCACAAGTTGGCTGGTGAGTGGGGGCTAGACGCCAGCCCGAGGGCTGCTTCCATCCGGAGGCAGCCCCTTTCTAATGCCCACAGAGGCACCCCATTAGGGACAGCATCTCCGGATTAGGAACGGCAGCTGCTCGGTCCTGGGCCTAAAGCAGCTTTGGACTGGCGGTTTTATTCTATGTTCTCCAAATAGTCAGGAGAAGTGAAAGCCCCCAGTATACACCAAGGGAAGGAGGGACCTTTCTCAGCTGGGGGGTGGTTCCTGGGGTTCCTGGGAAGTCATGGGAAGGAAGTGCTCTGAGAAGTGGGGAGAGGCCTGAGAGCCGGGCCAGCGACTGTTGTGAGCCTCTCTCAGTGTCGCCCTCCTGACCCGGCGTCTCCCCACCCAGGAGAGGACCAGACAGTCCACCCCATGGCCACTCCCAGCCCAGCTCCAGCCCCCGGTTCCCAGGTCGGAGCCCCACTGGTCGGCCACATTCTGCCTCCGCCGGGAGGTGAGGGCCACGTGCTGTGGCAGTGCGGTGCTGAGGGGTGCGCTCTGCCCGGGGGCGGCCAGACCTGGAGGGAGCAGGACTCGGGGAGCTGCCCCCTGCTCTGCACACAGAGGGTCGTTATCCATCTTAAGTTCCCTCCCAGACCAGTCTTCTGTCCTGTTGTCCTATCCTTGGACGCCTGTGTGAGCCCTTCCGATCCCCCAGCTCCCCTTGTGGCTCCTGCCACCCTCTGTCCTCCCCAGTCCAGCCCGTCTCTCTCCTCTGCACCCAGACCCCTGCTATTCTCCCCTGGGGCTGGCCCGACTGCCACAGGGGAGCCTGCGAGCGTCGTTGTCGTCCCAGCAGCTGCAGCACCCCACCTGGGCTGCCCTCCCGGCAGCCCCCACCGAGGGGCCGGGCCCTGAGGGATGGAGCCCCGGAGAGGGTGCTTACGCCGAGTGGCAGCCCTACCTGCAGCTGGACCTGCTGCGGCCCCACAACCTCACCGGTCAGTGCAGAGGCTGGGGGACGGCAGTGACAGGGAGGGGAGTGGCTCCTTCAGCTCTGACCTCTGCTCTTGCCCTGGCCCCGCCCCAGGCATCGTAGTGCAGGCGGCTGGTTCCTCCAGCACTCACGTCGCCAGCTTCTTGCTCCAGCTCAGCAGTGATGGTCTACACTGGCACGACTACCATGACATCCTGCCTGGCGTCTTGTCCCTGCCCAAGGTACCACCCTCCCAAGGCCCTGGGCCAGTGACCCACCTTATTATCCCTTTGTGGGTCCCAGAGTCTTTGTCCCCAAGGGCTTTTTGGCCTCCCTGAGGGACACGGCCTGCATTCGACACTTGTTGAACCCCTGGGAGGTAGCAGGGGCTGTGCTCTGCAGAGCAGAGGTTCGGGTGCCACTGTCGAGTGGACGCTGGAAGCCATCCAAGTGGCTCAGACTTAGGGCAGGTAGTCGAGCCCTACAGCAGCCTGCGGGGGAGAGGGGTGAGGAGACAGCGAGTTCAGCGAGGGCCTCGGGGAGCCCAGGTCCATGCAGGGCCATGTGTGGAGCAGCCTGGCACAACCCTGCCCTCGTGGGGTTTGCATCACCCCGGGGAGACAAGCCCCAGGAAGCAGCAGGAGTCAGCCGACGTCACGAGTTCATTCTTAACTGTGTAAGCAGCACCCGCTGTGTGCAGGTGCTGGGCCAGGCCCTGGGGACACAGTGGTGAGCATGACCTGTCCCCTGTGCTCAGGGCACCGCCAGCCCAGGAGGAGGAGCTTAGGCCAGGACCAGCCTTGAAAGGCCCAGACGGCCACTGCTGGGGGCATGGGCCATGGGGGTGCGGCAGGGTCCATGCCGAGAGGGTGTGAGGGGGGAGGATGATGAAGGGCACTCAAAGGTCACGTGGGGGGAGCTTGAGCAGGAGGTTGGGGTCCGTCAGCAGCACCCTCTGCCGGCAGCTTTTCCCTGACACCTGGGGCGACCTGGCCCCCGAGGTATGGACATTCGGCCGGATGGTGCAGGCGAGGCACGTCAGGGTGTGGCCCCGAGATGTCCACCACAGCGAGCACGGCCGGGGCGTCTTCCTGCGGGTGGAGCTGCTGGGCTGTGAGCCAGGTACGGGCTGGGCCCGGAGCGGGCGGGGCGGGTGAGCGGGGCCTGCTAGTGTCAGCAGCCCTGAGCCATGTGCCCCCCAACAGTGTCCCCGACAGTGTCCCCGTCGGTGCCCCCGTGCCCTGGGGCCGGGCACCGCTGTGCCAGTGGAGAGTGTGCCCTGAGAGGGGGCCCGTGCGACGGCGCTGCAGACTGCAGGGATGGCTCGGATGAGGAGGGCTGCGCGCCCAGGTGCGGAGGGGCCTCCTGCCCAGCTCTTAGGGGGACAGCCACGCAGGAGGGCCCCTGCACTGCCCTTGCCCTCCCTGGCGCCCACGGACCCTGCGTGCTGAGGAGCTGCCACTGGGCGCCTTCAGAGGCCCTTTCCCGCCTGGGATTCTAGGGTGCTGTGCCTTTTTCTCCAAGTGTAGCCCCTACACCTGCACCATCCGCAGCACCTGGACCTTGTTGGAAATGCAGATTCTCGGGCCCTCCCCTGACTTCGAGGTGGGGCAGCACTTCTGCCAGCCTCGGCAGGCAGCGTGCTTCCCAAATGCCCCACCAGCACAAGCCCCCAGGCCCAGGCCAGGTCCCTGACCCCTGCCTGGACGCAGGGCTCTCAAGCTGGGGGAGCCCCTGGGACCCCTGTGCCTATTTTTCTTTCCAGAGTCCATCCCACAGCCGGGACCCCGGTCTTCTCCTCCACCCAGCCCAGGGAGGTGAGTGGGCAGCTGTGGGCCCAGAGGGTAGGGACAGGGAGCCCCCGCTCCTGTGCCTGCGTCTCCCCCCTGCGCATGTTCAGCCGTGTTTCCCTGGTGTGTGTTCCCTGGTGCTGCCTCAGTCGGGCCTTCAGCCCAGGAGCCTTCTGGGGGCAGACGGAGGTGGACAGAAGCACAGGGTGGGCGCTGGCCCGGAGGAGTATGGGGACCAGAGAGGCCCTTGCCCCTGGCAGGGAGGTGATGCCCACGGGGCAGGCGCCAGAGCACCCATGCTCAGAGCTGGAAGAGCACTGCGCACAGGTTCCCAGGGGCTCCCTGGACAGGGCTGGAAGGATGGGGGTTGGGTATCTATCACATGGAGGAGAGAGCAGGACACCTGGCCCCGGGGAGCAGCCTGGTCAGGAGCCCAGAGGGTGTACACATGTGTGTGCACGTGTGTACATGTGTGTGCCCATGTGTGCTCTTGTTGAGGCAGAGACGGGGGAGTTTGGGGGGGCAAGAGCGGAAGTGGGCCGCCGGGGTGGGCCAGTGAGAGCAGGTCCCTGAGCTCCTTGAGGGCGGTGGGCGGGCACTGGGGGCGGCAGACCTCACATGAAGAAGAGTTGGCGCCATCCTCAGCTCTGCCTTGGGCTGCGGGGAAGGCAGAGGGAAGGTGGAGTGGGGGCGGTGAGACCGTGGGCGCCCCAGCTGCACCCTCCATGGGAATGGGAGGCTGGTGCCTGGACAGGAGCTGCCCTCAGAGCCAGGGCTGTGTGGGGCGCTGAGCCCTCTCCCTCCGCAGGGTCTGGCGGGGACTGAACACGGGCATCCCGTGCAGGAGCCACCCACACCCCCCACAGGTATGTGTGCAAGCTCCAGGCCCCTCCCCGAAGCCCGTCCCTGCCTGCCCTTCTGGAGCAAGGGGCAGTTACATGTCAGACGGTCCCATCCTCTGACCCCTGCCCTCCCCCAAGTGAGAGAGCTGCGGGGTTGGCGCAGGGAGGAGACACTGGTCACCCTGGACATGGCCAGGTCCTGCCCCTGCCCTCCCTCTGGGATTCCAGGGTTCGAGGGCTGTAGGTTGGTGGAGTAGGTGGTTCCAGGCCTGCTCCCAGGCTCAGCCTGTGCCCTACAGTGTGCCCCACCCCGGGGGTGGGAGGCCGCAGGCCCAGCCTGTGTTCCCTCTGCTCACCACCCGTGCAGCGCGCCCCCTTGCCGAAGTGTTGGCTGGCCCAGATCTCTCTGCGTGGACACCGGGGCAGACGGTCACCAAGTTAGCACGTTGTAAACAAGACAAGGAGGGTGCGCCCTGCCCGGTTGTGATCAGCCTCCCGGGGCCACCGATCATTCACCTGCACCCCAGCCAGGGGAGAGCTGTCTTCACAGCGGGGCAGCCAGGACGGAGGGGAGCGAGGGCCATCAGGGCAGTGGCTCTGTCTGGGCTCTGTCCTCCCCAGGGAGATGTTGGGCACAGCATACCACCTGTCTGGGCCTCAGTTTCCCCATCTGTGAGAAAAGGAGGTCTTACAGACAACCTCCACGGCCCCTCCCTGTAAGTTCTGATTTAAGTTCAGAAGCCTGGGCGGATTGTGTTTCGGAGCAAATCAAGCAACTTATATACCGTCCCTCAGGTCCCTCACGTGTAGCCCCATGGGATGAGGTCTAATCTCATTTTAAGTCCGGCTCTACGAAATGGCTAGTTTTGAAGATGAATCTCTTGCCAGAAAATGAGACTCTTTTTTTTTTTTTTTTGAGACAGAGTCTCACTCTGTTGCCTGGGCTAAAATGCTGTGGTGTCAGCCCAGCTCACAGCAACCTCAAACTCCTGGTCTCAAGGGATCCTCCTACCTCAGCCTCCCGAGTAGCTGGGACTACAGGCATGTGCCACCCTGCCTGGCTAATTTTTTCTATATATATTAGTTGGCCAATTAATTTCTTTCTATTTATAGTAGAGACAGGGTCTCACTCTTCTCAGGCTGGTTTTGAACTCCTGACCTCGGGCAATCTGCCCTCCTCGGCCTCCCAGAGTGCTAGGATTACAGGCGTGAGCCACCGTGCCCGGCAAAAATGAGACTCTTCGCTATAGCTGCCGGGAAGCTAAAAACTAGTTTTTTGTATAGCAGTAGAAATAGGCTCATCCTGAGACTCTGGTAGTATTTGCTCCTTCTGCTAGCTGTGTTTAAATGACCTCAGTCCTTTCTCTCGGTAAATATGTTACTTTATAGTGAATTGGAACTTGAAAGTTGTCACGTGTCTTCTTGAGAATAGAGGACAAATGTCAGATCAAAACTAAGTTATCTATTTTTGGTTAAAACCCTTCTTGTGCCCCTTGGAATACCAAGTCCCTTTCTTTCTTTCTTTCTTTTTTTTTTTTTTTTGAGACAGAGTCTCCCTTTGTTGCCCAGGCTAGATTGAGTGCCATGGCGTCAGCCTAGCTCACAGCAACCTCAGACTCCTGGGCTCAAGCAATCCTTCTGCCTCAGCCTCCCGAGTAGCTGGGACTACAGGCATGCACCACCATGCCCGGCTAATTTTTTACATATTTATTAGTTAGCCAATTAATTTCTATTTTTATAGTAGAGACGGGGGTCTTGCTCTTGCTCAGGCTGGTTTCGAACTCCTGACCTGGGGCAATCCGCCCGCCTCGGCCTCCCAGAGTGCTAGGATTACAGGCGTGAGCCACTGCGCCCGACCCCAAGTCCCTTTCTTTTTTGATCTGAGACCCCTGAGAAGGTGGCATGTAGTCTGTGGTACCTGCGAGTCCCCTGCACCTCCCAAGCCTGGGATCAGCTCTGAGGGCCGTGCTGCGTCCTCTCTCATGAAGGGCAGCCGGGCAGGCCTCACCTCTCTCCCTCCTCCACCCACAGAGAGGAGGCCCGCGAGTCCTGCCCCAGCCTCCAGGGCGCTTCACCTGAGTTCTGGGGAATCCGTGCAGACACTGCCCACCACCCCCACCCCACAGATGGAGGCCGGGACCCCGCAGCCAGGGATGGCCGCCGTGACCATGCTCCTCCCACACCCAGAGACTCTGAGGACCCCTGCTGGTAAGGCGCCAAACCCTCTGTCTGCGCAGAGCCGCGTGAGCCGGCAACTTCCCTGTGAGGGGCAGGGTCCTGGGAGGTTGACTGCTTTGTTCAGAGTCCCACAGCTCTAGGTGGCGTGCCCAGTGTCTCCCAGGGGACGAGACAGCCAGGACAAACCCACTGTCCTGATGGCCCATGCCACCCCTCAAGGTCATTTTAGGAAGGACCAGGCCCAGGACTCAAGCCTCCGGACCCAGTTCACTCCTTTGCCATTATCCCAATAGAGGCAGAAAGTGGGGCACGCCAGGTGCCCAGAGGGGGACTGACCCTGGAGGGAGGACAGGGCAGGCCGGGTGACTGATGGGCTGGTGCGGTGGTGCCCACAGGCCAGAGTGTCGCCCCGAGGCCCTTCCCAGCCGTGCGGTGCAGCCCTGGCCAGGTGCCCTGCGAGGTGCTGGGCTGCGTGGAGCAGGCGCAGCTGTGTGACGGCAGCGAGGACTGCCTCGACGGCTCTGACGAGAGGCGCTGCGGTGAGCTCCTGGAGGGTCCGCTGGTCCCACGGTGGTGGGAGGGTGGCAAGACGTGCGGAGAAGTCCCCGTTCCCATTTCTAGCTCATATGGGAAGGACCTGGGAGCGGCTTAGGGCAGCAGGGATCGGAGAGAAACCGAATGGGTAAAAACACCAAGAAAGTGTGTCTTTGGGGATGGTGAAGAGGAGGAATAGGATGGCTCTTGGGTCCCAGCTTGTTTTATGAAACCTGTCTGACCCTTGAGGAGGCTCATTCACCCACCCATCCATCTACCCATCCATCCATCCATCCATCCACCCATCCACCCACCCATCCATCCATCCACCCACCTGTCCATCCATCCATCCATCCATCCATCATCCACCCGCCCACCCACCCATCTACCCATCTATCTATCCATCCATCCATCCATCCATTTGTCTACCCATCAACCCATCCATCCACCCACCTGTCCATCCATCAATCCACCCATCCAGCAAGCCAGCCACCCACCCATCTATCCATCCGTCCGTCCGTCCATCCATCCACCCACCTGTCCATCCATCAATCCACCCATCCACCCACCCAGCCAGGCAGCCACCCACCCATCTATCCATCCATCCATCCATCCATCCATCCATCCATCCATCCATCCATCCATCCAAAGTAGATCACAATGATCAAAGCCTAGTCTTCCAATCAGGAGGAGAAGTCAAGTGTTAACCAATCTCAGGCAGGGGCACTCAGGGAGTATGCATTCAGGAAGAGGGTACCCAAGGGAATGAACTACTCTTCTAGATGCCCTGATCTCTCTCTGGACACTCCAAGGGGCTTTGACAAGCAGAGAGGCTGTGTGAGAGCCTGTGTAGACCAAAGACCCTGTGCTCTCACCCACGTGGGGTGGAAGGGAGCCTGCTCTGGGCGTGGCTGTAGGAGGCAGGGGAGGAAGAGGAGCCCAGGGCCTCCAGATAGCATGCTGTGTGCGCTCTTGGCCTGGGCTGAAGGGACTCAGGGTGTCGTCCAGCCCATAATCACTTATGTGGCTCCTCCTCCCACCCCATGTGCAGCGAGCCCGGTGCCCTTCACAGTGCCCACCACAGCCCTGCCGGGGTTGCCGGCCTCCAGGGCCCTCTGCTCTCGGAGGCAGCTGAGCTGCGGCAGTGGGGAGTGTCTGCCCGCTGAGCGGCGCTGCGACCTGCGGCCCGACTGCCAGGACGGCTCCGACGAGGACGGCTGTGGTATGTGCTGGGGGGCTGGGGGAGGCCCTGAGGACCCCACTCCTGTGTGAGCCCCACCGAGCCCTGGCCCGCCTGTCCCCCTGCAGTGGACTGTGTGCTGGCAACCTGGTCTGGCTGGAGCAGCTGCAGCCACAGCTGTGGCCTGGGCCTAGCCTTCCAGCGCCGAGAGCTTCTGCGGCCTGCCCTACCTGGGGGCAGCTGCCCCCGCGACCAGCTGCGCAGCCAGTCCTGCTTCGTGCAGGCCTGTCCAGGTAACCCTGCAGCCCAGCCTCCCCAGGAGAGCCCCTGCGCCCACAGGGAAGCTGGGCGGCACCAGCCCCCACTGCCTGCTCAGGAGCCTTCAGATGGGAAACCTGGGATGGGGCAGGCTCCTGTCCGAGATCCTTGCCAGGGAAGTGTCCTGCTCTCCTTTGGGGACCCCAGTGTCCAGCCTCCATCTCTGGGACCCTTGGGGTACAGTGCCATTCTGAGGTCTCAGCCTTGAACCCCCACAGGGGCCATCAGGAGCCCTGCTCCCCGGCCTGCCCCTGCTTTCCTGCCCAAGTCTCAGGTTCCCCGTGAGCAAACGGGTGAGCAAATGGGTAACGGTCACTGCCACCTCGAGGCGCCATGAGGATGAAGGGGGAGGCCTGTGAGGGTGTTTGGAGCCCGACCAGCCTGTACCACTTGCCCCTGGGCCCCGTGCCTGTGCTGAAGTCCTTGTTGCCCTTTTATTCTGTGAATCCAAGCGAGTGGTCCCCCACCATCTCTGTGTGTTACAGAGAGGGGCACCCCACACCGGGGGCCTCCCCAGCCCCACCTCTGGTTCCTACGTGGCTTTGGTGGTCCTACTCTTGCCGCTGCCCCTGGGGCACCCACTCCTGGGTTCCCTTGGTCCCAGCCCCTGCCCAGGCCCCGAGGGGCAGGCGCCCAGCTTCCCCCGGCCCTGCTGTCCGTAACGCAGCGTCTCCTGGGTTCCTCCCAGTGTACCTGCGTTCTGTTCTCCCCGACAGTGGCTGGGGCATGGGCCATGTGGGAGGCCTGGGGACCCTGCAGCGTCTCCTGTGGGGGTGGCCATCAGAGTCGCCGGAGGAGATGTATGGACCCTCCGCCCAAGAACGGCGGTGCCCCCTGCCCTGGGGCCTCCCAAGAGAGGGCACCCTGCGGCTTGCAGCCCTGCACAGGTGGCACAGGTAGGGGGGCCGGGCTGGGGCAGGGCAACCCAGGAGGGAGCCCCTGGGCTTGGGGTGGTCGGGGCAGGTCTCGGCCTCCTGGTGCCCACACCCACTGGTGCCCACCTCCCACCAGACTGCGGGCCGGGCCTTGTGCACGTGAGTGCCGATCTGTGCCAGAAGGGGCTGGTGCCCCCGTGCCCACCATCCTGCTTGGACCCCGAGGCCCACAGAGGTTGCAGCGGCCACTGCGTGGAGGGTGAGCAGAGCTGCACTGAGGGAGCATGCCCCACCCTAGCCGCCCTCCCTGCTGCCTGCTTTGGTGCTGAGTGCTCCCCCCCCCCCAGGATGCCGCTGTCCCCCGGGGCTCCTTCTCCATGACACTCGCTGCCTGCCCCTCTCCGAGTGCCCCTGCCTCGTGGGCGAAGAGCTGAAGCAGCCCGGGGAGTCCTTCCTCCTAGACAACTGCAGCCGATGGTGAGGGCAGCTGCACCGGGGGAGGGCGCCGGGCCTGGGCCCCCCACCCTGGTCCTGATGGGCTGCTCGGCTCCCTGCCCTGCAGCTTGTGTGAGAAGGGGGTGCTGCTGTGCGAACCAGGAGGCTGCCCCCTGCCCTGCGGCTGGTCAGCCTGGTCCTTCTGGGCTCCCTGTGACCGCTCCTGTGGCTCTGGAGTGAGGGCCAGGTTCAGGTGTGTGAGGCAGAAGGAAGTGGGAGAAGGAGGGTGGAGGGTGGAGGGCGGGAGGCTCAGGACCAGGCCAGCCCCGGGTGGAGGGCGGTCAGGGGAGGACAGGGGACAAAGGGGGCAGAGTAGAGGGCAGGGAGAGAGGAGAGCAGGTGCCCCAGGACTGCTCTCTCCCCAGGTCTCCCTCCAACCCTCCGGCAGCTTCCGGGGGTGCCCCATGTGAAGGCGACAGGCAGGAAGTGCAGGCCTGCCACACAGAGTGTGGCACAGGTACAGCCAGGAGCTCACCTTCCTCCTCCCAATTCCATGTCCTAGGATGGGACCCGAGGGGCAGGCCTTGAACTGGCCCTGGCAGGGGTTGTTGGGGGGGGTGCTTGACGTGGATAGGCAGGGGCTCCCACCCGGATGGCGCAGGCCCAGAGCAGCCCGGCCTGGGTGGAGCGGGCGTCTACACAGCCGGCGAGGGAGGTGAGGCTGGCTGGGCTGGGGGAGGCAGGCAGGAGCACGCAGAGGCCAGATGCAGGGGCCAGACTGTTCCGTCTTCCCACGGACTGGGTGCCCCCAGGCTGTGCCGGTGCCAGCAGAGGGGTCTGCAGAGCAGGTAGAGCCTCACGGGCGTGCAGGGAGAGCTAGGCAGGGTGAGGAGGTCGTCCAGGGGGTCTGGGCAGGCTCTAGCAGCGGGAGGGAAGGAGGAGCTGGTGGAGAGTGGCTGGCAGGACAGTGACAGGTGTCCGCAGGGACTCTGAGGTTTCCAGCTCGGAGGATCAGGGAGAGCTGGTCCCGGGGCGAGGGGAGATGGGTGGTGGTCCTGTGGAGGTACCAGCCAGGCGCAGGACAGATCTGTGGGATGTGTGCTGGGCCCGGGCTCAGCGGGGGGCTCCGCTTCTGGCTCCTGAGCACAAGAAGTGGGCTGTGGAGTGGGGGCCCCGGGGAGCCGAGGGCCAGAAGCAGCACCCTGAGCCCAGAGCAGCACTCCCTGTCCTCATGAGTCGCTCCCTGCCCACTGCCCCCAGTTTCCCAGACCTGACCCAGGCTCCCCAGCCCTCCCAGCCCTGCCAGGGACCCTGTGCAATGGGCCCATCCCGATCCCCCCAGAGGCGCTGGGCTGGACGCCCTGGACGTCCTGGTCCTCCTGCTCCCGGAGCTGCCTTGCCCCTGGTGGGGGCCCTGGCTGGCGCAGTCGCTCCCGGCTCTGCCCCAGCCCTGGAGACACATCCTGCCCAGGAGACGCCACCCAGGAGGAGCCCTGCAGCCCCCCTGTGTGCCCAGGTATGTCCCAGGCACAGGGGTGCGATGAGGAGTAAAGGAAGACCCCCTTGAGCCAGTTCTAGACACCTGAGGGGGGGCGAGGGGGGGAGCATGCCTGGCCATTGTGCTTAAGCCTCTGCCCACCCGGCCATCCCCGTAGGAAGTCGGCACACAATGAAAGTGGGCTGCCTGATGCAGTGGTCGGGACGCCCTAGAGGTGTGCACGTTGGTGGGAGCTGGAGGCTGCAGTCAAGACCCTGCATGCTACTAAACCCTGACCCTCCCACACCCATCCTGGGCCCTTTGCCTGTGTCTGTGACCCTGGGCTCGGCTCTTCCCGACAGAGCCCAGCGTCTGGGGTCAGTGGACTGCCTGGTCCCCCTGCTCGGCCCCCTGTGACGGAGGCATCCAGACCCGTGGGCGCAGCTGCTCTGGGTCGGCTCGCAGGGACCCCGCCTGCCAGGGGCCCCACAGTCAGACCAGGGACTGCAACACGCAGCCTTGCACAGGTACCAGTCCCCACCCCTTCTCCAGCCGGCCTCCTCCCCAGCTCCTGGGGATCTGGGCCTTCCCCACCCTCACCCTTTCACACGTCACTCACTGCCCTCTGACTCCAGGACAGGCGATGCCTTGAGCTAAGGGGAACTTTGGGGGATTTCTTGTGTCTCCTCCAGCTTGGCCTCTCCCACTTGCTGGGGACTGGGCACAGAGGCTCAGACTCTCAGCTCTTCCCTTTGCTGGGGGCAAGCCTCCCTCCCTGGAGAACAGGCCCCTCCTAGGGAGTCAGGCTGGTCTTGCCTCGGGCAGGACTGCAGGGAGCAGTGCCAGCCCTTAGAAGCCCCAGCCGCCTTCCTCACTCTCCCCTGTCCTTTGAGCCCTCCTCCATCCCAGATGACTGGAGTCCTCTTGTTCTGTTCTCAAGAATATTTGCATTAAAGTAGAGCAAAGCTGTAACTCTTTACTGGTGACATTCTAGACACTGGAGCCAGCCTGAGAGGACGGGCGGGCAGGAGGGAGCTTCCTCAGGCTCTGTCCTGCCCAACAGGCTGCTGCCCAGTCACCTGCATACGTGTTCCCTTCCACCCTCCCCTCCCTCCTGCCCGTGTCGAGACCTGCTCCGTCTTCCCCTCCAGCCCAGTGCCCAGGGAACATGGTGTTCCGCTCAGCAGATCAGTGTCTCCAAGAGGGGGGTCCGTGCCCTCGGCTGTGCCTGGCGCAGGACCCTGGGGTGGAGTGCACAGGCTTCTGCGTCCCTGGCTGCACTTGCCCCCCTGGCCTCTTCCTGCACAATGCTAGCTGCCTGCCCCGCAGCCAGTGCCCCTGCCAGCTGCACGGGCAGCTCTACTCGCCAGGAGCAGTGGCTCTCCTGGACTCCTGCAACAACTGGTAGGCCACAGCTGGGGGCTGGGGCAGGGAGGGGCTGGGTGGCTCCAGAGCTAGGCAGGCTCTCTCTCTCTTTCTCACACACACAGCCTGGGGAGTCATCGTGCCCCCGTTCCCCAGGCACATCAGAGCAGCCATGGGTGCCAGGCACGGACCCTGGGAATAAGCGAATGAGGTCCAGCCTGGCCTCGGGTGGCGTCTGTTGGGGTTGCTCACCCCTTTTAACTTACGGGAAGATTAGGTCTCAGATTGATGCAGCAACTTATGATGGAACTAGAGACTAGTTCCATTAGTGGAGGGGGACCTCTCGTTTCTGCTCCCAGCCTCCTCTGTTCCTCTTTCCTGAGCATAACTCCCCACCTGGGATTCACCTGCTTTCTGCTCAGAAACCTTGAAGCGCCCAGTTCTCAAAGTTGACACCATGATCTGCCAGTAGAGGGCGCTGTAACCCACTGCCTTTTTTTTTTTTTTCCATTTCATTTCATTTTCTTCTTCCTTTTTCTTTTCTATCCCCTGTCCCCTCCCTCAATTCCCTCCTTATTCATTTTTCTCCCTCCCACTCCTTTCTCTTTTGCGTTTCCTCTCTTGGATGCTTTCTCTTGAGCCTCCAGTATTTGGCAAACAGGTTTTAAAACATGTATTGAAAAGAACTAACAGTGCAGAAATGCACCCAGTTCACCCTCCAAGGAGAAACTCTTGCTCCTTCTAAATCCCTCCTACCTGGCCCTGTCACTCTAAGTCATTGCTAAACAGAGTTTCATAAGTTCACATGGAATAAAAAGCCTGGAAAGGCGACTCCCGGTGAAGCCAGGGGATGAAGGGACAGCACAGTGCCTGGGCATTGGGAGCTCACTGGGGGTGGCCTGGGGGCCCTGGGTGAGGATCCTGGTCACATCGTGAACTTTGCAGGGGGCATGGGCAACTCACTTCACCTCCCAGACCCTGGGGTTTCTCTTATGTGGAGGACATGGTGGTCCCTGGCGTCCCGGGTCAGGCACGCGGTGGCCCCAGGGCAGGGGCTGACCGTGGCTGTGACGGGCCGGGCCTCCCGGGCTTCTCTCTGCAGCACCTGTATCTCTGGAGAGATGGTGTGCACCTCGGAGCTCTGCCCAGGTACCCGTGCTCGGGGCCCAGGCCAGGCAGCGGTGGGCCCTCGGGGACCACAAGAGACTGGGGACCCTCCAGAGATAAACTCCTGGGAGTGCTGGTGCCCAGGGAAGTTAGGGTGCGGGACGCCTCGGCCTGCTTTCACACACACTGCCGTCCCCCACCCACACCTGGCAGTGGCCTGTGGCTGGAGTCCCTGGACCCCATGGAGTCTCTGCAGCCGCAGCTGCAACGTGGGCATTCGGAGGCGCTTCCGGGCAGGCACTGCACCCCCAGCTGCCTTTGGGGGTGCTGAGTGCCAGGGCCCCAACATGGAGGCTGAATTCTGCAGCCTGCAGCCGTGTCGAGGTGAGAGCTGGGATGAGGTCCCTGAGACAACCTTGAAGGACCTTCTAGAGAAGAGCCAAGAATATTCCCATCACCCCCAACCAGGACCCCCTGAGAGGTGCAAGAGACTTCCCTAAGAGACGCCACTAAGAGATGGTCCCCAGAGACCCCTGAGAGTCCATTCCCTAACAGAGACCCTCCATAGAGTGGCCCCAAAGCCTCCCCAGAGGCCAGCCCAGTTCCGGGCTGAATCCCGCACCCTCCCGAGGCGTGAGGTCCCCTGAGGTGGGATATGATGCTGCAGGTGAGGTGGCCAGAAGGCCCTAGGTGCCTGGGTGGGCGGAGCAGGAGATGTGCTGGGCATGGGAGGCAGGCTCTGCAATGGCTGGTGCCACCCCCAGGTCCCAGTGGGGAGTGGGGCCCTTGGTCTCCGTGTTCTGTGCCCTGTGGCGGTGGCTACAGGAACCGTACCCGAGGCAGTGGTCTGCACAGCCCCATGGAGTTCTCCACCTGTGGCCTGCAGCCCTGTGCAGGTGAGGGCTGCCCTGTGGACCCTCCCGTTCTCATCCCCGTGAACCCATGGCACTGTCAACGCCTCCCCCCCAACCCCAGCACAGCCCTGTCTCTTAGCCCTCATGCAGTCCCACAGCAGCCCTGGCCAAGCCCAGAGCTGATGCCTCTCCCAGGTTGGGAGCTCAGGGAAGAGTTGAGAGGGCTGTCAATTTCTGTGTCCCTAGGGCCAGTACCTGGCGTGTGTCCCAGGGGCAAGCTGTGGCTGGACTGTGCCCAGGGCCCTGCCTCCTGTGCAGAGCTCAGCGCCCCAAGAGGGACCAACCAGACCTGCCACCCTGGCTGCTACTGCCCACCTGGAACGCTCCTGCTGGTGTGTCCCCCTAGCCACCGTTGGGACCTCCTTGGGGCCTAGGGACTCTGGATGGCAGGGAAGGGACAGGCGGTACCTGGGCAGAGGCAGAGGCAGAGGCAAGGGTATGGGGCTTGAGGCAGGGAGACCCTGCAGAGCTAAGGAAAGGACACTACTCTCAGGGGCCACGGCCCAGCTCCAGCAGGAAGAGCAGGTGGCCCTGGGCAAGCCTCAGGCATCTCCCCCTGGACTCTGTTTCCTCCTTCGTAAAATGGTGATCTGTCTAGAAGGTCCTATGAGTCATCCCTGCTCGATGGCTCTGTCCTCTGTGTTATCACCGGTTATTTTTAGGCTGGGCTGCACTGTGGGGTAAAGCAATCTCTCCCCTCCAGAAGCACCCAGTCTGGGAACCAGCCCCAGAGTCCCCGGGGTAAGGACAGCACCACCAAAGAGCAGGAAGTGATCTCTGCATGTGTGCAGTGGGCCGCACCAGTCCTGGAGGGCTTCCTGGTGGTGCTGCTTGACCTTCAGAGACTGGAGAGTGTGGAGAGCAGGGAGGTGGCTGGACATGCCGGCTGCGTGGTGGAGTTTGGACAAAGGGTCACAGAGCCACTGCGCAGCCATGGGCCGTAGTCAAGGGACAGGTTCTAGCTAGATCTGGGTCCAAATCAGGCTCTTCCTAGCAGTAGCTCTATGAGCTTTGACTGAGTAGTCTCATGCCTCAGTTCCTTCCTTTGTAAAATTGGGGTGAATCTGTGCTAGTCACAGGAGTCAGCAAGATGGTGCGGGTACAGGGCTGCCCGTAAACTTTAGTGCCTTTGACCTTGAATCGTGTGCTACGAGATGGTTGTTTCTTTTAAATTTGAATAACTTGCGTCCACACTTCCTATGCACAGAGTCTTTCTCCATTGTTATTTTGTTGATGAAAATGTGGGCTTTTCCTACTGTTGCTGTACAAATTGAATTGTGCGTCTCCTATGTTCATAGCTGCTTTCACAGGCTTTTGACAGTTTAGTCTCATGTCCTGCAATTAAAGACTGTTTTTCTCCCATACATTGGAGGGTCTGTGCCCCACAGCCCCACGGCGAGTGGTCTGCGCTTGCCTGCCAGGAGGGAGCGGGAGAGCTGTGTGTTTGCAGAAGGAGGGTGGCTGGTGTTTGAGGGGAGCCCCAGTTGAGGAACTGGGTGCCGGCTCTGACTGGGGAGGGGGCAGGCCAGGCCCACCTGGAAGCCAGAAGGTCACAGAGGGTTTTATTCCAGAACAACGTGTGTGTGCCCGCCCAGGACTGCCCCTGTGCCCACGGGGGGCGCCTCCACGCCCCGGGCAGTGCCATGCTCCGTCCATGTGAGAACTGGTGAGTCGCCGTCTCACCCGCAATGGCACCTCTGGGGACCCAGCCATCCAGCCGTCCCTCCTCAGCAGCAGGGATGGTGGCTCCAGGCAGCCACAGAGAGACACGCCCCACCCTCGAGGCTGCACCTGTGCGCCCTCTGCCCACCTGTGGCAGTTTCCTGTGGCTGCTGCCACAAAGCGCCCCACATGGGGTGGGGGGGTCTTGAACAACAGGCTGATGGGGCTCCCAGTTCTGGAGCCTGGAAGCCCAGGACAAGAAGTTGGCAGGACTGGCTGCTCCCGGGCTGTGAGGGAGGCTCTGCCCAGGCCTCTCTCTTCCAGTAGTTTGCTGGTGACCTCCGGCCCCCCTTGGCTTGTGTGAAGACATTGTCTTCTCCTGTCTGTCCACGTCGTCTTCCCTCTGTGCACGTGGTGTGCACCTTTCCTCTTCCACGCACGCGCGTTCCCCTGGATCAAGCCCCCCACCCCCGGCAGGCTCGCTTTAACTCCATCACCTCTGTGACGATCTTGTCTCCAAATAAGGTCCCACACGCAGGTGCTGGGGCCAGGGCTCAAACATACAGATCGGGGGGCACAGTGCAGCCCCCAGACTCCCTGACCCTCCACTGCCCCTCCAGCTCCTGCGTCTCTGGGCTCATCACCAACTGCATCTCCCGGCCGTGTGAGGAGGGTGAGTGGGTCCCCACTTCTGACTCTCACTGTGCTGCCCGTCGGTGGCAGCGGGGCCTGGGCGGAGGCTGGGGGAGGACGCCCGGGGCAGGCAGGGGCGTGTGCTTCCTGGGGCCTCACATCTGCTCAGCCTCTCCAGCCCTGGCTTGCTCCCTGCACCTCTCCCCCATGCATCCCCGACAGGTCAGCCCCTGTGGTCACCCTGGACCCCCTGGAGCGAATGCTCTGCCTCCTGCGGCCCTGCCCGTCGCCACCGGCACCGCTTCTGCGCCAGGCCGCCCAGCGCAGCGCCACCCAGCATGGCTCCGCTGCCCCCGCCAGCCACACTGGTGCCCCCCTGCCCAGGCCCCGAGGCCGAGGAGGAGCCGTGCCTCCAGACAGAGTGTGACCGTGAGTGCCCACCCGCCGCCCCTGCCTGGGAGCCCAGGTGGCACCCACTGCCCCACTTTGCCCTGTGTATGCCGCTATCTTGCACCAGCCACCCCGGGCCTGGCCATGCCCTCCCCACTCCTTCCTCTGCTGCCCCCAGGAGCTGGGGGCTGGGGTCCGTGGGGGCCCTGGTCCCGCTGTAGTCGGAGCTGCGGGGGAGGCCTGAGGAGCAGGACCCGAGCCTGTGACCAGCCCCCACCGCAGGGCCTGGGCGATCACTGCGAGGGGCCGCGCGCCCAGGGGGAGGCCTGCCAGGCGCTGCCCTGCCCAGGTACTGCCACGGGTGGGCGGGGCCTGGGAGCGGAGGAGAAGCTGGAGGGAGCGTCGCAGGGAGCCGACCCGGGTAGGCAGCCACACAGCTCGCGGACCTTCCTGTCCCCCCAGTGACCAACTGCACCACCATCGAAGGGGCCGAGTACAGCCCCTGTGGCCCTCCCTGTCCTCGCTCTTGTGACGACCTAGTGGTGAGTCCCACCTGACCTCTGACCTGAGGGTCACTTTATGGGAGGACAGGGTGTGGCCGTGGGCTCAGGCCTCTTTTGCCCGGCACTGGAGGGGCCGTGTGGGGGCCTGGGCTTCAGCTCACAGTGCACACCAGGCCGGCCCCCTCCCCGCTCCCCATCCAGCCCAGAGAGAACCGGCCCCACCTGGCAGCCCTTGCCTTCCAATCACCAAACATTCCTCAAGTTAAAACTGTTATTACAAAAATGGCATAGACACGTAGGAAGGGGGAAATCATCCCATCATATCCTCTGAAACTGCACGAGCACCTGGGTGTGCGGACTTGCCTCTGTGTGGGTGTTCCCTGAGCGTGCACGGACACAGGCAGGGCCTGGTCCCCACGGAGCCTAGTCCAGGGTGAGGGAGACAGACACACCGCAAAGATCAGACCACGTGACAAGAGCTGCCAGGAGTAAAGTGGTGCTTTGAGGCCTCCGTGGGAGCTGTCGAAGGGAGGCTGGGAAGGCTCCCAGCCTCAGAGAGGGAGGAGGAAGAGGAAGAAGAGGAGGAGGAAGAGGAAGAAGAGAGGGAGGGGGAGGAGGGCCCGGCTCCCAGCCGCCCCAGGGCTCCCAGCTGCTCCCCAAACCATCTCCCATGTCCAGCCAGCTCCAGGAGGTCTGGGACATGCCTGGTTTGTAGGTCATTGGTCTGGGTCACCCACTGAAACCTGGACCCTGTCCCAGATCCACTCCCCAGGGGAGCTGAAGAGACCCTCTTGACAGGCCGCTCCTCAGGGTTGGGCCGACTCAGAACCCCCCATGGAAACTCAGAGGCTGGCCCCTTCCCTGCCTGCCTTTCCTAAAGCCTCAAGTGACAAAAAACGGCGTCATGCAGCAAGCGTCTCCTTTCTCCTCCTCCCTCCCCAGCCTCCTTGTTGGGTCACCTTCCCTCCAGAGTAGGCTGTGACTCCCTGAGACACCCAGTCCCAACCCTCAGGCTGTCTTTCCGCTGACCAGAGCCCTCTCTTGCTGTCCCCCAGCACTGCGTGTGGCGCTGCCAGCCTGGCTGCTACTGCCCACTGGGCCAAGTGCTGAGTGCCGACGGGGCCGTCTGTGTGCCGCCGGGTCACTGCAGCTGCCTGGACATGCTGACCGGACAGAGGCACCGTCCGGGGGCTCAGCTAGCCAGGCCTGACGGCTGCAACCACTGGTGAGGGGTGGCGCATGGCAGGAGGGGTGCCAGCTGGAATAGTCCCGCCTCGTGTCTGTGCTTCTGAGCTCTCCGAGTCTCAGCTGATGGTCACGTTAGCCTCCCACAGTCCCCGAGAGGGTGTGTGGGGCAGGTACCATGACCCGTCTGATAGGTGGCGCTCGGTGTGTCCGCTGGAGGTGGGCGAGTGCTGGGGGTGGGGGCAGGAGGGACAGCAGATGTGGCGTTTGCTTCCTGTCTGGCCACGCAGTGGGTGGCAGGGTATCTGCAATCCCTCCGCAGTAGAACACACCAGCCAGTGACATCTGAGGACAACTCAGGGGGACAGGGAGCCCGCTCTAGAGGGGCTGGAGAGCAGGGAGAGGGGCATAGACCCTAAATCTTGGAGGGAGGGAACCAGAGCGTGTAGGGGTGAGGGGAGGGGAGAGGCAGCCAGGAATGTGCAGGGGGTGGAGCGCGGGCCAGACTGAGCTGCTGCCTCTTCCTCCCTCCCCGTGTCTGCTTCTCCTGCCCAGCACCTGCCTGGAGGGGAGGCTGAACTGCACAGAACTGCCCTGCCCAGGTACGCGCCCAGCTTGGAGGGAGGAGAGAAGTGGCCCCAGTCACGGAGGGGGCTGGGCCTGGGGGAGGGCTGGGCTGCACCCAGAGCCTGCTTTCCTCACAGTGCCCGGCGGCTGGTGCCCATGGTCGGAGTGGACGGCGTGCTCCCAGCCCTGCAGGCGCCAGACGAGGACCCGATCCAGGGCCTGCGCCTGCCCCGCTCCTCAGCACGGGGGTGCCCGGTGCCCCGGGGAGGCTGGGGAGGCAGGGGCCCAGCTTGAGAAGGAGGCCTGCCCCAGCCCCACCACCTGCCCAGGTGTGATGCCCCCATGAGTTCTGCGCCCCACAAAGGCCCCCAACCTCTGCTCCAACCCCAATAACCTGGGGCTTCCCGGGCCTCCTAAAGTGGATGCGTTTCTCTCCCTGGCACAGTGGACGGAGCCTGGAGCCCCTGGGGACCGTGGTCTCCCTGCGACACGTGCCTGGGGCAGTCACAACGGAGCCGGGAGTGCAGCCAGCCCCCCACCCCTGAGGGAGGGAGGCCTTGCCCTGGGGGCCACACACAGAGTCGCCCTTGTCAGGACAATTCCACACGATGCACAGGTGAGGGCTTTGGAGAGGTCTGGGAGGCCCTTCTGAGTCTAGGGGATGCTGACTTTGGCCTCTGACCCCCCAACACACACACGTATCACCCTCTTCAAAGGACAGTGCCCATGGACCTGGGCAAGGTGGCAGGTCTGAGCAGGGGGTGGCTGAGGCAGGAGGGCTGGTCACCTGAGTGACCCTCATGGTAGCCCCTCAGCACCCACCCTCTCTGCTTCCCTCTTGCGTAGACTGTGGGGGTGGCCAGAGCCTGCTCCCCTGTGGGCAGCCCTGCCCCCGCTCCTGCCAGGACCTGTCCCCCGGGAGTGCGTGCCAGCCAGGCCCGACCGGCTGTCAGCCCCGCTGCGGGTGTCCCCCCGGCCAGCTCTCCCAGGATGGGCTCTGTGTGCCCCCGGCCCACTGCCGCTGCCAGTACCAGCCTGGAGCCCGGGGTCAGTGCCTCCCTCACCCTGCCCACCAGCCCCCAGCACCGCAGCCACCCTGCCCGGCCCGGCGCTGCTGCCCGTGGGCCAAAGCCTGGGCTGCAGGATGGGAAGGGGTAGCCACCTCTCCAGGCTTTAGTGTCTGTTCCTGCCGAGTCCCAGGGCTGGTCCAGGCTAGAGCTTCCACCACCCTTGGCAGGACACAGGGCACCATGGGGTGGCAGCTGATAGGGCAGTAGTGGGGTAGGAGGAGGGCTTGATGGAGGTGCTGAGCCGTCTGGAGTCATCACGCCGACTCCTGTGCCCCTCAGGGATCCCCATGAACCAGAGCCGGTTGGCAGGGTCTGGGCTCAGCTCCTGGGAGAGCCTGGAACCTGGAGAGGTGGTGACTGGGCCGTGTGACAACTGGTAAACCAAGAGGGGGTGGGTTTTGGAGCCGGGTGGCAGAGCCTCCGGGGAGTGGACTGGGCCCTGACTCTGAAGCCCCCTTCCTCGTCCCCAGCACCTGTGTGGCAGGCATCCTGCAATGCCAGGAGGTGCCCAGCTGTCCCGGCCCTGGGATGTGGGGCTCCTGGGGCCCCTGGGAGGACTGCAGCGTTTCGTGTGGGGGAGGGGAGCAGCTGCGCTCCAGGCACTGTGCACGGCCCCCCTGCCCGGGGCCTGCCCGCCAGAGCCGCGCGTGCAACACCTGGGTCTGCAGAGGTGAGCCCCTGCCAGTCTAGGTCCCAACACTCCCACTGACCTTTCATGCCCACCCAGCCTTGCCCCTGGTTCATAAGTGTGTCCTGGGCTCTCTCTCCCCACCCCTGCCGCGTCCCTCCCCCGCCAGTGATGGGCAAGAGGCGGTGGAAGCAGCCAGGCGTGGGGGCCTGCGGGAGCCGGGGCAGGGGCCGGGCACTGCCCCTGGGGCACAGAAAAGGTGGGCTCAGAGGCAGCAGCGAGGGTGTGGGCGGGCACCGGGCACTGACACGCCGTTGCCTCAGAGGCAGGCTGCCCGGCCGGCCGCCTGTACCGCGAGTGCCAGCCCGGCGAGGGCTGCCCCTTCTCCTGCGCCCACGTCACGCGGCAGGTGGACTGCTTCTCCGATGGCTGCGAGGAGGGCTGCCACTGCCCCCAGGGCACCTTCCAGCACCGCCTGGCCTGTGTCCAGGTCAGAACCCAGCCAGCCAGGAGCCTGGAGCCCTGTCCACACCTCACCTGTCACCCTGTTACCTCTGGGGACCCTGTGGCCTCTGGACCAGTCACCCCTCCCTCCCATGACCCTAGACAGCACATGGGCTCAAGAGGCTGTCAGGGCCTCTGCTGCCGGTGCCAGGGGCAGGCAGAGTTAGAGCCCCCAGGGGGCAGGAGGGCGACACAGCCTCCCAGGGTCCCTGGCTCCCAGGGAATGGGGACCACCCGCCACCCGTGGACACTGCCTGGGTGCTGCTCTCCTCCGGCACGTCTCGGCTCAGAGCTGGCCGCAGGGCCTGATGCTGCCCCCACTGAGTGTTGCCATGTGTCCTGGCAGCGGGTTCCTGCCAGGCTCCCACGGCTTCCCCCACCCCCCAGCCTCACCTCCCTCGTCCTCCACCACAGGGACATGGGTTTTCACTGCCCCTCTTTTCCCTGTCGCACCCCTCACCTTCGCTCTACCTGGCCCAGACTCCTCCGTCTCCAGCTGTGGGTCCAGATGACAGGCATATGCCAGTTCTGCTCTGCTCAGCCCGACGGGCACGCAGGGATTCCCTTCCCAGTCCCGAGGCTGGCATCCCGGTGGCCTCCCCCAGCCAGAGGTCCAGAGTGCCATGGCCAGAGGCATGGCGGAGCAGCCACCTGGTGCCACCCCCTCCACACAGAGATAATGACAGTGAGCCCCAGAGAGGGGAAGGGACACACAAAGGTCCTGCAGACAGTTAGTGGCAGAGGTAGTCCCAAACTCAGACGTCCAGATTCCTGGCTGAGGCTCCTTCCACCTCCTGCCGAGTCCTGTCCTCTAAGGGCCCCTGTTGACACCTGCTTGTGTCCTGCTAGGCGCTCTGTGTGGGGGAGGGGGCTGGGTGCTTGGGTCAAGCCTGTGGCCCACGCACCTCTTGGGGGTCGTTAAGGTGAACAGCCCCATTGCTCCCAGAAATGCTTTCCTGGGGCCAGAGCCCTCCTCCGGGTCCTCGACCGGCCCTCCCCCACCCGTCCCCAAGGCTCTCTGGAGGATGGGCCCTGTGCCAGCATGCTGTCTTCTCTGCCCGCCCCCCCAGGAGTGCCCCTGCGTGCTGACAGCCTCGCTGCTGTGGGAGCTGGGAGCCGCGGGCGGCAACCCTGGGGCGCAGCACCCTATTCTGGGAGCCGGGGGTCAGCCCCTTGGGCCTGGAGATGAGCTGGGCTCAGGCCAGACACTTCGTACAGGCTGCAGCAACTGGTGAGGGGGACAAGGGTGGCGGCTGGGCTGGGAAGGGTGGGGGAGACTTTGGTTGAGGGAGAGGACAGCAGGCGGTGGGGGGGGGCGCCCTGGTCCGCCCCTGCCCCCCACCTGGCCTGGGCCAGCCCTGGCTCTGCCTCCTCACCCTTTGGGAACAAGCCCCTTGCCCACACCTTTTGCCCGGTCCCTCCTGCCTGCGCCTCACCCCGACACACTCTCCCCAGCTCCTGTGTGCACGGGAAGCTGTCCTGCTCCCTGGAGGACTGCTCCAGGACCCCCGGGGGGTTCAGTCCCTGGGGCCCGTGGGGCCCATGTTCCCGCTCCTGCGGCGGGCTGGGCACCCGCACCCGCAGCCGCCAGTGTGTGTTCCCCATGTCCACCCCCGGTGGCCAGGGCTGCCATGGGCCCCCCCAGGACCTCGAGTACTGCCCCAGCCCGGACTGCCCTGGTAAGGACAGCAGGAGGGTGCTGGGCAGGGCCGGGCTAGGAGGGTGCTGGGCAGGTGTCTGGCTGGCCCTTTGTCCTTTCCTGTCTGTCCTTCCCTGTTGCTGTCTCTGGATATTTCGTCTTCTCACCTTCTAGCCCTAGACTTCTCTGCTGTTCAGGTACACTCAGCCAACATTTCTGGAGCTCTTGCCAAATGCTCCATACTGTGTGCTTGGGGGGTGAGGCCCCTGACCTTGGGATCCAGGGGCTCAGACAACCCATTTCAGCATATGGTGAGCCCTGTAGGAAGGCACATGTGCTGTGGAAAATCAAGGAGGGAGAGAATTCTCCTGGTGGGGGCAGTCTAGGAGGACTTCCTGGACAGCATCCAAGGGGTGTTGAGGGATGGAGAAAGCTTTGCCGAGATCGGAAGAGAAGGAGTGCAGGTAGCAGGAACGGCTTGAGCAAAGGCCTGGCCCCTGCCAGGAAGTGCTGTGCGTGGGGCCTGGAGTGTCCACGGGAGCCCCAGCTGGGGGAAGGCTGGGCTAGACAGGAGCGCCAGCCACCAGCCTGGGCCTGCTCCTGGGGCACTGAGGGCTTGGAGCCATTTCTGAGCAGCGTTTTCTTTGGCACAGGGGCTGAAGGGTCCACCGTGGAGCCAGTGACAGGCCTTCCAGGTAGCCCCAGAGGCCCTGCACCTCTCCCCTGGCCTCCCTTGTGGAAGAGCAAGCCCAGGGCCTCCTCCCCCAACCCTGCTTGCTGAGGAGGCCGAGCCCAGGGCTGACTCATCAGCAGGTGCCCCTTCCTCACCCCCACAGTCGGCTGGGGCCCCTGGTCCCCGTGGTCCCCCTGCTCTCGAAGCTGCACAGACCCGGCTCAGCCTGCTTGGCGCAGCCGCGCCCGCCTCTGCCTGGGCAACTGCACCTCGGGGACCTCCTCACAGGAGCGCGCCTGCAACCTGCCCGTGTGCACAGGTGCGCCTTCCAGCCTTGACCTCTGACTCATTCTAATCCCACACCGGTGTCCAGTCCCCAGCCCCAACATCTGATGCCCCTCAAGCAATTCCTGGTTTCTGACGCTGACATCTGGGCTTCTTTGCCGACCCAGCAGCTGGGGAGCCCCGCCAGCTTCCCACCAATCGCTGGGGCCTCACCCATGTGTGCGCTGAGCACTCTCCCAGGTCCTCCCCCGATCCCCTGGCAGCTCTGTATGTCTGGGATTACTGTCCCCTATGAGAAAAGGGGGAGACTGAGGCCCAGATGCCAAAGCCACACAGCAGTATCAGGTGCAGAGTGGGGGCCTCTGGATGAGGTCACAGCTGGCCGGTGGAGAGGTCGCACTTGAGCTGGAGTGGGTGGAGAGGCCGGGCGGGTCCCAGGCGGCTCGGGCAGGTGAGAGGGAATCCTCTTTGTCCGCAGAGGTGCCCCTGTGCCCCGGCCCTGGCTGTGTGGCCGGGAACTGTTCCTGGACCTCCTGGGCCCCGTGGGAACCTTGCTCCCGCAGCTGCGGGGTGGGCCAGCAGCGCCGCCTGCGGGCGTACCACCCCCCTGGGCCCGGCGGGCACTGGTGCCCCGACATCCTTACCGCCTACCAGGAGCGCCGCTTCTGCAACCTGCGTGCTTGCCCAGGTGAGGTGGGCTGGGGAGGACCAGGGTGTGCCCCAGGCCTTTCCCTGGCCCTGCCCCGTGGGAGGTCCCTGGCATCAGCAGCCCCTCCCAGGCACCCGCGTGTCACTTCCATCTCATGCCCTGGACCCTGGCCCAGGCTCAAGGGACAGGGGTGGGGGAGGGCCCCCTACCTGAGCCAACCCCTCATGTAGCCATTTTCTGTCCCACACAGTGCCCGGGGGCTGGTCGCGCTGGAGCCCCTGGTCCTGGTGTGACCGGAGCTGTGGCGGGGGCCAGTCCCTGAGGAGCCGCAGATGCTCGAGCCCCCCACCTAAGAACAGGGGTGCCCCCTGTGCCGGGGAGAGGCACCAGGTCCGGCTCTGCAATCCCATGCCCTGTGGTATGGCAGTGGTGACAGCCACCTCTCATCCCTCACTTCATCCCCACAAAACCATGGGATGGGAGGGAGACAGGCTGCCACCTCCTCGGCCAGTTAAGAAAGCTGGGCCCCACAGGTGTAGATGCTGGGCCTGGCATTGGGCAAGGACTCCCTGTGTGTGTCATCTGTGCCAAGGCCCAGGGGCCCACCCCTGCCCACCCCAGCCTGGGGGAAGCTCCTCCTCTTGGCTTCCCCACCCTGCAGTTCCTGAAGAGCCACCAGCCCTGTCGGGATTTTCAGGGGACTTGACAGCGTCAGTCAGGCGCATACCCGGCGCTGTGGGATGCAGACTGGGCCGGGCAGGCCATCGAGAGCCCTGTGCCCCACTCCCCATCTCCCCTAAACTCCAGCACCTTCTGTAATTGGTCCTCCTGAGCTCCCCAACCCCAGGGGCCCGGGTTAGCCCACCCACCCCGGACAGGAGAATGTTGGCTTTTGAGGAGCACAGATTCAGTCCAGCTCGGCATCGACTGGGTGCCAGGCTAGGTGCCGAGAAGTCACAGGTAGGTGAGAGGGACTCACTGCTTAGTATGGTGCAATCCCAGGTAAGGGGTCCCCACAGGGCACGGGGAGGGGTTCTGAACCCTGGGCCTCAGGGCCTTCCTGACTCTGGGCCTCCCTGTCTGCACAGAGGCGGGCTGCCCCGCAGGCATGGAGGTGGTCGCCTGTGCCAACCGCTGCCCCCGCCGCTGCTCAGACCTCCAGGAGGGAATCGTGTGTCGGGACCAGGCCTGCCAGCGGGGCTGCCGCTGCTCCCAGGGTAGGTGCTGCCTGGCCCTTCAGGCACAGCGCACAGCTCGGTGGGAAGGTGGGTGGGGCCCAGAGGTGCCAGCGCCAGCCCTTGGGGCCGCCTCCCCACAGGCTCCCTGGAGCAGGACGGGGGCTGCGTGCCAGTCGGGCACTGCGAGTGCACAGATGCGCAGGGCCACAGCTGGGCCCCCGGGAGCCAGCACCAGGACGCCTGCAACAACTGCTCGTGCCAGGCCGGGCAGCTCTCCTGCACCGCTCAGCCCTGCCCACCTCCTGCCCACTGCGCCTGGGGGCGCTGGTCAGCTTGGAGCCCCTGCAGCCACTCGTGTGGCCCTGGAGGGCAGCAGAGCCGCTTCCGGTATGGGGCTGGGCGAGGCTGGATATCCCTCGGCCTCCCTCTGGCATAGAGGACCTGGGTCCTGCCCTCACCAGTCACGTTGCATGCCCCTGTGCCCCGACCCAGCTCTGTCCCTGGTTACCTCAGCCTTTCCTTAGATCTGCACTCCATGCCCACCCTGGGGTTTCTGGGTGGGGTGCATCACCAGGAGATGGGGGAGTGATGGAGGCCGTCTCTCACCTCCTCTGCTCCGGCCCCGCCCAGGTCCTCCACGTCAGGCTCGTGGGCCCCGGAGTGTCGGGAGGAGCAGTCCCAGAGCCGGCCCTGCCCTCAGCCCCCGTGCCCGCCCCTGTGCCTGCAGGGTGCTCGCCCCCGCGCCCTGGGGGACAGCTGGCTGCAGGGCAAGTGCGGGCAGTGGTAAGTGCAGGCCGGGAGGGTGGCCGGGACCATCCTTCTGGAGAGCAAGGTCCTGAGTCCTGGCTCCCCCCAGTTCCTGCACCCCAGAAGGCGTGATCTGTGAGGACACCGCCGAGTGCACAGGTCTGGGAGTCATCGCAGGTCCCCCCAACCCTCTTAGCCACGTGCCTTGCCTGCCATGTGCTCTGTCCCATGGTCCCCCCTCTCCTCCAGCCCACTGCCAGCCCCTGGGCCATGAAGGTCCCACCCAGCCCTCTGGCCTTTGCGCCCTCTGCCTCCCCCAGCCTCACCTGTGCCCTCCCACAGTGCCTGCGGCCTGGACGCTGTGGTCCCCCTGGTCCGACTGCCCTGTCTCCTGTGGAGGTGGAAACCGGGTCCGCAGCCGGGCCTGTGTGGCCCCGACTCCTGGCCAAGGGCCCCCAGCCTGCCCGGGCCCCGACACCCAGACCCAGCGCTGCGGGGAGCAGCCTTGTGTGCGGCTGCTGGAGGCCTGCTCCTGGGGCCCGTGGGGGCCCTGCTCCCGCAGCTGCGGCCCCGGCCTGGCCTCCCGCCCCGGGGCCTGCCCCTGCCTGCTAGCCGAGGCCGACCCCACCTGCAACGGCACCTTCCTCCACCTGGACACCCGGGCCTGCTACCCAGGGCCCTGCCTGGGTGAGTGTGCACGGGAAGTGAAGCCCCTTCCCTGTTTTCCCACGTTGGGACATTCAGGGAATAATACATATTTTCTCAGCTCCCAGGAGATCCCCCCAAAATGTACCTATATCTCTTGCCTGTGCCCCCTCTAACAATTTGCTCTGTTTCCTTTCCTCTTCCCACCATTTCTTCCCTTTGGCAGGTGGGAGGGAATCCGGCCGACTGGGCCTTTCTGGGTCCCTCACGCCCCTCTCCTGTGCAGGGTCTTGGCAGGGCAGGGCTGAGCGAGGAGGGCAGGCAGTGGGGGGGCCCCAGCTGACGCCCCCCTCCTGTCCCTAGAGGAGTGTGTGTGGAGCAGCTGGAGCAGCTGGACGCGCTGCTCTTGCCAGGTGCTGGTGCAGCAGCGCTACCGACACCAGGGCCCAGGGCCCGGCGGGGCGGGGGCAGGCGCCCCCTGCACACGGCTGGACGGCCACTTCCGGCCCTGCCTCACCGGGAACTGCTCTGGTGAGACGCCAGGAGCATGAAGCCAGGGTGCTGAGCAGGGCAGCAGCCACCAAGGGTCCCCCCCTGGGACTCCCTGCTCCTCTCACAGCCAATTTAGTGCCCCCAGGACCTCAGAGCAGCTGCCCACACCTGCACTGAGCTCTGCCCTGGCACCCAGCCACTCCCCTGACCCCCAGCTACTCCCCTGACCCCCAGCTACTCTCTAGTCACACCTACCCACTTCCCCCACCACGATTTTCCCACCGCAACTGCCGGCCCACCCATGGCTTTGGCCCCTTAGCTACCCTCCCGGACAGATGTGTGTCCTGTCCACCTCCCGGTGCAAGAGGTCGCCCCACCCCCACCCCTCTGTCTCCCAGCTGCCAGTCTCTGGAACAATGGCAGGCCCCGCACTCCCACAGCCCCCTCCTCCAGGCAGCTTCCTGGCTTTCCAAGGCCCAACCCATCCTGATCCTTCCCTGGCAGCACCCACAGGGGCTGAGTGGGTGCCAGATGGAGGGCACCCTTCTGTCCTGACATGTGGCAGAGAGAGGCAGTCTTGTAGTTCTTCCCCTAAGGGGCCTCGGTGAGACCATGCAGTATGTGCTCTGGGATTCCGGGGTGTGGCAGTCTCTGGGCTGTTCCCCCACCTGCCTGCCTTCCCCCTAGAGGAGAGCTGCATGCCGCCCTTTGAGTTCCAGGCCTGTGACTCCCCCTGCGCCGGGCTCTGTGCCACACACCTGAGCCAGGAGCTCTGCCAGGACCTGCCGCCCTGCCAGCCCGGCTGCTACTGCCCTGAGGTGAGCTGGGGGCTGCGGCGACTCCCAGGAGGAAGGGTCCGCTGTCCACACTCCCACTCCCCCTGCCCTGCACGATGCCATGGTGACGCCACCCTTCACAGCCCTCAGGTTTCAGTGCCTCTTCCCAGCCCAAGTTCATGTGCCTGTCCATCCACCCAGCACCACGCACAAGCGCCTGCGACAGGCCTGCGGGGGCTGGGCGTTGGGCGACACAGGGATCGCCTACCGCCTGCTGCCTCTCCTTCCACACAGGGGCTGCTGGAGCAGGGTGGGGGCTGCGTTCCCCCAGAGCAGTGTCACTGCTGGCACACCTCAGGAGACGGGGCCAGGGTGACCCTGGCCCCCGGGGACCGCCTGCAGCTGGGCTGTAAGGAGTGGTGAGTGGTGGGAAAGGGGAGACAAAGGCTGGGCCAGGAAATGGGAAGGGCCCTGGGGTGCCCAGCTGGGCCTCTGGGCAGAGGGCCCCAAGATGCCAGACCTTGCAGCCCCCTCATCTACCCCAAATGGGCCCAGAGTTCATGTTGTCCCCATATGACCCCCAAGCCCTGGGTGGGGTCCTCCCTCCCAGAGCCCACCCTGACTGCCCCTCCACAGCGAATGCCGGCACGGGGAGCTGCAGTGCACCAGCCAGGGCTGTCAAGGTAACTGCCACCTGGGGAGACAGTGGGCCCCACTTGCCTGGACTGGGGGGTTCTGGGACTCAGAACTTCCAGTGCTAAGACCAGGCGGTCCCGGGCAAACCAGGGTGTCAGGTCACCCTTCTCTGCCCCCACACCGCCCTCAGCCTTTCCTGTTTCTGATCCTTCCTGGTCATGACCCTGAGCCCCTCATGCCTGTCCACTGGGCCTCTGGGTTGGGGGTCACTGGGAAGGGCACCCACACGCTGTCCTTCTAGGTCTTCTGCCTCTGAGCGGCTGGTCCGAGTGGTCGCCCTGTGGGCCCTGCCTGCCCCCCAGCGCCCTGGCCCCTGCCTCCAGGACTGCCCTGGAGGGGCGCTGGCCCTGGGGCCCAGCAAGCCTCTCCCCCACCTCGGCGCCCCTGCTGGCTTCGGAGCAGCACCGCCACCGCCTCTGCCTGGACCCTGAGACAGGGAGGCCCTGGGCCGGGGACCCCCACCTCTGCACTGCACCCCTCAGCCAGCAGCGCCTCTGCCCAGACCCTGCAGCCTGCCCTGGTAACGGGAAGGGACAGAGTCCATGGGGTGGCAGGGGCTGCTGTGTGGTGGGGCTGCTGCGGGGTTCATTGCCCCTGCCAGCCCCCGCTTGCCTGGGGCCTATGGGATTTGAAGCTGGGCAGCCTGAGTGTTTGCAGGGCAGAGCTCAAGGCTTGCGGTGGGGGCAGGAGGTGAGGCCTCAGTACTGACGCTATTTTATCTCCCTAGACGTGTGCCAGTGGAGTCCATGGGGGCCCTGGAGCCCCTGCCAGGTGCCCTGCAGTGGGGGCTACCGGCTGCGCTGGAGAGAGGCAGGGGGCCCCCCTGGAGGAGGCTGCCGAGGGCCGTGGGCTCAGACCGAGAGCTGCAACATAGAGTCCTGCCCAGGTAACTCCCATCCCTGCATCCAGAGAGGGCCAGGACTGGAACATCTGGTGATGGCACCTGAGAGGGTTGCGGCCTCTGTCCCAGGGGTGTGCAGTGGAAGGAAGGGGCTGTCCTGGAGGCCCAAGAGCGTCCCCAACACAGACTCCTCCCTCTGGTTCCCAGGGGAGAGCTGTGAGGCCCGGGACACTGTGCCCACCCTTGACTGTGCCAACCAGTGCCCTCGCAGCTGTGCCGACCTCTGGGACCGCGTTCAGTGTCTGCAGGGACCCTGCCGCCCAGGTAGCCAGCTGTCCCTCCCGCCTGGCCTGAGAGTTCTGGGGAAGCCCCCTGCTCCCCGAGAGTGTGATCTCAGGCAGGGGTCGGGGGAAGGGAGGTTCAGATTGCTGGGTCACGAACTATAGGGCATGAGAGTGGCTCCTTGGGTCACATTCAGCAACCAGCTCCAAGCCCCGTGTAGAGTGAGACACTGCTGTGTCTGGGAGGGTACTTGCAGGTAGGGTTGCTGGGGGTTGGAGACACACACTTCCTGTGCAGGGCAGTGGGAGATACTGTGGAGACCAGGCCCTGGGCTTGGTCTGGTTGCCAGAGGTCCATCGTGTGATCCTTGCCCAAGCGCCAAACTTATTTGTCCTCCCCACCTCCACCCCAGGCTGCCGCTGTCCCCCCAGCCAGCTGGTGCAGGACGGGCGCTGCGTGCCCATCTCTTCTTGCCGCTGTGGCCTCCCCAGTGCCAATGCCTCGTGGGAGCTGGCCCCCGCGCAGGTGGTGCGGCTGGACTGCAAAAACTGGTATGGCCTCCAGCGGCGGCCCAGCAGGGTGGGAGCTTCGGGGGAGGAGGTGGGGGCAGGTCAGGGGCTATGGCATCGCTGGGGAGTGAAGGCTCCGTTCACCCTGCCTCAGGGATGGAGCCCTTTCTGCATATCCCTGCCCATAGCACCTGTGTCAATGGGTCCCTGGTGTGCCCACACCGAGAGTGTCCAGTCCTCGGGCCTTGGTCAGCGTGGAGCAGTTGCTCAGCTACCTGTGGTGGGGGCACCATGCAGCGACATCGGAGCTGCCAGAGAGGTCCTGGGGGGACACCATGCCAGGCCCAGGACTCAGAGCAGCAGCAGGGGTGTAACCTGCAGCCCTGCCCTGGTGAGCACCCTGGTGGTGGGTGCCTGCCTTCCCTCCCTGTCCCAGGCAGGTGGAGGTGGAGGTGGAGGTGGGCAGAGGAGGCGGACCCGAGGCAGCCCCTTCCCTGGGACTGAAGATGCCAGGTCCCTTCCCCCTCACCATCTGTGTGCTCTCCACAGAGTGCCCCCCTGGCCAGGTGCTCAGCACCTGTCCCGCCTTGTGTCCGCGCCTTTGCTTGCATCTGCAGCCTGGCACCGCCGTCTGCGCACAGGAACCCTGCCAGCCTGGCTGCGGCTGCCCTGAAGGGCAGGTGAGTAGAGGGAGCAGGCCGGTGGGGAGGGAAGAGACGGTGGTCCAAGTGTCACTGAGCCTGTCCTGTTGCAGTTGCTGCACAATGGCACTTGCATGCCCCCCACTGCCTGCCCCTGCACCCAGCACTCTCTGCCCTGGGCCCTCACCCTGAGCCTGGGAGAGCTGGCCGGAGAACTGCCCCCAGGGACGGTGCTCACCCAGAACTGCACCCGCTGGTGAGGGCCCGCAGGGCATGGAGGAGGGGGATGGAGGAGGAGGATGGAGGAGAGGGCTGCTGGGGGAGGGGGGTGCCTGGGAGGCCACTGAGAAGTGCTTCTGTCTTCCCAGTGTCTGCCAAAGTGGAGCCTTCAACTGTTCCCTCGAAGACTGTCAGGGTGAGATGTGGCCATCCGTGCCCTGCTGCTCTTCCCCTGCCCAGGCTGGCCCTGAGGAGGGGAGGAGGGCCCTGTGCACACCCTGGGCAAAGCTGCCTCCTTCAGGAAGCCCCTTCCCTGTCTGTCCACACTGACCTCTCTGTAACCCGAGACCGGACACTCCCTGCCCCGTGCTCCCTGGGCACTCTGCACATCCCCTGCTCATGGGGTCGTCCATCAAGTATGCTGAGTGCCCCCTGAGCCAGGGCTGCAAGTGATGCCTGGAAGGGAAAGGTTCTCTCCCTGGCGAGGAGGAAACTGAGGTCCAGAGGGGTGAGCGGGAGCGAGGAGCCTGGTCTGGCTGTCCCCAGTCTGGTGCTGTGCTGCTTCCGTCTGGTCGGGGCCAAGGACCCACAAGCCGTGTGCCCAGCTCTGCCATGCTGGGCTCTGTGCATTCAGACACACGGTGCACAGCCAGCCCCAGGCACTCCCAGCCTGGCTGGTGAGGGCAGACCACCCACCAGATGGGTAGAGCCAGGGCACAGTCTCTGGGTCTCTGACAAGCAGGTAGCCCCCACAGGCTGGGGCTCCGCCCAGCTAGTGTTTGGGAGGGTGGGTAAGAGCCAGACATGTGGCTGAGGCCACTGCAGCCCGGGCGGCCCCACGTGGGAAGGGGAGGAGGGGCAAGAGGGGTGCCCAGCTTGGGCGGGGGAGATCCAGGGCTGACAGGAAAGGTGGGATGGATGGTCTTCCCTGGCAGAGTGCCCCCCTGGGGAAATGTGGCAGGAGGTGGCCCCTGGGCAGCTGGGGCCCTGCGAGCAGACGTGCAGGGAGATGAACACCACAGAGACTCGGAGCAACTGCAGTGCCACTCAGGCCCCGGGCTGCGTGTGCCAGCCTGGGCACTTCCGCAGCCAGGCAGGCCCCTGTGTCCCCGCAGACCACTGTGAATGCTGGCACCTCGGGCATCCCCACCTGGTAAGACACTGCACCCCTCTGCTGCCATCCACCCCTGCCCAACCCCAGGCCTCGCTATCTGCTGAATTTGTACCTGTGGCAGCTTGGCAGTCTCACTCGGATGGTCTCTGGCCCCAAAGGCCCATCTCCCTCCTGCGTCTCTTGTCCCCTGACTCCAGTCTAAGCCCATTGCCCCAGCCAGGCACCACCAGCCTGGGCTCGGGAATCCGGCACGTTGTTACAGAAAAGCCTACACATGGGAGAGACCACGAGGAGGCTCTCCTCCCCCTCTCCCCAGCCCAGGTCCGAATGGCAGGAGGCCTGTGGGAGCTGCCGCTGCCTCGGAGGGAAGACTATCTGCAGCCAGCACTGCCCCCTCCTCACCTGTGCTCAGGTACCCCCTGTGGCCCTGCCACCCTCTCAGGTGGCTCTGCAGGCTTCTGAGGCTGGGCTCAGGCCCTCTGGCCGGGCAGTGCTGGGCTCAGGATGTCAAGGCCATCCTCTTAAGTGGGCCATCACTCCCTCCCTCTGCAGGGAGAGGTGACAGTGCAGGAGCCAGGTAGCTGTTGTCCCACTTGCCACCGGGAGACTCCAGGTACGGAGGGCCCCTGGGCACCTCCTGCCCAGCCTCTCCCTAGTCTCCACCCTTCTCCCCAACCGCCCCACCCCCGACCTTTTCAACCTGGCACTTGCCTGCCTCCCCCAGGCCTGCCTGCCATGGGGGGTCAGAGGAGTGAAGACCCCCAGCGCTGTAGCACCTGGCCACCCTCACCCCAAAATGCTCCCCTCAGACCCAGGCTCTGTCCCCCAGAGACCCCTCAGTCATGGCCTCCTCCTCTGCCCTGCCCCCACTCTGGCCCACAGAGGAACAGTCAGCCTCCTGCCGCCACCTCACCGAGCTGCGCAACCTCACCAAGGGCCCCTGCTCCCTGGCGCAGGTAGCAGTGAGCTACTGCAGTGGGCACTGCCCATCCAGCACCAATGTCATGCCGGAGGTGAGCAAGGGGGCTGCCACACGGCCCAGGAGAGTCAGGTTGGCCAGTGCCCTGAGGGCCTGCCATGGGCCTGGGACCTGGGGCAAGCCCAGAGGACACGAGACACACGTTTGATTCTCACGGAGCTAACAGTCGAGTTGGGGGCACAGATGGCCAGAGCCTTTCTCCAAGGCGGTGGTCTGCACCTGCTGGCTGGCCCTGAGGTCTTGCTGGATGCCCCCGCCCCTCCCTGGGAGGCCTCCTGCTGTGGCCCACACAGCTCCCAGAGCATGCCCTGCACCCACTGTCCTGGCAACAAGCCAGGACACCAGCAAAGAGAGGCACAGAGGCGCTAAGTTAGACTCAGATTGGAGCCGTCGCACAGTGAGTGAGCATCTCACGGGGTGGGCTTTCCACAGACAGGCTCGCCCCATGCGTTTCCTGGCACGGTGCACGGGCGGGGCCCAGAGGCTGACTCAGTCTCCAGCAGGGGGCTGCACTCCGCGCTCACTCTCCCTGGACCTGGAAGCCAGCCCTGCTCCTTGCTGGGATCTTCTCTGTGGAAGATCTGTGCCCACCCTGACTCCCCTGGCCCTGAGCCTGGAGAGCTGTGACCCGAGCACCCTCCTCTTCCCTTGGTTTTCTCTCTGCCTGCCTCCTGTCCCCAGCCCCGCCTCACGGCCCCTCGACTCTGTGGCCCTCCCTCCCTCCCGCCCGCCTCGGCCCACCTGGGTTGGCTGGGCCTGGAAGACAAAGACGCCTGCCTTCTTACCTGGTCCCCAAAGACGCTGCCCTCAACCCTCAGCCGGCCACTCACCAGCTCCCCTGGGCGCTCCCCGCACCTCCTAGGACAGCTTTCCCAAATCACTGTTGGAACTTTTTAAACATAGAATGAGGAAAGAAGGAGAGTAATTGAGAGATTTGTTTTCTGAGGAGGGAAACTGAGTGATAGTGGGATAGAAATTAGAGGGAGATTTTTTTTTTTTTTTTGCTGAATAACCTTGTGTAGTTTTTGAACTTGATATTGTGTGAATGTACTACCTATCTCAAAGTAAAATTATAAATGCAGGCACACACAAAATTAGATCGGATGCTGAGTGGGCCTTCTGTAACCGCAGGGCGAGTGCAGTGTGCTGCGAAGTGGGAACTCACTTTGCACGCCGGGATCAGAACCGTGTAGGCAGGGCTTCGGTAGTTGCAGTTTCATGTATCATTAGTCTAACTAGACTGGGGCGCATCCTGGGGCGGAAGCTGTCTTTCCCCTGCAGCCAGGACTCAGTGATGGGCATGTTAAAAGCATTCCTCTAGCCTGCAGATTGTTGGATGTTCAGACGGGTGGGCGCTGGAGCGAGGGAGGTGGGCTTCTTGCGAAGGGGGCTTGGTGGTGATGCTTCCCTCCCAGGCGCGGCCACCTGCTTGGAGAGGAGGGTTGGGATCTGGCCCTCCTCCCTCTGCCCCACCCCCTCGGACGGGAAAGGCCAAGGGAAACGCCGCCGTCTGGCCCCAGTTCAGGCGCTCCCTCTCGCGCAGGAGCCGTACCTTCAGAGCCAGTGCGACTGCTGCAGCTACCGCCTGGACCCCGACAACCCGGTGCGGGTCCTGAACCTGCGCTGTCCGGGTGGCCGCACAGAGCCGGTGGTGCTGCCGGTCATCCACAGCTGCCAGTGCAGCGCCTGCCAGGGTGGGTGTGGGCGGGGCTCATTGTGGGGCGGGGCTGTGGGCGGGGCTGTGGTCGGGGGGCGGAGCTGTGGGTGGGGCGGGGCTCCAGGTAGGGCGGGGCGGGGGCGGGGGCTCGGGGGAGGACTGGGTGGAAGGATGGACATTGCCAGGGTGGCGCGCACTGGGAGAAGCTCTGGGCTTCCTCCCCGGCAGCTCTTCCTCCCCACTTCTGCTGCCCTCCCCGCCTCTCTTGCTAGCCCATCCCCCTCTCGCTTGTCCTCTAGGAGGCGATTTCTCAAAGCGCTGACAGACTGCTGGAAGCGTCCACTGCTGTCCCTCTTGTGACCGTGGGGCTCAGCGGCACTGACCACCTCCCCGCATGCTCACCCACCCGCCCCTGACTGGGGATCCAGGCCCCGGCATCCACATGTCCCGAATAAAGTGGCATTGCCAGCAAGTCCGTGTGTAGAGTCTCCATTCTGGGGCCCAGCGGGGAAAGGGAAGAAGGGTGGGCCTCACCCCTGACCTGGACGGGTACAAGGACCTTGTCTCCTGGGGACGCCTGTGCGTCTGCCATGCCATGGATTCACCACGGCATTCCCCACGGCTGGTGAACTTGGACAAGCCGCTTCCCATATCTAATTCTGTTTCCTCATCTGTAGCAGCACTATGTTGAACACAGAGTCTGAAGACCCCTCATATTGGACATCTCTGGTGCCCCAGGCTCTGTCTTTAGACCAGAGTGATTTCAGCTGCAGCCGTGGTAGAGCGACCAGGCCTGTGGCCTGATGTCTGCTCCTCCTCCCTCTGCTTTTTACAACAGCTTTATTGAGGTGTAACTAACATACAATGAAATCCACTGTTTTTAGTTTACAGTTCAATGAGTTTTATGGAAAATAAAGTTGCACAAACATCACCACAACCCACTTCTAGAACATTTTCATCATATCATGCCCATTTGCAATCAATCCCTCCCATTTTCGGCCCCAGGCAACCACTAAACTGCTCTCTCAACAGACTTGCCTTTTCTGGACATTTTATGTAAATGTCTGGCTTTTTCAATTAGCATGATGATTTTGAGGTTCATCCAGAGAGAAGCATATATCAGTAGCTTGTTCCCTTTTATTGCTAAATAGTTATCTATTGTATGGATATACCACACTTTGTCTATCTCCTTACCAGTTGATGAACATTCAGATTGTTTCATTTTTTAGTATATTATGAGTAAAGCTGCAACAAATATTCTTGTACAAGTCTTTGTGTAGACACGTGTCTTCATTTCTCTTGGGTATGTTATAGCTAGGAGTGGAACTGCTGCTACATCATATAGTAAGTCAATGTTTAACTTTTTACGAAAATGCCAAACTGTTTCCAAAGTGGCTATACCATTTTACATTCCCACCAGTGATATACAAGGATTCAAGTTTCTCCATGTCCTCTCCAACACTTGTTACTATCTGTCTTTTTCCCATAGCCATTCAGTAGGTGCGAAGTAGTATCTCATTATGATTTTGATTTGCATTTCCGTAGTAACTGAAGTAGATAGACTAAAGATAGCTCCTGTAAATCTAAAATGGAGTCAGTCTTGCTCTAACTATTAGTAAAAGTTCCCAGAGGAAGTTCCCAGGAGAGGGAAGTGGGAGTCGAGGAGGCCTGTTCCCAAAAAGAATAGAGAGATCCTGTTCCAGGAAAAGTCCCTTGTCCCTCAATGTACCTTTCCATTGTTCGCTTTATTAACAACTAACCGTAAAGTTCTGCTTCTGTGATTGATTGCTCGCTGGCATAGCTGCCAGCCCCTAAGGTATAAGAAAACCGCAAAGGCTTTGTTTGCTGCTGCTTCTCCCTCCTTGCATGGAGTGGTGACAGCCCCTGCACAGGTATCAATAAACTAATTTGGCTGATTAGATTCTGGTGACCGAGTCCCCTTCATCCGCTGGTTTACAACATAACTAACAATGTTGAGCTTTTTTTTTTTTTTGCATATGCTTATTTGCTATTGTATACCTTCTCAAGCTTCTATTGCTTTCTGCCCCATGGCTTTTCTGACACAGGGAGGGTCCAGTTGGCCTTTACACAAGCAGATGGCAGGAGGGCAAAAGGGCAAAGTTACTTTCCTTTGTGCTTGCATAAGGGCACTAATTCCTTCATAAGGGTGGCCTAATTACCTCCTCAAGGCCTCTCCTCCTTTTTTTTTTGAGACAGAGTCTCTCTTTGTTGCCCAGGCTAGAGTGAGTGCCATGGCGTCAGCCTAGCTCACAGCAACCTCAAACTCCTGGGCTCAAGCAATCCTTCTGCCTCAGCCTCCTGAGTAGCTGGGACTACAGGCACTCGTCACCATGCCCGGCTAATTTTTTTCATATGTATTAGTTGGCCAATTAATTTCTTTCTATTTATAGTAGAGACGGGGTCTCGCTCTTGCTCAGGCTGGTTTTGAACTCCTGACCTCGAGCAATCCGCCCGCCTTGGCCTCCCAGAGTGCTAGGATTACAGGCGTGAGCCACCGCACCCAGCCAAGGCCTCTCCTCTTAATGCTATTGCATTTGGGATTAAGTTTCAACATAGAAACTTTGGAGGGACACATACATTCAAACCATAGCATTCTGCCCTGGTTCCCCGAAAACTCTTATAAGGACACTAATCCCATCGTGAGAGCTGCACCTTCATGAACTCATCTAAACCTAATTACCTCCCAAAGACTCCATCTCCAAATACCATCACATTGGGGCACAACATATGAATGGGGGTAGGCGGGACACAATTCAGTCCATAGCATCTCCTTTACCTGGCTAACTCCTACCTCTTGTTTTAATTCAGCTCAGGTGCCACTTCCTCAGGAAATCCTTGACTAGCCATCCCAATATCCTCCCATCATTTCATTCTAAGGTGCCAAAACGTGCTTCAATTAGTGTCTTGTGCTTACTTCTTTCGTTGTATTTGTCTCTTTATTTTGTAATTATCTACTTCTGGTCCGTTTCCCCGAATAGGCTATGAGTTCCTTGAAGGCAAGGGTTCTTGTCTCATTCAATGATATACTCCCAAAACCTATTGGTTGCCTGACCCATGGTAGGCAACCAATGATGCTTTTTGAATGAATGTAAGAAAAAGTATTGCCCTCTCTGATTAGGTAAAACCTGAAACCTTCAAGGTTAGCATTGGCCCTACGAATTTGAGAAAGCAGAATCCCATAGCTCAGTAAGGGTGCGCTTTGCCCTAACTGCAGAGCGCGGGAAAACGCCTGGGGACGTTGCCTAGTAACCATCGCCGGGCGAACGACTCGGCGTCCAATCAGGACCCTGCATTCTCGGAGCCAATAGCAGCTTGGAGAGCTGCTTACCGGACTACGCTTCCCGTCGTGCTCCGCCGCCTCGGGCCAGGCGGCTGCCGTAAAGCTGGTCGTTGGGTACGACGCTAGTCCCAGCTCAGCGCCTCTCCCGGCCCCGTCAGCACTCCCGTCCCCTGACGTGGTAGAGCGAAGTTCTTGGGCCGCGCTCCCTTCCCGCCAGGGCGCCCTCCCCCTTCGGGAGCCTGGGTCCCCAAGGTGGCCGCGGCGCCTGGACCTCAGGCCACGGTGCGGGGGGAGGGGGCGGCCTGGTGGCAGTGGCGGGGTGAGCCGGGCCACTGAACGCGGGGCCATGGAGCCCCGGGAGTCGGGGAAGGTAGGACTGGAAGGGCCCCGGGGCCGCCCACTCCCCTCCCGCGCATCCGCGATCGGGCTCTGGCCAGGCGGAGGCCCGGCCGAGGAGCCAGCGTTGCGGGGAGGGACCCGCCCGCCCGCTCACTCTTTCTCCGCACTTCGGCGGCCGCCCCGGGGAGGGTGGCAGAGAGGAGCGAAGGCACCGCCGTGGGTCTCGCGCGTCCTCGGGCTCCCCTCCGTCCCCGGGCCGGCCGGCGCCTGCTGGCAAGCGGCCGCTCTGTGGGTGCCAGATTGGGTCACTCGCTAAGTGGAGGGAGGCGAAAGGGCTTCCAGTTTCTCCCCTTCACCGGCCTTGGCCTTGTGAGGAGGCCAGCTTGCTTTAAGGCTTTGAGACTGGATAGGACGCTGGCGGGAGCCAAAGGGTAGTAGGAATCGAGAGGCAGGTGAGAGGTGGGGTGAGGGCTTGGCCCCCACCTGGATACTCCTTCCCAAGAAAGGACTGAAAAGAAAAAGAGGGTTATCTACTTCGTGAAGTACCTGAGCATTGCCTAGAAGCATACTTCATAAATTTGCTTCAGTCTTAAGGTGGGGGGGAAAGTGCTTGTGGGTAGAGTTAAGTGGGTTTGACAGGATTGCTGGAACTCCCAGACAGTGCCAGCAAAGACCAGTGGCTTGGAGGTAGTGTCAGCCTCTTAGGAATAACATCGTTCTGAGTGTTCTTTGCTGCCAGTTCTCGAAGATTGTTTCTTCTTTGGTGTAGAGAGAATTCTCTCAACAAATGTTTTTGAGTGCTTATTGAGCCCCTTCTTTAAAAAGAAAGTTAATTTAATAAACGTTTGTAGTCTGTGATTTGCATCGAGTTGAGATGCTGGGTGTACAAGGATAAATATGGAAGGACCACTTTCCTCAAGAAGCTCTCCTGCAGCTTTCACTTCAATAACTCGGACAAGCCTGAAAGGGTTGTCCTACACCAAAGAGAGAAAGAATAATGAGGTAATTTTGATGCTGTACTTTTTCCAGGGAAGACTAGGAAAGACTCTGAATTACAAAAGAAGTTATTTATTGCTCGAGCATCTCTTCCACCCTCCCTTCCCTCCACAAGCTACAGTGGTGCATTTTCCAGACACAGCAACCTACAGAGTACACAGTCCAAGACAATAAGGCTCTACAGAACCTAAAGAAAGATTAAAGGTGAACTGTGTGCCAAACTTATGTTAAGTGCTATGGGGAATACAAAAAAGTAAAGGAAATAGCCCCTTACCCTTTGATAATATCCCCAGATTAGTTAGATTACACATGAATTTGGATGAGAAGGAACAATATGTAGGGGGAATAAGGATTGTAAAATATTGGAATTGAGATTGCAATTAGCGATTTGAGGTTGATTTCCAAGATATTGTTCAGTTGTAGACTTTCTTAGCTTTTAATGGGAGAAGAGAGGTACAGTCATGTGCCACATAACTTCGGTCAATGATGGATTACATATATTAATACAATGAGGGTGGTCACATAAGATTATAATGGAGCTGAAAAATTACTGTTGCCTAGTGATGTCTTCATGATCCTGACTGTGTATAGGCCTAGGTTAATGTGTGTGTTTATGCCTTACTTTTTTTTTTTTTTTCATAACAGCCTCTCAATATGCCTTACTTTTAAACAAAGTTTAAAAACAATTTTTTTTAAATAGAAAAAGCTTAATAAGGATTAAAGAAAAAAATTTTGTACAGCTGTACAATGTGTTTGTGTTTTAAACTGTTATTACAAGAGTCAAAAAGTTTTAAAAATTAAAAGTTTATAAAGTGGAAAAATTATAGCACATTAAGGTTAATTTACTATTAAAAGAAAATTATTTTTTTAATAAATTTAGTGTAGCCTCTAGTGTGCTGCCCATTTCCCTTCACCACTATTGGCGTTGTGAAGAGGCCAGCGTGTTTTAAGGCTTTGAGACTGGAAAGGATGCCAGTGGGAGCCAAAGGATAGGAATGGAGAAGTGCTGTGTGCAGTGTTTATGTTGTTGGTACTGTCTACAGCGGTGTCTTAGGCCTTTGCACTCACCGATTCACACAGAGCAGCTTCCAGTCCTGGAAGTTCCATTCATGGTAAGTGCCCAATACAAATGTGCCATTTTTTGGAGCCGTATTTTTACTCTACCTTTTCTATATCAAGTTGCATAAATACTTACTATTGTGTTACAGTGGCCTACAGTATCCAGTCCAGTAACATGCTGTTCAGGTTTGTAGCCTAGGAACAATAGGCTATCCCACCTCAGTTTGTGTAACTTTACTCTGTGATCACACCATGACGAAATTGCCTAAAGACGCATTTCTCAGAAGGTATTCCTGTTAAGTGACACATGACTATACAAACATTTTGGGAGGCGGAGGAGAAATTTGATGGCCTTTTCAGGTCTAACTACTAATTGAAATCTCTACGGACTAGAAATTTCACCTTTGATTGTAATCTTAATTGTAGGGTGTCTCAAAAAGGTGCTCACCCTTCCCAAGTATATCTGTTTTCTAACCTAGGAAATGAGAACGTTACTCAAAATTAAAGTGATTGCAGAACCAACTGGCAGTATGAGATGCATTGTGAACAAGTGATAGTGATGAAGGCCTGGGTGAAATAGCTGTGCTATTCTACAGCTCTGTTCTGCATATTGTTCTTTTTTTTCTTGGCTCAAAACTGGGAGACTAGGGGTCCTCTTGAGGTAGTGGCTTGGTCTATTATTGGAATCTTCCTTTGGCCCTATTTTGTGATCTTTATTAACTAAAAGCAATCTTGGGCCATTGGATTGAGTGTGGGATATCTTGCCCATCATTAGCAGAATAATGGATAGAGGTCAGACTTTTCCCCATCACACTTTGTCCCATTATGCCCTTATATTTTGTTTACAGCCCTTATCACTATACAAAATTCTCACATTTATTTATTTACTTATTTACTTGCATATTTGTTGACTTTGCTCTCTGTTATATCCCCAGCTAGAACAGTGCAACAGTCCCTGGCATGTAATAGGTTACATACACCAGGAAAGAATGGCTCATAAATACCATGCTACAGGAACTCTTTTGCTGCAAGGTATGGGTGCTTTGAAGAACACTGCAGCCGACACCTCCTGTGCCCTCCTAGGAGACTGGGTAGTTGATGTTTCCGATAGGAGTCTGTATGTACTTGTTTCTGTGTATGTTTACTGCCTCAACATTTGTTTCCTAGCCTCCTCTCTGTCTTTCCCATAGAAGTGATCACTGCCTTCTCATTTTTCTTTGAACACAACTCTCTTACTGCACTTATATCATAGTTGTCTGTTACTAATAGATAGATTTTACTCTCTTGATTTTAATCTCCCTTCATATCTTTAGATCACCATGTACCAAACACTTAGAAGAAACACTTAAATAATAAATATATGTTGAATGAAAAAATGAAGTGCTTATGAAATACTTTCCATATAGTATGTTGATGGGGAGAGGGGTGGTGTTGGTGGAGGGGGTTATAAGATAAGCCAATCAGAATAGGCTTCCTGAGGGCCAGGCTTGGGGGAATAGAAAGTCTTCCCTGCTCAAGGGAAGGAGAGATGCTTGGGTGATGATTAGGAAATCCCTCCTGAAAGAGATGGAATGCAAATTGGAACTTGGTGAGTGGTTAGACTCTAAGTAGTTAGGGGGGAAATGGGCAGTCAGGAGATGTAAAGATCGGAGGCGTAGAGAAAGGAAAGGTGCAAGACTGTTTGAGTGCAATGCTACTGATCTGGCAGGAGGAGAGATTCCAGGTAGGGTGATACATAGAGCTGAGGTTAGGAAAGTGGGTTAGATTCCGACTGGGGGGACTTCTTTAGGCTGAGAAGTCAGAGATTTACCCTGTAAACAGTGGGGACAGCTAAAATAGAACATCTGGAGATATTCTTTCCATTGTTCACAGAGAAGGAATTCCTCTTATTCAAGGAGATTTGTGTTTTCTTTACATTGTAGTCACCTGGAATCAGAAGGCTCTTGCCATAATATTGCTTAAGAGAGGTACCAGTTGTTAGTGTAATCACTCTTCCTGGGAAGGCAGTTTGTCCCAGCCGTACTTCTCACTGTGGAGGTAAAGTGATGGGTCCCTTCGCCTTCCTTATGCCCACCTGTATGTGCTAGGGGAAGGGTGAGTGTGAACAGGGAGCCTGCTTGTCCTTAGTCACAGTTTTTTAACCTGCCCCGATCTGAACAGATTGCCCTTTAGTCCTGGTGTACAACTGTCATCCTGCATCTGCCTTCAGCATAATCTCGGGGCTCCCTTCCCCACTTCCCCACATTGGATATCCTTAGGCTCTATCTGTGTAGACCCCTTTCCTGTTTGACTGCTTTTGGTGGAGCCCTTCCTCCAGTGGGTTTTGGAAATATTAACATAATCACATTTTGCTTTGGAAGATACTCTAGAGCAAATAGTTTTTTAAAACATACACATTAGGCTATACAATTTCATTTTTGTTTTTAAAACTGTACATTCATACATATTCATAGACAAAAGACTAGAAGGTTCTACACCAAATGTAATAGTAATTCTTTTTCAATGAGGGGAATGTGGGTGATCTTAAAACATGTTTTTCTTGGGACAGAAAAAGGAGCAAAAAAATTATACAAAATATAAAAAGAATAGAAGATAAAAAATATTTAAAAAATAAAAATTAAAAAAATTTTTTTCTGCTTATTTCTATTGTCTAAATTTTCTTTTTTTCCCATATTTTTTCAACCAGTCAAGCAAACAGCACTGATCTATTTTCCAAATTTTCTGCAGTGAACATGAGAAAAATATTCAAATTATTTTTCAAATTTATGATTGTGACTGATAAGAATTATCTTTGTAGTTTTTCCTAAGAAGCGCCTACTATTGAAGTTAAAATAGTTATCTCACTTATTTTACATTTATCTTTTTTCTTAAAAGATGTGTTAGTATATTTCACCTGTTTTAAATGGTGTGCAGCCATTTCCCAATATGTTATTTTTCTTTGGGGTGGGAAATTTATGTTTTATTGATAATTTTATTTATTTTTTATTTCTTTGACTAGGTGATAAGTTTTCATGGTATAAAATTTAAAAAGATAAACTTATTTCTGACTATATTTCCTTTTCTGATTATTTCTTTTATAACTTTGTTTCATGACTACAGTATCTTACCTCTCTGATGATATTTTTTTTAATTATTTTCTTCTCTATGCCTCTCTATTTCCTTAGCACGGCCCCCCCCCCACACACACACATCATCTATTTTCCTTTCCTTTCTGTTAGAGCCTTTCCTCAAATGTCTAGTAGTCTAGTCTGCTAACATTTAGCAGTGGAAGACCAGAAAGCTGGAAGACTGACAGCTGTGAGCACGTGGCAGGGGGAGGGCTAACCAACTTAGAGCCTCTGTGTGGGGGAGCCTGGAGAGGCATTTGTTGGGAACAGCTTTCTCCTAATTCTTATTATTTAGCCTTCACTTCCTAGCCAGAGGTTTCCCTTGTTGCCAGATCCTGAGCCTTTTGAGGACGTAGTGGTATAAATTGGGTTGTCTCTCAGCTTTGCCCACTGCTGGGTGAGGTTTCGATTTTCTTGATCTGTTCAGTTACTACTTTTTCATCTGCTTTTCAGTTTCCACAATTGTATTGCTGCTGTCTACTTGTTGTGCTCCCGACTGTAGTAGGCATTTTACTGTGTGGGGGGCTGGGGGGAGGATGTCTTTTAAATTCACAGGCAATAAGCAAAATTAACTGGTACTTGTTTAATTTGCCATCTTGATCCAGAACTCGCCAGAACACTTTCTGAACTCCCGTATGCAACAGAGCTTCTTTGTAAGCCACATGGGATGTAGGTTTTAGCCCCAAAGCTTTGCCTGTCTTGGTCATTGACTTTATCCATAGACACAGTTCTAAATTACCTTCAGCTATTTCTAGAAACCACACATCTTCCTGAGTGAAGATTTTCCACATTCAAGATTTTATAAAAGAATGTGCCAGAAATCATTGCTGAGCCTGGGCAGAGATGTAATATGTGTGTGGGAGGCATGTGAAGAACATGCAGGGAGAGGCTGTGAAATTCCTGAGTTAGCCTTCCTCAAGGCTCGGGTTGGTTCTAGTGCGTGGTACCTCCTAGAAGAATGAGTCTCAATCTCAGTGACCTGCACCCAGATGGTGAGAAAGAGATGGGGTGTGGGTCATGTGTATAAACTGACAACCCCCCCCCCCCCCCCGCAATGTGGTAAATTGCCAGAGTAGGGCTGCCCTCAGGTGGTGGAGAACACTGATGTGGAAGATAAATCAGCAAAAAGTTGCTGCTTAGCTGTCATTTTTCCTTTTCAGGCTCCTGTGACGTTTGATGACATCACAGTATACTTGCTCCAGGAAGAATGGATGCTGCTGAGTCAGCAGCAGAAGGAGATCTGTGGCTCTGACAAGCTGGTGGCACCACTGGGTATGGATTCCTGTCCACGTCCCCACCACCATCAGTCTAGACCAGCATGCCCAACCTTATCTGGGCCAGGACATACTGGAGAATTTTCAGGAATCCTGTCATTTCTCTAAGAAATCCTTATGCCACTATCTGCTCAATCTCATATTTAACTTAATGCATGCAAATTCACATACCACCCTATCTTTTTTCCTTTTAAATTGATCAAGAGAAGTGGGACAGTCTGGCACATGTCTGGCTAGAGGTCTGTCTCCTGGGTGCCTCAGGGTACCCCAGGTTGCCAGATGTTAAATGGCCTGTAGATTTGTGGACCATAGGACACTGGAGGTAGGAAATGGTGGTAGAATGAACTTCAGCTTTGTAGTGTGGAAATCTGACCTCAACCCCAGCTCTCCCACTGGATACTTGATTGCCCTTGGTTTTTTTAAGCCTTGATTTCTTTCTTGTTAGTGTTTTTTAAAAGAAATTTAGTGAGATAAAACAGTTTAAAACTTTGCATAAATGTAGGTATTTTTTATCTTTTCTATTTCCTGAATGTTCTTTTCTCTGTTTCTTTGGGTAGACTTTCTGCACCATGGACAATGGTGGTTGTATTTCAACACGTGTGTGCACACATGTGTACTGTTTGCTGATTTCAATTCGATTACTGTCTACCATGCTTTCCTTATTTTACCTCGATCCCTACTGAAGGCATGGTAGGAACAACAGTCTCAGCTTTTGTGGGTGGAAGAATTGGAGCTGGCTTGAGTCATCTTCCTGTGCCTGCTAAGAAAGGTTTGGAAACCACTGATTCTTCTAAACCAGAAGTTGCAAAGTAGCAGCTTATGGGTCAGATTTGGCTCACAGACTAGAGTTTTGCTTTTTTGGCTTCCACTACTTTTGTTTGGCTTCTTACAAATATTGAAGTGAGTTGCCAATATTTAACCATTGGGAGTTTTCACATAAAAATATTAATTTCTGGCTTTTCTTGACAAACAGGGCAATGTGACTGCCTTCTGGAGTTGAGTAGAGCCTGCCCCTTTATGTGGGACTAAGTCCTCTAGGTTGTTGCAGCCCCCCCCCCCCCAGGTCCAGCCTGGTTTCCTTAGTTACATTATCAGGCTGGCTCCTCCCAGCATTTGAATTTGTGAGCCTCTCTCTTAAGCAGTAATTTCCTTACCTTTTTAGCCTTGCTTGTTCCCTTGTTCCTTTCACCTGGTCCCCCATTCTTTTAGGAGTCCCACGGATATCCAAGTTTCTAAACCACAGCACTAAACCATCGAGATTCCTACTTTCTTCCTTGACCTATTATCTTACCATGCCGAGAGGATGCCACACCTTAATGTTTTGATGTGGAGCCAGGCCCTCATAGTGCTTTTCTCTGTTCCTGACTCAGGACCAACTGTTGCTAACCCTGAGCTGTTCTATAAGTTTGGGCAAGGGCCAGAGCCATGGCTAGGCAATGTCCAGGATCAGAGGAGTCTCCTGGACCGTCACCCAGGTGAGTGTGGGCCTGCACCACAGGTGGGTGCTCAGCTGGAGAGGGAGCAGGTGTGAGGACCCCAGTCTCGTCCTCTGTCCTCCCTGTTCTCTACCGACACTCACAATGAATGCAGCCAGTTGTCACCTCATCCAAATATACATGCCTCTCCCAACAGCCTTCTCCAACCCCTCGTCTCCTCTTATTTTATTTCTATCTGAGCATTTTGTTTATTTTTATAAGTTCCATTAGGGAATGACATTGTCTTATTTACCACTGTATTCCCAGAGCCCAGAACAATGCCTGGAACACCGCAGTTGCACAGTAGATAATCAGTGAATGAATGAACAGCTGTCTGCTGAGTTCTAGGGATTTACCTTTTCCTTCCTCCTTTAATAAGCCTCTCCTGTTCAGGGGTTGGCTGAGCTAGAGCCAGGCTAGGTGGCATCTTGTCATTATGTAAGATAACTGAGTTAACCCCACCCCAACTAAGGGAGAAGAGGGAAATGGGGAACCAGATCCTGTATGAATTGAATCACTAAAGTTTGCTCTCCTTGGTGATTTCTCTCAGATGGAACATGAAGAGCTCTAGACTGCTTTGTGACTCTGTGAAGTATCATAGAGACTAATTTGTTTCATTTCTCCTTGCTTGGCTCTTAATTTTAAGCCTACTGACTCTTTATTAACAGCTTTGTGCTCTTAGGGTATTACAATGTTGTGTCTACACAGTAGACCAGTCTTGATCTATTAACCTGGCTCACAAGATGTTGAGTTCTTGGCCACTGGGCATCTGTACTTAACATTAGTGCATAGGAAATGGTTCCAGGGGACTTAGAGTTGTCTGAGTTGCATTTCATCTTAGGAGTAAGTAAAGAAACCTCTTGTTCAGCTTGAAGAAGAATCTTAATGAGGTCGTAAAAATTCTCACCTCTTTGAAGGGTTGTGATGTATGAAAGGAATTAGACTTGAGTTTCTCTAGAGGGCTGGATCAGCTTCCAGTACTTTTAAGGTAGAAGTGCCCAAAGATAGATCGCAGCTTAAGGAATAGTGTCTGGGAACCAAAACTGTGTGCCCAGGAGTTAGGTAGCCCTCAAAATGCAGATGCTCCTCTGTCACACCTACTACCCAATGGTATTCCTGCTGAGCAAGCAGTTGTGTTATGTGACTTTAATGACCTTTTTAAACCCTGTGTTCTATTACATCAATGTTCTTATCCATAACTAAGTTTTAGCCCCTGAATATTGTGCCACTATCTTACATTTCATAGATGAATTGCAAAAATCTCCTTCTGGCCAGGTGTATCGGTTTTTTGTTTGTTTGTTTGTTTGTTTGTTTGTTTGTTTGTTTGTTTTGAGACAGAGTCTCACTCTGTTGCCCAGGCTAGAGAGCCATGGCATCAGCCTAGCTCACAGCAACCTCCAACTCCTGGGCTCAAGCAGTCTTTCTGCCTCAGCCTCCCAAGTAGCTGAGACTACAGGCATGCACCACCATGCCCAGCTAATTTTTTCTATATATTTTTAGTTGGCCAATTAATTTCTTTCAATTTTTTTTTTTTTTAGTAGAGACAGGGTCTTGCTCTTGCTCAGGCTGGTCTCAAACTCCTGACCTCAAACAATCCTCCCACCTCGCCCCCCCCCCCAGAGTGCTAGGATTACAGGTGTGAGCCACCACACACAGCCATATCTGTTCTTTAAATTAAAAAAAAAAAAAAAAAGAAAGAAAAGAAAGGGGGAGGATTTGCTGAAAGCCCATACCTTTGACTTTCTTCTGGATTAGGTGAGGCATGGCCCGTGGAGTTGGAGGGACTGGAATACGAGAATTCAAGTGGAGGCTGTGGTGCTTTTGTCTGAGTGTGCACTTCTCACCTTTCATGTTTGAAGTATATGACAGCCCCATGAGTTGCAGTGGTTCTAACCATAGGATTTTAAAGCAAATTCCATTTGTCTCTTTTCTCTAAAGGAAAAAGCCAGATGGGCTACTTGGAAGAAATGGATGTGCAAGTTCCTGCCAGGGAGAGTACACGATACCTCCCGCCTCAGAAGAAAGCCTGCCTTTCCCACTTCAGTACAGACAATGGCAACATCGAGGGAGACTGGACAGAAAGAAGCAAGAAACTCTTAAAGCCTCGGTCTATCCAGAAGTCGTGGTTTGCACAGTTTCCATGGTTGATCATGAACGAGGAACAGACGGCTCTGTTTTGCTCTGCTTGCCGGGAGTACCCATCTGTCAGGGACAGACGGTCAAGATTAATAGAAGGTTATACAGGACCATTCAAGGTGGAGACTCTCAAATACCATGCCAAGAGCAAAGCGCACCTCTTCTGTGTCAGTGCCTTGGCAGCAAGGGACCCCGTTTGGGCAGCCCGTTTCCAGAGCATCAAAGATCCACCTGGAGATGGCCTGGCCAGCCCAGAGCACCTCTTCACTGCAGATTATCCCGTGTTCTACCCCACAGGGTCTCTGGGAGATTTTGGTAGCATGGATGAGCTCCTGCCAACCTCAAGAGCTGAACTAGAGGATCCTGGGGGGAATGGAACAATTCCTGCCTTGTATCTAGACTGTGTTCCAGATTTGAGGCAAAAAGAAATCACTGATGACATCAACAACTCCTCAAACATTAATGTTTTATGTAATGATGTTGTTGAATCCAGCAGCCAGGTAATACATTTATAATGATTGCTGTATCTTACAGAGAAGGATTATGCACTGAGAATAACATATATTGCATAATGATGCTGAAAAAAATAACAGGCCAGGCGCGGTGGCTCACCCCTGTAATCCTAGCACTCTGGGAGGCCGAGGCGGATGGATTGTTTGAGCTCAGGAGTTTGAGACAAGCCTGAGCAAGAGCAAGACTCCATCTCTACTAAAAAAATAGAAAGAAATTAGCTGGACAAGTAAAAATATATAGAAAATATTAGCCGGGCATGGTGGTGCATGCCTATAGTCCCAGCTACTTGGGAGGCTGAGGCAGAGGATTGCTTGAGCCCAGGAATTTGAGGTTGCTGTGAGCTAGGCTAATGCCACGGCACTCTAGCCTGAGCAATAGAGTCAGACTCTGTCTCAAAAAAATAAATAAATAAAATTTAAAAAGAGAAAAAAAAGAACAATAGTAATACTGCTATCATTATAATGTTATCATAAGCTAATATGCTTATAATGTACTAGTCATTGTTTTAAGTGCTTTATGTGTATTATCTAGTTTAATTCAGATAACAACTCTATAATCTCTTTTTTGCAAATAACAAAACATAATTAGTGCAACAAAGCATTCTAACTTCTGATATAAAGGGAATAATAATCTTCATTCAGAATCTAAAACAAACACAAAACTCTAAGAAATAATCTACAGACACAAAACAATGACAGAACTCTTAAATAATCAGTATTTTTAAAGTTTTAACTTTAACTTTGGAATCACGCAGGACTTTTAAACATTGCAAGTTTTTTTTCCACACATATTGTTTAATGTAATGTCTCTCACATTGCCGTGAGGCTGAGAGAACAAGTGTTGTTAAACTCATCTTGTTGGGAGAAAACTGAGACCTGAGGAAGTGACACGTCCGGTGTCCAAGAACTGTTGTGGTAAATGTCAGACTCTGCCAGAACCCTTGACTGCCAGCCCGGTGCTGTCCCCCCACTGCCCATAGCACTGCCAGACCTGGGTGACTCTTGTGCTCACCTTAGGTTTATTTTTAAATTATCCAATTCATTGGAAAGTTGGCCTCTAAGGAAACTTTAATTGGAATCTGTGAGTAACTAGAAACCTCCCCCTTTCTTACCTATTGCATACAAGTAGGATTTTTAAGTCATTTTTAATACCCCCTCCAGGGGTCCAGTGGGGATGGCTCAGATGTTCCTCATAGCTGACATGGTATGGAATCTGGCTCAAGTTAGTAAGCTTAAGTTTTTCCAGAATGCAGGAAAACAATGAAGCTCATTTCTCTTCATGTTCATGTTCCTGGTATTTTTTGGTATTAGAGCTAATAAACAGATCTAACCTTTTATAATTGGAATTCCTTTAGCAGTGAGGCTTGTGTAAATCTAGTCACTGACCATAAGCATCTTTAGTTCTTTTCGACCACTTCTTCCTTCCCATCCCATTGGGAAATCTTAGCAGGTGCTCCTAGAGGCAGATGGTCACCTTTGTGGTCACAGATGAGCAGAAGGCACTGCTCTTAGTACTCTAAAGACAAGGTGCAGTCACAGGCTTTGCTGAGATGGCTGTTTTTTCCATAGGTTTTTATTTCCTGCCAGGAGATCTTAGGCTCTGAGTAGGGCTTGTTTGGTTTTTACCTACTAATTCTGGGCCTCACCAATTTGATTCTGTGACATTCATTGGATAGACCAATTCCTCAGAGTGCATCTGGGCTGCTTGGTGAGCTTCTCAGGAGGAATAGGTCTTAAGAAGGCCCCCAGAAGTGTCACGCAGGCATCAGACAGAGGCGTGCCTAGTGACTGCTGCTCTTTGTTGCAGGACCTTTCTGAAGAGGGGCTGTTGGAGGAGGTCCCTGTGGTGGTGGAGGAGCTCCCAGCGGTATTTGAGGATGTTGCGGTGTATTTCACCCAGGAGGAGTGGGGCCTGCTAGACAAGCAGCAGAAGGAGCTGTACAGAGACGTGATGTGCATGAATTACGAGCTCTTGGCATCCCTGGGTAAAGACTCCTGGAGACTTTTATTCGCCATCATCAGTTGACTTGGGAAGCCCGCAAGGGCAGCTGTGACTGGTGGTCATCTTCCTGCTTCTGCCCTCTCCCTGTACGTAGGCAGGAAGGATTAGTATCTTCTGTCCCTCAGAACTCTCCCTGCTTTGAGTTCCTGTATTTTATCACCTCTTCATCCATCCACTTGTCCATACATCCATCCATCCTCCACCAAATATTTATTGAGTACCTACTCTGTACCAGATAAACATGAATGAGCCAAGGTCTGTGCTTTCAGGGGTCTAGCAGATTTGTGGGAGAGGCAGACATTGTAATAAGAAACTATGAAATAATGCAACCTCCCATAAAAGAGCTCCTGGAAGAGTACCCTGGGGGTACCAAAGAGGAGGGTATTGGCAGGAGGGAGCAGGAAGGCTTTCTAGAGTAGGAAATGCTTTAACTGAGTTTGAAACCAGAAGAGGAAGGGCATCAAGACATGGCAGAGGGAAGGGACAGTATGAACACGGCTGTGGAGGCTAAAGGGCTTCCAAGTGGATCCGCCCTTCTCTCTGTGCAGCTCAGGGCTAAGGGTCCTTCATCCTGCTCAGGTGCCTGCAAGGGGTGGCAGCCTTCATTGTAGGGGTCACTGGTTTTGGACTTAGGAGGACTATGAGGGTAGTAGTGGTCACTACTTTTTCAGATAGTGTTCTCATCTCCTGCGTCTGTTTCTTTTTCTTGCCTTTTCCTCTTCCTGGCAGATACCCAAGGTTCTTATGTATTAATAGCATTAAGCTGGAAAGACAACTTTTCATCTTATAAAGCTTTTACTTATTTCTTCACTAACATACAGTGTAACAGAAACTTTGCAGAACAGGCTGCTGTACATAACTTAGGAGTTCTAGGAGCAACCTGTGTCATGACTTCTGCTGAACAAGAAATAAGAATATTTATGATTTAATTGATGTCATATTCCTTTGTTTACACTGCCCTTTTGGGTATAGCTAAGATCTGGATTATTTTCTAAACATTCTTGACCTATGTAGGTGTTTTTATCATTGTTCATAATTTTTAAATACCTCCCCAAACATTCAGAAATGACTTAAATAATTATTTTTTAGCACCAGGGGTTTTGTGATCATGCCCTATGTCCAGAATGTCCCTTCAAAGAGCATCACTGTTCCTACTGTGCTGAAAAGCAGCGAGAATGAGGGGGAAAGTCATTTGTCAAAAATGCACACCTACTTAGAAAATGTTGACTTTTCCTTTAAGGTAACCAGCAGTAGCATGCACTCTGGAGCCCCGCAGACAGCTGGGAACGTAGCTGCAGTCAGTGTTGGCAGCGCACCTCTCCCGCCGTGCGCTTGTTCCCTCAGGTTTTATGTTTTGACAGAGCATGATCTAAGCATTGTATCATTTTTCTTTTTAATTTAAATAAGTTAGGAAGTAGGGAAGTCTTAGCTAACTAGGCACAGTTCAGTCTTGGTTAAGTCTTATTTGAGTGCATTAAAAATGTAATCAGAGGAGGGGGACTAATTCTGTTTGCCGGTCAGAGGCAGGAATCAAGGCTTTTATAGGGGATGGGCGTGGCCTCTTCAGTTGTCCTTGTGATTAAAACGGGTACAGGAATCTAGAAAATGAATTGTGTGTGTGTGATTCCTTTTAGTTACCATCCTTTAACTATCCCCCCATTATTATCCTTTATCCCCCAATTTAAACAATTTTTCATGTTTGAGATATAAAAGCATTTTAAAGAGCCTGGAGACTATAACTATGGCCCAGCATAAATGATCTGTATGTTTAAAAGTGACCTTTTAAAAGACAACAAGCCAATAATTGGGGTATAAAATAGTGTTGAAACACAGTGGAGAGTCTCCAGTTATTATTTTTTGCAAGTAGAACTTCTCCTTGGAGTGAACTCAATTTTTGAAAAAGAAAACCTTAGTCATAATTTTTGTGATCAAGAAAAGCCCTTTTCAAAAATCTTTCAACTATTTCTCAATGTTTTTTTGTGTTTTATCTTGAAACACTGTGATCGCCTTGAACTGGGTATTACAGGAATCCTCTATGTTATTCCTGTGGTAGTTTTTTTTTTAATTCTTATGTCTAGAAATAATCAGTGGCTTTTGCCATTGTTGGCAGAATCCAGTTCCTTGCGGTTGTAGGGTTGCGGTCCCTGTTTCCTGCTTCCTGTCAACCAGGGAGCCGCTGGGCCCCTAGCAGCTGCTCTCAGGTCCTTTCCCCGGGGCCGCCTCCATCCTCAGGTAGCAGCACTGTGTGGAATCATCTTGTGCTTTGAAGCTCTGACCTCGCAGTCCTCTGCCAGCCTGACTACACTCCCCGCTTTTAAAGGGCTCCTGTGAATAGGTCGGGTTCACTGGCTGAGGTCCCTTTGCCATGCGACTGAACGTGATGACAGGGTCCGCCTCTCATCATCAGCCTTTCTAACATCCTGGCTGGGAGCGGCATGGTGGGTAGGTGGGTAGAGAGGTGCAAGAGAGGTTTTGCCTGGCATGCAATCTGATACCAGCTAATTGCAACTGTGATAGTTTAACACTGAGTTCTTTGGGTGTGTTTGTGGGTTCTGCAGACGACCCCTCAGCCACCGGGACCTCTCATTTGCAGTTGCCTTGACAAGGGTAAATGTCTTCTCTGGCAGTTTGTCCCCTATAGGGGGACAAACTCCTTCATGGGAGCATCAGACCAGCAGACAGTGGTCTTGGGCACAGTCCCTTTAAGATGACTCTAGGCCTCTTCTCTTTCCCTGCATGGCCTGTCTGGACCAGGACCAAGGAAAACAGTCACAGGGTTTGCTCTGACAAACCCTGGGAACGTAGGCCATTCCCAACGTGGCCTTCTGAGGTTCTGTCTGCCACGTTTAGTCTTCCAGGCCTGGATTCAGCTCCAGGGAGATGTCAGGGGAGGACTTTTTTTTTTTTTAGACTCTGTACATCTGAAAATATACCCTCACTATTGATAACTTGGTTGGGCGTAGAATTCTAGGTTGGAAATAATTTTCCTCAGCATTTTGAAAGCATTGCTTTTTTTAGGTTTTCTGGTGCCATTGAGAAGTCTAATGCCTTTTTATGTCTGAATCTTTTAACGTGACTTATTTTTTCCACTCCAAAAACTTTTTTTTTTTTTTTTTGAGACATGGTCTCTATTGCCCCAGCTAGAGTACAATGCCATCATCATAGCTCACAGCAACCTCAAACTCCTGGGCTCAAGTGATCCTCCTGCCTCAACCTCCTGAGTACCTGGGACTACAGGCGAGTGCCACCACACCTGACTAACTTTTCTATTTTTTGTAGAGACAGGGTCTCACTCTTGCTTAGGCCAGCCACTCTAAAAGTTTTTAAAATCAATTCTAGTGTTCTAAAATTTTTAATGATATCTCTTGATGCAGGTGTTTTTTTATTTTTTGTTCTGGGTATCTGGTGCTTCCCTTCCATGTTTTTCATTTTTCAGTTTGCGGAAATGTTCTTATATTATTTCTTCTATGGTCTCTTCCTATGTTTTTTCTCTTTTCTTTCTTCTGTAAATTCCTATTGGTTAGATATTGGACTTCCTGGATTGAGCCCCTAGTTTTCTGTGTGTTTGTTTGCTTCTTTCTTTTTCTCCAATTTTCTGCTTATGTCTTCTGTACAAGTAGTATCTTGTACTACTTTCTTGGCGATTTCCTCAATTTTATTTTCCAACAGTGCTGTTTATTTTTCATTCTTAGTTTCTCAGCACTCTTATTGCTCCTTTCTTGGGTGGCTGTCATGATTTTTCTCTCTGGTAATATTAATTCTCGTTGTTTTGAAGTTTTATTTTGCTCCCTGCAATATTCTAGTTCCTCTAATCCTGTTTCCCACTTGTTTTGGTTTACCTCTTTCATGTCAGAGGCTTTTCTTAAATAATTCTCTCTAGGTTCATTCCTCTGTAACATTAAAGCCTTAAAAAAAACAAAACCAGTTGGAAGCTCTGTGCATGTCTGGGACACATCAAGGCATCAGTTTCATTTTTGGGTGATCAGCAGCAAATCTGGTGTCTCACTGAGGAACATGCAAAAGTCGGTATCCACAGGTCTTTGAGGGGAGAGAGAGGGGCGACTCCATTTCTCCAAAGAATATTCTCCCCTTCTCCTGCTTGGAGGGTATAATAAGCCCAGCCAGCATCCTTGGAACTGAGTGCTGTGCCCCTCAGTCCGTAGGTACGACTCTCCTTGACCTTCCATATACCCAGCATGCGGGCTCTGGAGCCTTCCTGGTAAGTGTTTTTGTAGACTCAGTCTCTGCTCTCCTCCTGGGTGAGGTGGTGGTGCTTCCTGGTTTCCTGGAATAGGCAAGAGGAGCTGGGCTCAAGCAGGTCTTTGTGCAGACTCTGAGCCCCCTGCTCCTCCCCATTTCTCACCTACTGCCTGCTCCCACAGCTGCTACCGCTGGTTTCTGAATCTTTCTGGGATTCTGTGGTACAAACCAACTTGCTTCTCCATGTTCCCCCCGCAGGCATTTGGTATTCAGCTCTGTTCTTCTCTTTTACCTCCTTTCCTTCTTCCAGAAATGTATTAGCATTTCTAGTCCAATATTTCTCTTGTGCTTGTGCTTTTTATTATTATCATTCCTTTTCTCTCATGTTTTAAGAAGGATGTATGTTCAATCTACCACACTTGAGCGATTTACTCATTTATTTTTATTAGTAATAAGTATACAGATACACACATATACATATGTATATAGTCAATATAAATATGTTCAAGGAATCCAAAAGATGAATAGTGAAAAATGATCTCCCTTTGTTGTCTTTAGTTCCTTCCCAGAAGCTCTGTCAGGTTGCTTGCGTGTCCTTCCAAAGAAAGTTCACACACACATTCACATAGACACATACAAAGCATGTAAGTAGATAATAATGGGTTGTATCTTAAATAAAGGAAGCAGTGTCTTTGCATACCCCTGGACAATATCCAAAGACACAAGTCTTTTTGTTGTCAGAGTTCAGGTTCCATGGCAGGTGGTGGATATTTTCAAGGGGCATTGCAGGTAACCCATGTGGTCGGCTGCCTACTGTGGGTGTATGGAGGGGGCCAGCTGTGGGTGGCACGTTCTGCTTCCCACTCGGCTTTCTTTTTCATCCCTGCCTTCTCTCTCCTTATGCTTTATCCCCTGTGTTTCTTCCTGTTTCCACCCTTCCCTATCCCTAGATGCATCTTGCACGCTTGTGGCCCCCATGACTGGCCTCAGGACTGAGGAAGCTATCTATCCTGGCTGAGGGACACACCCTCACCTGGGCTCCTCTTTGGCACTCTGCTCAGGTGTGCTCTCAGCCTGCCCCTGGCTGAGTGGCCTTTATCAAGGACAGAACTCAGAGGCACCCCTATATATTTCAGGGGCCAGGTCTAGCTGGAGGTGGGCTACTTGACTTGATGGTGTATGGCAGTGATATCAGCAAGACTCTTCATCCCTACAACAGGGCCTGTGGCTGCCAAACCAGACTTGATCTCTAAACTGGAACGCAGAGCTGCACCCTGGATCAAGGACCCGAATGGGCCAAAGTGGGGGAAAGGTCATCCTCCAGGTGAGTCTAGGCCTCCTGAGTTCTGAAGGCATGTGCAGGGCTCCAGGTGGCTATGGCAAGTCATACAACATTAGTTCAGCTATGCTCGCCCCATACCTGTTGTGCATCTGGTGTCACATGATTCAAGGGTAGCAGTGGGGACAGAGAGCGGGAGAAGAAACCCTTAAGAATTAGCAGCAACTCCTGGGGAGCCAGCCTGACTGTCACTGATAGTGGAGAGGGATTTAAATAGGAGCCACTAATGATCTCTGGAAAGGTGGATCCTAGTCATCTTTGCTTTGCATACAGGGCACTTAATGAATTTGAGGGTATCTTAGCTAATAGAAGACTGCAGAGTTCTGGGCAGCAGAATCTAGCACAATTTCATTTTCTCCAAAGGGAAAAAGAAGACGGTGGCTGTTGGAGAGGTAGACACACAGGCCTTAGCTGTAGACGCTGCACTGCTTCCAGTTCCTTCTGTGGAGACATGCACCTCCTACTGCGGCTCCAGCATCTGCGAAGTAGAAGTAGATGGGCCTAGGAAAATCAAGAGGACTTACAGACCCCGTTCAATTCAGAGGTCGTGGTTTGGGCAGTTCCCATGGTTAGTAATTGACCCAAAAGAGACCAAGCTCTTCTGCTCAGCCTGCAAAGAAAGACCTAGTCTCCATGACAAATCATCTCGTTTAGTCAGAGGTTACACTGGGCCTTTTAAAGTGGAGACTTTAAAATACCATGAAGTCAGCAAAGCACACAGGCTTTGTGTCAACACTGTTGAAATCAAAGACGACAACCCCCAAACTGCCCTCGTCCCAGAGATCTCCAGTGACCTCATGGCGAACATGGAGCACTTTTTCCATGCTGCCTACTCCATCGCATACCACTCAAGGCCCCTGAATGACTTTGAGAAAATCCTGCAGCTCCTCCAAAGCACTGGGACCGTGATTTTAGGCAAGTACCGCAACCGCACCGCATGCACTCAGTTCATCAAGTACATCTCCGAGACGCTGAAGAAGCAGATCCTCGACGATGTCCGGAACTCCCCCTGTGTGAGCGTCTTGTTGGACAGCTCCACCGACGCCTCTGACCAGGCCTGCGTGGGGATTTATGTCCGCTACCTGAAGCAGATGGAGGTGAAGGAGTCATACATCACCCTGGCCCCGCTTTACAGCGAGACGGCGGACGGATACTTTGAGACCATCATTTCTGCCCTGGATGAGCTGGACATCCCTTTCCGGAAGCCTGGCTGGGTGGTGGGCCTGGGAACAGATGGCTCGGCCATGCTGAGCTGCAGAGGAGGCCTTGTGGACAAGTTCCAGGAGGTTATCCCCCAGCTGCTGCCGGTCCACTGTGTGGCCCACCGGCTGCACCTGGCCGTGGTGGATGCGTGTGGGAACATCGACCTGGTGAGGAAGTGCGACCGGCACATCCGTACCGTCTTCAAGTTTTATCAGTCCTCAAACAAGAGGCTGAACGAGCTGCAGGAAAGTGCAGCTCCACTGGAGCAGGAGATCACCCGCCTGAAGGACCTGAACGCTGTCAGGTGGGTGGCCAGTAAGAGGCGCACGCTGAACGCACTCCTCCTGAACTGGCCGGCACTCACTCGGCACCTCCAGAGCGTGGCAGAGGCCGGGGGGCAGGTTGGGAACAGGGCCAGGGGCATGCTGAAGCTGCTGAAGGGCTTCCACTTCGTCAAGTTCTGCCACTTCCTTTTGGACTTCCTGAGCATCTACAGGCCCCTGTCTGAGGTGTGCCAGAAGGAGATCGTGCTGGTTACAGAGGTGAACGCCACGCTGGGCGGGGCCTACGGAGCACTGAAGACCCTCCGTCACCAGGCGGGGCCCAAAGAGGAAGAGTTCAATGCCAGCTTCAAGGATGGGTGGCTCCATGGCATCTTCTTGGACAGACCAGAGCTGGCAGAACAGCGGTTCCAGGCAGATAGGGAGAAAACAATCCTGACTGGGATTGAGTACCTCCAGCAGAGGTTTGACACAGACCGTCCCCCGCAGCTCAAGAACATGGAGGTGTTTGACACCATGGCCTGGCCCAGTGGGATTGAACTTGCCACTTTTGGGAACCATGATATTCTCACGCTTGCCAGGTATTTTGAGCTCTCTCTCCCTGCAGGATACAGTGAGGAAGCTCTGCTGGAGGAGTGGCTGGGCCTGAAGGCCATCACCCAGAACCTCCCGTTCTCCATGCTGTGTAAAAACGCCCTGGCCCAGCACTACCGCTTCCCCTTGCTGAGCAAGCTCATGGCTGTGGTGGTCTGTGTGCCCATCTCCACCTCCTGCTGCCAGCGGGGGTTTAAGGCCATGAACCGCATCAGGACCGATGAGAGGACCAAGCTCTCCAATGAGGTGCTCAACATGCTCATGATGACAGCTGTGAATGGCGTGGCAGTCACAGAGTACGACCCCCAGCCTGCGATCCAGCACTGGTACCTGACCTCCTCAGGCCGACGTTTCAGCCACGTCTATGCCTGTGCCCAGGTGCCAGCCCGCTCCCGTGAGAGTAAGTACACATGGCAGAGTTCCTGGATGTGGGAAAACAAAGTGAGACACTCTTGTCTTCCCAGTCCCATGCTGAGCCAGAGATCTCATCTAGTCAGCCAGCAAGATAGGCTTGATCTGCAGTGTTTGTGGAGGTCCCGTAGTGTGCCCAGCCGTTTGCTCAGCCAGTGTGACCTCGATACCTACCCTCCAGGAGCCTGTGACCCAGCTAGAGAGAAGAGACACACACACTCCAGGCCAGCAGGGCATAGTATGGAGAGTGCAGACTCCTGGAGCTTGTCTGCCCAGGCTCAATGCTGGCTCTGCCCCTAACTCGCTGTGTGGCCTTGGGCAAGTCAGTCTCTTTGTGCTTTGGTTTTTCTTTCTTTCTTTTTTTTTTTTTTTTTTGAGACAGAGTCTCACTCTGTTGCCCGGGCTAGAGTGCCGTGGCATCAGCCTAGCTTACAGCAACCTTAAACTCCTGGGCTCAAGCAATCCTTCTGTCTCAGCCTCCCAAGTAGCTGGGACTACAGGCATGCGCCACCATGCCTAGCTAATTTTTTCTATATATTTTTAGTTGGCCAATTAATTTCTTTCTATTTTTTTTTTAGTAGAGATGGGGTCTCACTCTTGCTTAGGCTGGTTTCAAACTCCTGACCTTGAACGATGCTCCCGCCTCACCCTCCCAGTGCTAGGATTACAGGCGTGAGCCACCAGGCCCAGCCTGTGCTTTGGTTTTTCATCTACCAATGAGTTAATATACGTAAAGCACTCAGAACAATGTCTGGCAAATAGAGCAAATGGCACTATGTAAAGGTTAAGACCACCACTGGCAATAACTAGAAGGCTGGCCAGGCTGGGGCAGCGCCATCACGTTCTAAGTGGGGCAGTGTGGACTCTGGGCCATGCAGGGATTTTCAAGAGAAGAAAGGTCAGCGCGGGTCAGCTGTGGAGGAGGTAGCCGTGCAGGAGGGCCGGGCGTTCAGGCCGGAGTCGCAGAGCAGGGAGAGCAGAAGCAGCGGGCGGGGCGGGAGGGCTGGATCAGGGACTCACTTGAGGGGAAGTTACATCAGAAGGGAGGGCAAGTTGCCGAAAGCCAGAAACAAGTTTTCTCTCTTCAAGTAGTCACTGAAAACCAAAGAAAACACACGAGGCACTGGGGTTCTTCACTTGACAGAGGCGGAGCAGTGGTTTCTGTTTTGGCATCTTCTTCTGGCTGGCCTCCTTCCTGCTGCTTCCACGCCTGTTTCTTTCCTCCAATCCTGCAGTCGTCAGCAGTGGGGCTGGGTCTCAGGGCTGACAGAGGCTTTGTAAGAAGCAGGGTGGCCCTGGAGACACAGCTGGGCTGATGGGGTGAAGAAAAGAGGCAGGGAGAGCCCAGAGGGAGGGTGCGGTGACTATCACCTGCTCCCTTATTAAGTGCATTGTTCCCGGTGTCCAGCCCTGTGGGGAGAGGAAGATGACGGCAGCTATGCCCTTGTTCTCTCCATAGGGACAGTGGGATGTCCCTATGGAGGAGCGTTATCACTTTATATGATAATGCCCCTCGTTCCCAGGCAGGGGCTCTCAGCCGTGACACTGTTGACACTGGGCCTGGGTGTTTCTTGGTCAGAGTCCTCCTGGGCATCGTAGGAACTTTAGCAGCATCCCTGACCTCTCCCTGTTAGATACCTGGTGCATACCAGTAACCCCTCCCCATTTGCGACAATCAAAAACATCTCCAGACATGGCCCCCAGGACAGACATATGGCCCCTGGCGGGCAGAGTTGCCCCAGTTGAGATTTGCTGTCCGAGGTAAAAGAACAGCAGAGTAGAAACGCACAGGGGCTTGAAGAGCAATCCCAGCCCCATCTGCCATCTGTTCTGCCACGTTGTCTTCATGGACATGGAAAGGGCCATCGTGGAAGGGGCCATCAGGTGGTGGGTCTAATTGCCATTCTCCTTCCTCCCTCACAGGTGCGGGGCTCAGGAAGGAGGAGCTGGGCACCCTCTGCGTAGAGGGGTCTGGGACCCAGCAGCCGCCCATCCTGCCCTCCAGGGAGGCAGTGGAGGTTCAGAAGGATTGCATCACGGGGCCTTCCGGGAGACTCCTGCACCCCAGCGCCAGCCAGGGGGCCCCTGGCATGTCCTGAGGGAGAGGGATCCTTGCCTTGGAGATGCCCCTGTGGTCATGGGGACAGCTGTCTGCAGATGCTAGGCTGCCCTAGAGTCTTCCTTCCATGGGGACGCTCTCTAAGCACCAGAAAGTGGGCAGTGACGGGGTAGTCCAAGGTCACATCCCAGAGAGGCAAGGGAGGTGCACAGCCCATTTTCTGAGGCCCCTCCAACCACAGCAGTGCCTCACAGCACATAAATGTGCTAAAAGGTTCTTATCTCAAGTTCATTTTTAAGGTGCTCCAGGAAATAATCCCATCATGAAAGATTCCACCCCCTGTTCTGGTGGCGAGAGGACTTTTCTGAAGTGGGAGAAACTATTGAGGTAGGGATTTAATGCAGCACCCTGCCCTCCGGACAGCCCTGGGGAGCATTCTGGGGAGGCTGCCCACAGCCTTAGTGGCAAGGGGGAAAGGCCACTTTGTTACGGGTAGAAGACAGCCCCGTTCTAGGGGCAGCTGGCCTGGCTGCAAGAGCTCCGAGGAATCATTGTTCTGGGGCCTCTCGCCCTGGCTCCTGCAGCCTCGGTGGGGAACTTGCATCAGAGAATTCCTCTACCTCCCCCCAGGGCTTCCTTTAGGACCAAACAAACACAAACCCTTTGTGGAGAGCACTCAGGAGAGCTTCATTCTCGAAGCTCCTGGCCCGGGCAGCAGTGCACTCTGTGCGGAGCCAGGTGCTTCCCACGCTGGAGCACGGTCTGGCCCACAACACACGAACCCGCGTCCCTCAGGAGTGGCTGGGCCCACGCTGGAGTTGGGAGGCTTGGGTTGCAGCCCCCGTTCTGCTGCAGGAAGTGGGTTAACTGTGATTAATCCCTTCCTCTTTTCTGTGCCTCAGTTTCCCTCTTCCATGGAGTGGCAGCAGAGAATCCAAGTGCCTGCTGACTCCCCGTCTGCCATAGGATTAGTGAATGAGAGAGCCTCGAGCTCCTTGAGAGAAAGACTCCGGCCTGCACAGTGTGGACTTAGCGCCTTCAGCCCCTGTCCTCATCCTTAGTGGGACAGGTATGAATTTGCCTCCAAAGCCCTTATTGTGGTAAGAGGCGCTCTCCAGATGTACCATCTGCATGACAGCCTAGTCCACTCTTCTCCAAGTGGCGCCAGGGCCTCCGCATTGGAATCGCTAGGGCGCCACCCAGACGTGCTGACCCAGATCCCGGCACTGGGCTCAGTGACTGGGGGTTTCTAACAAGCTCCCCCAGGAGCCGTGGGCACACTCTAGCCTAAGAACCAGCGCCCTGGGCACAGAAGGGTGTCTGGTACTACCACGTTCCCAGTCCCCTTTACCCGCTCTTCCCATCCCGCCTAAAGTGAAGCACTTTTCCTTCTAGGGGTTGCTCAGGAAGTTGCTTCCTGGGACAGGATGATTTTGTCTAGGTTTCTCTGCCCCTGCCTCACACTTGTTTTAAATAGACGGCAAGGAGCCATCCCGACCTACCTGGCTGCTGGTCTCCAGGCGGGTCCCTGCCCTGCGCTGCAAGCCCATGCGATCAGGCCTCTTAACCAGCAGTCTTCCCCTTCCCATCCCCAGAAGGTGCTGGAAGCCCCTGGGATGCTGGCATCCAAGCACGTCCCCATTATTGCAGATACCCTGGTTCTGACACCCCCTTTCCATCCCCCTACCCTTAGTACTTAGCCTGAGCACCATTGCCCACCTGTTTTTCTCAGCTCTAGTCAGGAATTGCTTTCTCACTTCTGCCTTTCACCTGTAGAAATGTCTCCCAGCTGGAGGGGTCTTGGGGGTCGGAAGGGCACCACATCCTGCAAGCTGGAGCTCTGGGAGGTGTTGCTGTCTACATGGCCTCAGACTTGGGAATTTGCCCCTGGTCAGGTTCCATGGGTGTGGATGAGCAGAATGGGATAGAGAAAGGCCTTTAAAAGTGGGGGCTACAGCCTCCTCCTCCCAGAGGGATTCCAAATTGAGGCTATGTTCCAGCAAACACCCTTCCCGTGGTGTGGCCTCTTCGTCCTTTGAGAAGCCCTCAGAGCAGAAGGCCAGTGCTGTGGGCGACCCTGTTGCTCCCAGTTCTGGAGCTGAGGTGGGAGCCAGGGATGTGCCCTCCCCTCTCCACGTCAGTGTGTTCTGAGGACCCATCCCATGCCTTCCTCAGGTTGTGGAAAAGTGGGTCCCTTTGGAGCTATTTATTATAGGTGTTTGCGCTACCCAGTTTCTCGAGAGGCCTGGGTCTGCTCCAGTTCCTCTGTCAGCTAAAGGCAAAGAAGGAAGACAGCTGACATTTTGGTTCAGGACCCCAGTGTGGAAACACTGTCAGCCCCGCTGCCCAGGCTGGCCTCTGCTTTGTTTAGACAGAGGCTGGCTGTGTTTTAGACCCTTGTTGGGGAAGTTTCCTGTTTTTGCCCCACAAGAAGACAAGCTGCAGAGCACTGGGAGTAGAAGGAGCAAGCAACATCCCTGGCCAGGTGCCGGCCATTGTACCCCCTGCCCTCCGCCTGTCGTCGTGCTGGCATCTCCACGTGCACGTCCTGGCGTCACTCCTGCCCTTTCCCTGATGACTGATGCCCACTGGGTCTGACATTCCAAGTAACCAGCATATAACTGATAGTTGATTCCAATAGCCATAGACTCCGGGTGGGAGTGCGGATCTCAGCCGCCTGTCCTGGCCAGGTACCTTAGAGAGTGTGACCACGCTCCAGACCTTTGCTTCTTTCTCCTGCAAAGGGGGAGTTCCTAGGGTGCTAAGTACTTATCAGGCCAGTGTTGGGGGCCAGTTCCCTCATATAGGTGTCTGCTTAGCCAAAACACTAAGGGTGACTGGCCCAGGGCCTTCCTCCCTCCTCCGGTTTCAAAGATCTGCAAACGAGGTTTAATAAAAACCATGTTTGATTCCTAACCTTTTGCTATCTGAATAAAGCCAAGTTTATTTCAACAAATTTATCTGTCCTGTACGTCCCTAAGCAAGACCCAGGAAATTAGAACTGATAAAAGCTAACTAGATCTTCCCTTTCTTAAGAGGAGACAAGACCAAGAACAGGGATGGGCAGAGGAAGTATGTGTATTACACCTTTGTTTTTGTCTTTTGGTTTTCTTTCCTCTGTGGTCCTTGAAAGTGAGCTAAATTTGTTTCACCAGTGAGAGTTAGAAGGTAAGATTGTTTGGTCAGAGTTGTAAATAACTACTTCACTGCCTTACTTTTTTTGTTATTTTTTTGAGACAGGGTCTTGCTCTGTCACCTAGGCTGGTGTGCAGTGGCACGATCATAGCTCACTGCAACCTCGAACTCCCAGGCTCTAGCAATCCTCCTGCCTCAGCTTCCTGAATAGCTAGGACTATAGTGCCACCACACTCAGCTACGTTTTAAAATTTTCTGTAGAGATGAGGTTCTGTCTGTGTTGCCCAGGCTGGTCTCAAACTCCTAGCCTCAAGCAATTCTCCTGCCTTGGCCTCCCACAGGATTACAGGCGTGAGCCACCATGCCTGGCCCTCACTTTTATTTAGCACTTCAAAGTTTACAAAGTGCCTTCACTTAACATTATCTTCATTTGGTTTGCTGGGAATAAAAAAGCCAGACTTTCAAGGAAAAAGCATATATTTCCACCAGTAGTAAAAGCTTCTGTGTCAGACCCGTCACTCCACAGAGCTCCTTAAGGCCCAGCTCTTAGGATCCCTTCTGGAGCCAGCTCAGCAAGCCCAATGCCTCCGCATCCTTGGGGCGGCCTCACTCCGACAGGACCACAGCAAATTGGCAGAGACTCAGGGTGCAACTGGATCTCTTTGGCTGAGGAGACTCAGTCTTACATGAGTGTGTGTCTTTTCTTAAAAAGACATTAAAACAGGCCGGGTGTGGTGGCTCATGCCTGTAATCCTAGCACTTTGGGAGGCCGAGGCGGGCGGATTGCTCAAGGTCAGGAGTTCGAAACCAGCCTGAGCGAGACCCTGTCTCTACCAAAAATAGAAATAAATTAATTGACCAACTAAAAATATATATACAAAAAATTAGCCGGGCATGGTGGCGCATGCCTGTAGTCCCAGCTACTCGGGAGGCTGAGGCAGTAGGATCGCTGAGCCCCGGAGATTGAGGTTGCTGTGAGCCAGGCTGACGCCACGGCACTCACTCTAGCCTGGGCAACAAAGTGAGACTCTGTCTTAAAAAAAAAAAAAAAAAAAAAAGACATTAAAACAACCCACTGAAGCAGGGGCATAGGTAGCATTGCTTTAGGCTTAGGACTCGGAAATCAGTAGTCAGAACTCCCTGAACTGGCTTCCATCCAGCAAAGACCTGGGCTTGACCCCTCAGTAAGGGTGGAGGCAGAGTCTCCCTGCCCCCCTTGCTGGGGTTGCCTTGCAGCAGATGGATTTCACTGCGGGCCGCATGATGCCAGCAGCCTCCACTCTCAGGTTGGGTGCTGCTTTTTCCTAGCAGGGTAGACAGTCAGGGAGGCAGCTCCTGGGGTAGCCTCTTCCATCACGCTGGTTGGAGATGAAAGGAGAGAAGTACGCTAAGGCCCTGGGAGGTGTTGTAGCCCTGCCTTTCTGTTTCCCAAGAGTGCTCGTGACATCCAAGAGCAGTTACCAGGCATTTCTGAGTGGGCTGCCCCTCGAGATACCCAGCCCCCGTTGCTCAGGACGCTTAGGCAGGGCCTTGTCTGTGGGTCTTCTCTTGGGTCAGTATGATCCTTGCATCCTGGAAGCCTTTCCTGTACCAGCGAAAGGTGGGCTTCTCATGTGGCCCGGCCCCTGCTCTGATGGCTCTGCAGGTGCCGCCTCTGACTGCAGTGCTTGCAGCACTCGGCACCTGCACGGCCACTGCTCACCTGTGCACCCACAGATTTTGAACCTTTTGCTACAGTCAGGATAGTGCCAGGGGCCCTGTGTGGATGTGCTTCTGGCTGAAGCCTCTGGCATTCACTACAACAGCAGGGCTCTGCAGTGTTGTGGCTGGGGGTGGGGGATAAACATCAGTTGGGGGTGGAAGCACTGACTACCCTCCGGGCAGGAAAGGGCCTGTGGGCAGTGTGAGTTTGCAAGTGTTTCTCAGTTCTGGGCCACGCATAGCCTTTTTGGCATCCAGGAGAGACTGTCTCTGCTTTTGGTTGCACACCCGAAAGAACAGCCCCTCCCACATCCCCAGGGAGGTCTTCCCAGGCTGTCCGAGGTCCCCTTGGCAGAAAGCCTTTGGGTTCTGGTTCTCTCACCCATGCACCACGAGGACTTAGGCAAGTTACTAATACTTAATTCCCTGGGCCTTAGTTTTATCACCTGTAATGTGAATGGATTACTTGATACAGCCTGTAAGATCCCTTTCAGCTAAAAACAGAGTTCAATGAAATGAGTACGTGGTACTGTGGAACTATATTTCGGGGAGCCATTTCATCACGTAAACAGTTCACCCCTGGAAATGGAGCACCAGCCCAGAGGCGCCCACTTCATCAGGCCACCGTCCAAGGAACAGCTGGAGCTTGTGGGCCCAGATGAGGCTTCAGTGGCTGGAGCAGGAGCCAGTTCATGGCTTTGATTCCTTGATGGACCTCAGACTATTACAAAGGTGCCAAATAGATGACAGTAGCAATCAAATGCAAATTAGGACAGAAATGAAACATCAGACCATTTGAGGAAAGAAAGTAGAAGCTACAGGCACCTAAAATGAGCTGGCCGTTTAGACTGAGCACTTCCTTGGTTCTAGCCAAAGCTGAGGCAAAGAAGGAGATATGTTTCACTATACAGTTTTTATACAGAGAATGTTTTTTTCTTCACAATATCTGGGGAAGTAGATCTTTTTTGAGCTTACAGAGAGATGAACTTTAGTGGTGATTTTGTTTGTTTGTTTGTTTGTTTGTTTGTTTTTTAAGACAGAGTCTCTGTTGCTCAGGCTAGAGTGCCGTGGCGTCAGCCCAGCTCACAGCAACCACATACTCCTGTGCTCAAGCAATCCTGCCTCTGCCTCCCGAGTAGCTGGGCCTACAGGCATGCGCCACCATGCCCAGCTAATTTTTTCTATATATATTTTTAGTTGGCCAGTTAAGTTCTTTCTATTTTTAGTAGAGACGGGGTCTTGCTCTTGTTCAGGCTGGTTTTGAACTCCTGACCTTGAGCGATCCTCCTACCTCAGCCTCCCAGAGGGCTAGTATTGGGAATGAGCCACTTCGCCTGGCCTAGTGGTGATTTTTTGAAAGACTGTATGGACCATCCTGTTTTACAGTATCCCATGGGTACTGAGCGCACCCTTATCCTGAGCCACTGTTCTCAACAGTGCATACTCCATGAGAATCCTAACCATTCTTTACAATCCAGCTAAAATCTCACCTCCTCTAGGGAGCCTTCCCTGATTTCTCCATCCTCTGAATTCTCATAATGGGTGTTGGCTATTCTGATCACAGGGCTTTTAGGCCAGTCTGGCCAGCATTATGGTTTTACCAGAATGTATCACTCCTCACCCAACTTAACAACTCCTAGAAGGCTAGGGTGGTATTTTATACCTGACATCTTTGTGTATCTCCCCCATCCAACTTGCATGAGCATTGAAAGGATGGGTAAAGAGGTCTCAACTGGAGAGCAGGGAGAGGCTGATGTGACCAGTTCCTGCTTTGGGAAAACAGCTGTGAAGACACAGGGCTGGCAGGGGTCGGTGCGGGGACAGGCACATCTTCCTTTGGCATCACGTAAGGATTGCACCCAGTCCCAAGTCACGAAACCATCGAAGCCGGGAATATATGCGGCAGGCTGCTGGGGGCAGCACCTTGCTGCTAGAGGTGCCTCCGGAAGCCACTGATCCCTACAAAAGAAGGGATCTCTACAGAAGATAGAGAATATTGATCTCCATGGAAAAAGGGATTTTTTTTCCATGGGGCCAGCACAAGGGCTCATGCCCATAATCCCAGCATTTTGGGAGGCTGAGGTGGAAAAAAAAGAAAGAGAAGGAGGGGAGGGGAGAGGGAGGGGAGGGGAGGAGACGGGAGTGGGAGGGAGGGAGGAGGGAGGGAAGGAAGGGAAGGAAGGGAAGGAAGAAGGGAAGAAGAAGGGAAGGAAGGGAAGGGAAGGGAAGGAAGAGGAAGGAAGGAAGGAAGAAGGGCAGGAGGAAGGAAGGGAACGGAGGGAAGGGCGTGGTGGCTCACGCCTGTAATCCTAGCTCTCTGGGAGGCCTGTAATCCTAGCTCTCTGGGAGGCCGAGGCGGGCGGATTGTCAAGGTCAGGAGTTCAAAACCAGCCTGAGCAAGAACGAAGACCCTGTCTCTACTATAAATAGAAAGAAATTAATTGGCCAACTGATATGTATATAAAAAAATTAGCCGGGCATGTGGCGCATCCTGTAGTCCCAGCTACTCGGGAGGCTGAGGCAGGAGGATCTCTCGAGCCCAGGAGTTTGAGGGTTGCTGTGAGCCTAGGCTGACGCCACGGCACTCCACTCTAGCCTGGACAACAAAGCGAGACTCTATCGCAAAAGAAAAGAAAAGAAAAGAAAAGAAAAAGAAAAGAAGAAAGAAGAAGAAAGAAAGAAAGAAAGAAAGAAAGAAAGAAAGGAAAGAAAGAAAGAAGAAGAGGAAAAAAGAAAGAAGAAAAAGGAAAGAAAGAGGAAAGGAAAGAAGGAAGGAAGGAGGGAGGGAGGGAGGGAAGGAGAAGAGAAGAAAAGAGAAAAGAAAGAAAAAGAAAAGCCCAAGGAGGAAACCAGACTTTGAGGTCTCTCCCAGCCCTGATGGAAGAAACTATCCAGCTTTATTGCGCTAGCTGCTTTCCGTATACGTGCTTCTTTCACTTAATCCTGCAGCAACCTTGTAAGAATTGCCATCTGCATTTTATATTTCATCAAACTGCAGCTATTTATGCAAAGAGTCAGGGATCTAATCCCAAAGCCCCGGTGGATGTGCTATAAATTTATGCCTGGAATATGGGAGCCCGGCTTCCTAGGGACCCATGAGTGACGCCCGGCAGCCGGTTCAAGAGACGCACGCGCATGCGCGGATCGCCCCTGGCGGCGCATCGGCGTCGCGCGTCCTGTTGCGCATGCTCGGATCCCACTGCTTGGACGGGGATCAGCGCACCTGGTGTGTCTGCAGCTCTGTCCTGCATCCCACCCGGGCATCCCGCGCCCGGCCATGACAGCGCACTCCTTCGCCCTCCCGGTCATCATCTTCACCACGTTCTGGGGCCTCATCGGCATCGCCGGGCCCTGGTTCGTGCCGAAGGGACCCAACCGCGGGTAAGGGACGAGCGCAGGCCCTGCCGACCCCTCCCCGGCCCCCTCGCCGGGCTCTCCCCTCCACCCTGGGGCTGCGGCTTCCTGCTCTGCAGAGAGCGCCCGCGCCGGGGGCGCCAGGCGCCCTGACGCCTGCTCCGAGGTTTCTGCACCTGGGCGGCGTTTAGCCAGGGGACAGGCAGGAGGTTGGGGTGAAAGCACAGATGCAGAGGTGAAGGGTAAAGTGACATTGGAGATGATTAAGTGTCACCCGTCCCGCAGCCAGTAAAGGGCACGGATGGGCACTGATGCGATCTCTCCACTTCTTGCCAGCTGCGTGATTGGAGCAAATGTCAAGCCTCAGTTTCTTCTTCTGTAAAATGGGGATGATGACGACCCTGCCTTAGAAGGCTGCTGTGGGCATTATCCGAGATAGTGCATTTAAAACACTTACCAATGCGTGACACTTTGCATGTATTGGGTAATTTTAGCTGATATTATTTTTGGAAGGTTCCCTAGCAGATGTCTGCATGTTCACCAGCTTCTGTTGCACATTGTCTTTAGTTGTAAATACTCTCTTCCCTTAACTACAAGTTCCTAGAGGTCAGAGATTGTCTTATTCTCTATGGTCTACCCAGTGCCCAGCCAGGACTGGCTCAAGCTGCTTAGTAGTGTTGAAAGAGGGATCAAGTGCTACTTTCTCCAGCACCAACTTGAAGTGCTTTAGATGAGAGGTCATAGGCCCTGGTTTGGAATAGGTTTGGCTTCGCCTGGAGTCTGCTTGGACATAGGGGTGTTGCGTTGTTCTTTAAAGATATGCAGGGCTAAGGATCCCACAGCTGCACTTTGTGAACCGTTTTAGTGTCTCACCTCTCCTGCAAATCTTGGTGAGTTCTTTCTTCAGTCTAACTGAAATGTCTCCTGCTGCATTTTAAGCGTCTGTCTCCAGTCTTCTTTGAGTGGACACAAAGTAGTTAGTCCCTTCTCTCTTTATAACAGCTCGCTCAGCTTGAGAAATGGCTTCTGGTCTCCTTGCTTCTTACCCTGTCTTTTGGTCTATTGTTTTCCTCCCCCTTGCCTGATGAAGTTTGAATTCCACGGGCCACTCCCTGGGGGGTTGCCAAAAATGCAGCTCTGTGCAGTGCCCTTCCCCAGCATGTCTGCGTTAAGATGGAGAAATACTGGGTGATGGGGAAGGGAGATGAAGGGAAGAATTTGTAACGTAACTTGGATATGGTTAAGGTTGGCCTTTCCATAAGGTGGCACTTTAAGTTATTTTCCATCTTGCTATTCTTACACTGAGTAGACCTCAGCCTCCTGTGCCCAGGTGGCATCAGGAAGGCCAGTGGGAAAAGAGCTGACAGCAGGGGTCCTTTCTCTGGCCCTGGCAAGGCCTTCTGAGGGTGCTGGTTCCACCTGTCCTGACCTGTGTCCTCCTCTGTTGCAGGGTGATCATCACCATGCTGGTGGCCACCGCCGTCTGCTGTTACCTCTTGTAAGTACCGCTCTCCCCAGCTCAAAACCAGCCGGTTCCTTTCTCCTCCCTTCTTCCTTCTTACGCTAACCTGCTCTGCCCTCTGTCCTGGTAGTGAACACTTCTTGAAAGGCTGAATGCATAAAACACAGGAGTGGAGGCAGCCTGGAATGGCAAAGAAAGCAGGACCCAGAAGTCAGGAACTCCAGGCTCTACTTCTGGCTCTGCCATGTACGTGTTACCTGTGTAACACCCGTGGGCCGCGGTTTTCTCACCTGTGCAGGGAATGAGTTGGCCCAGCTCGGTGCTGCCTGTGCTTGCCTGGGCATCAGTTACTTGAAGAGATTGTTCAAATCCAGCTTTCGGGCCATACCCTACACCCACTAAATCACAACTCTGAAAGTCTGCACTTGGGAATTTGTATTTTGAATGAGTGCCCCCAGGTGGCTGGAATACAGTCAGCTTAGAACCACTAGGGGAGAACAGTAGTCCTCAAACTTGGGAAAGGTACCTGGGGGTTATAGAAAAACATTCCAAGGCATTCAAGTACTTGGACAATGTGAGGGAATCAATTCCCAGGTCCTCAGTGACCATATAGTCTCTTTCTAAAACTGCCATTCACAATAGCCATTCCCTTTTTACAAAAAAATAAATTAAAAAAAGGCTCCCCCCCCCATCCATCCCAATCCTGCTGGGTTACATGGCTCATGTTTAGATCATCCTGCCTGCCTGCCAAGGAAGAGGTAAGTTCAAGTTCTAGTTTCGGGGGAGGACTCTCTCATGGTTAATCAATCCACATTAGTCTGTTATTGGGTATTCAGAATCCAGAACAATCAAAACAGGACAAGTAAAGTGATGAGATTCTGATTTCTTTAAAAGACAACAGATTCTGCTGGGTGCAAGGGCTCATGCCTGTATTCCCAGCAATGCAGGAGGATCACTTGAGCCCAGGAGTTCAAATCTAGCCTGGGCAACATAGCTAGACCTCATCTCTTAATTTTTTATTTTGACACAGAGTCTCACTCTGTTGCCTGGGCTAGAGTGCTGTGGCATCAGCCTAGCTGACAGCAACCTCACATTTCCTGGTTCAAGCAATCCTCTGCCTCAGCCTCCCGAGTAGCTGGGACTACAGGTGTGCGCCACCATGCCCGGCTCATTTTTTCTATATATATTTAGTTGTTCAATTAATTTCTTTCTATTTTTAATAGAGATGGGGGTCTCACTCTTGCTCAGGCTGGTTTTGAACTCCTGACCTTGAACGATCCTCCCGCCTTGGCATCCCAGAGTGCTAGGATTACAGGCGTGAGCCACCAAGCCCGGCCTAGATCCCATCTCTTAAAAAAAAAAAAAAGTAACAGATTGTTTTAAAGGCAACTGGAATATTTCCCAGGACTGCAACATTTTTTAAAATACAAAGGGTGAAACCACCTTTTTTTTTTCTTTTGAGATAGGGTCTTGCTCTGTCATCCTAGCTATAGGAACTTGGCTGCTTTACTTTTTTTTTTTTTTTTTTTTGAGACAGGGTCTCTCTCTGTTGCCCAGGCTGGAGTGCAGTGGCGTGACCATAGCTCACTGCAACCTGGGCTCAAGCAATCCTCCTGCCTCAGCCTCCTGAGTAGCTGGAACTACAGGCATGCGCCACCACCCTGGCTAATTATTTTTTTGTAGAGACAGGGGCCTCACCATGGTGCCCATGTGGTCTTGATCTCAGCCTCAAGCAAAATACTGGGATTACAGGTGCGAGTCATCACACCTGGCCTATTTTATGTAATATTTACTATTTCCTACTTCTTACTAACAAAAAATAAATCTTGTTAAAAATAATAATTAGATGTTAACTTAAATACATGGGGACATGTGGTTTTTTCAGAATTCTCCTTGGACAGAACATCTCTAAGGCCCATTCTCTAAAGCTGTTTCTCAGTCCTTCAGGGCTTGACAGAGTGCCCTCATCTGCCCCAGGTAGGGCATAGGAGGGGCTCACATCTGATGGCTCAGAGACTAGGACATAAAGGATGGGGGCTGGGAGGGTGGGGGAGGCGGGGCCTACACAAGATGTGGGATAATTGCAAATACAGAATCAACACATGGGAGACGGAAAACAGGCTGCAAATTCAATGCATTCAGGCAGAAAGGTAGGGCCATTTGAAGCAAATGTCGTGCCTAGAAATTATATTTACAAAACACAAACTTGGAGATAACACTGATGTCAAGCAGGTAAGGATTCCTGACGGCTTTCTGGGTGTCAGGCCCCCCACTGGCTGCTGTTGGGGAGAGAGAGGGGAAAGAGATGGATCCTCCCTGCAAAAACAGACAAAGCAGTGTTGGTCTGGTCACATGAGGTGCCCCAAGTCAGACACTTTCAGTCTTTGGGGACCTCCTCCTGTGGCAAATGAGGTTGGAAGGTTTGTCGTGGATGACAGGGCCGGACAGTCACCCAGACGTCCAGCAGCTGATGCCAGCTCCCAGTGAGGTCCCCGGGAAGCTACCTGAAGGACACGGGTGGGCAGGAGGCCCCCTGCTCCTCAGCTCCTCCCAGCCTGGGCTAGTGCCTTCCCCTGGCTCCTAGAAGGAGGTGATTCTAACGTGCCTCCCATCAGGCCCACCCTGTTCTGCCCCTGGAGCCTGGTGACTAGGGAACCTAGACTAGAGATGTCTAAAGGGACAGCTGGCAGCCCCCAGTCTGGGATCTTACAGACATTCTGAAAATCAGATCAAACCAGAACAGAAACCCGCAAGCGCCAGACTGAGCCCTGGTGCCTGCTGGAGTGTAGGTGGTTCCACGTGATCCTTCTTCACTCCTGAGAACACGAGTCCTGCTATCTGCTGGGTCAGTTGCACCCATCCTAGGAGAGAAGAAAAGAGTGTGACTAAGGCCTCCCCCTGGGGCCTAGGGCGGGGTCCCTTCTGTGCCTGGGCTCACCCTCTCTTTGCTGTCCCTGGCAGCTGGCTCATTGCCATCCTGGCTCAGCTGAACCCCCTGTTCGGGCCCCAGCTGAAGAATGAGACCATCTGGTACGTGCGTTTCCTGTGGGAATGACCCGCCGCCACCGCTGCTGGCCCCAGGTACTGGGAGGACAGGGCATGTGGGGCCTGGGCCCCTGTGGGTGGGGAGGAAGGGAGAGGCAAAGATAAAAGCGGGGGGTCTGAGCACTGACTCCCTGCCTGCCTGGCACTGTCCTGGCCACCAGGGATGAGATGGGGACCACAGCCCCACCTTATCCTCACGGTGCTTCCTCCCAAGGCACGTCCAGGCATGGCTCATGTGGGGTTGCTAGGCCACAGGGGGGTGGCAGGTGACACAGGATCTGTTCTGAGTGGACAGAGGGAGGTGAGGGTAAGCCGAGTGACCAGCGCAGGGGCAGGGATGAGGAGGCTGTCAGGGACAGGACGGTGGGGACGGAGTCTCCACAGCAAGGCAGTGACCCTTTGATGTGTTGTGCTTTTCAGGTGTCCCAGCTCTCTGGATGACCCTGGCCTGACTGTCCCTGGTGTCTCTGGCCTGACTGTCCCTCCATCCCTCCTTCCCCCCATAGCTGTGTCCGGGTCCTCCTCATCCCAGCTCCGTCCTGCTGGCACCCTGGACCCACAGCTCCAGGGCCCGCCTGTTCTAGGAAGTACCGCCTTCCCAGCCAGCCCCGGGCCTCGGGAGAGCCCTGAGTGCAGAGCTGGGCTAGGGCCAGGGATATCCTCCGACATTCCCACTGCTCTCGAGCTTTCCCTTCCTCCTAAGTGGATCCTGGCTGAGGAGCTGATGCAGGTGGGATCTTTCTTTTACAAATAGGGCAGAAGCCGGGACTCAGGCCGGCCCAGGGGAGGGCACGCGTCCTTGTAGAGAAAGGAGCATCCAGCCCAGGGTGCTGCGAGCCAGGCGGGGGGTCGGGTGCCGGCCACCAGCTCTGCCACCACCCTGCTGTGAGAAGGAGGATCTCTGTCCTGTCATGCCCAAGGCCTTCTCGAGCTCTGGCATGGAATGGAATTATTCTTTAATTTTCCAACACATGTAGATGTGAAATTTCTGAAAATACTGAAGTAAAGGAGAAACATTCACATTTAAAAAAGCAACGTTATTTGGGTCAAGATTGAAACCTCGATGTTTGGCATTCTTTGTAGTTAGTTATAAAGTCACTTAAGTTGGTTTGCTGGGAAAGTTGTGTCTCAGAATATTCTGTTCACCTTCCCTCCCCACCCCAACCTGGGCCTCCATGTGTAGATAGGGCCCCTCCCTCCCAGCTGAGCATCTGAGGACAGCGGCTGCCCCAGGAGGCCTGGCTTCTGCCTCCCTGGGCTGGGGGCAGGGCAGATTTCGGCTTCGGAACCTCTCACAGCAGGTCTGAGTGCGGGAGCTGGGGTGAGGGGAGGTGTGAGGGGAATGGCACCGTGTGCTCAGGCCTCTGCCCCGATTGCGCCTGGTCTGTGCCGGGGACGGTGGGGCACAGAAGACAGACCCTGGGGACCCCCCGCCTGGCCCTCAGTCCTCAAGGAGAGAGAGCTCAGACATGAGACACTCGCCGAGCTCCCAGCATGGAGGGGTCAGCACTCACCCAGCTTGTCTGGCCCCCAGCTGGTGCCCTGTCCTCACTGCCTCTCAGGGAAGAGAAACCAGCCTCGCTTATTTGTTGGCTACTTTTTGGTCTGCCTTCCCATTCAGCAGGCAGTGTTCTGGCACAGCGGTAGCATGCCGCGTGTCCCGCCCAGATGTCTTGGTTCTGGGTCCCACGACCCCGTTCACACTTGCTTCCCCTCCCGACCTTGGGGCCTTCCCATGAGTGAGGCTGTCTCGTGTGACGTGTACTGAGCACCTGACTCATGTCTAATAAATGATGGTGGTGGAGAGCACAGTGTGTGGTGACAAACCCTAGCCGGCTGCCCCCTCCCGGACCCAATTCCCACTTCCGTGGGGGGTGTAGGGAGCAGGAAGGGCGCAGGCAGCTGCTGCTCTTGGAGCTGCAGTTCGGGGACACAGATGCTAAGGACGACATTTCCCTGCGACCTGGAGGGCGGACGGGCCCTGCTGATCTGCCCGGACTCAGCCCCAGCCCAGGCCCGGCAGGGGGAGGAGGAAGACCGAGGCCTGTTCAAGCGCAGCTTTGCCCGCCTCTCATCTGTGCCCCACATGGCGGCGTGCAGGCTCCGGGCTGTGCAGCAGAGCGGGGCCCCGCGTTTCCTCATCTTCCGAGGGCCAGGATCTGGCTGCTCACTGTCCTGCGTGGGGCGGTGGGGAGTGGGCAGCGGGAACCACAGGGGGGACCAGGCATCCCAACAGCAGGACTAGCTCTAGGGAAGAGCTGAAAGAAGTTCCCTGGGGGCAGGAGAGTGGGGGGAGTTTCCCTAGGGAAGACACCTAGTGGGGAACGAGACCCCTGAGAACCTGGAAGCGGCTGAAGAGCTTGGATTGATCCGAAGGGCAATGGGCGCCTCCAAAGGGTTTAAAGGGGGGGGGCGTGACCTAAGCCAATTTGATTTCTAGAGCTGTCTCTGCAGGCTGCACAACGGGAAGGGAGATTGGGGCAGGCTGTTGTTGGGGACCTAGGTGGAGGCATGTTGCCTTGGGGGAGAAGGAGGGGACCCGGCTGGAGCTGCAGGCATGAACCCAGCTTGTGGCCAGAGCACAGCAGGAGCCTGGGGAGGGGCTGTGGCCACGTGGGGATTCCTTTGTTCCCTGCTGAGTTGGGCGTGTCGGGGCTTCCCTGTGGAGATGTCCAGTGAGTGGTCAGGTGGGTGGGTTGCCCGAGTGAGAGCTGTCAGCATAAGATAACTGAGATCTGAGGAGTGGGCTACTGGAGGGGTTCAGAGTGAGTAAAGCCCGGAATAGGGCCCCGAGGAGTCCCAGCGTTTATCGGGTAGACAGACTGAGTCAGACCCATGGAAGCTGCGGGGAGGTGTCAGCAGGCCGGAGGAGATCCAGGTGAGTATAAGTCCAGAGGAAGAGTGGATCAAGGGGAGAGAATGGTCCAGGGTATCACAGACCCCAATCGCCCTCCACCCCAAGAAGTCAAGGTCAGCTGGCAGCTTTGGTGACAGGCGGCGACACCAGACTGCAGTGGGCTGAAAGTGAAACAGTGACATCAGGTGGGGTGGGAGAGGATCCCATGGCCCTCTGAAGCCAGACCTAGACAGATGAAAGAACTCTAGGAGGGAAAGAAAGGAGGGACTGTCTGGAAGCCTTCACCCAGGTCCCTGTGGGTCAGGCCTGGGCCTGGGGACCGTTCTTCCTGCTCCTGCCACTGTGACTCTGAAGCCAGGCCCAGCCTGCTGCATGCCCACCACTGGGGCCTCAGGTCTGGGATGCCAAAGATCCCTGTTGGCCCATGGTTGGGGTCAGGGGTCGGGAGTAGGGTGGGTGGATCACAAAGAGTTGCTTCTCCAGCTTGGTCTCTGTTCTCTGGGTTCTTGGCTTCCACGATGTTGGATTGTTGGTGTCTTTAGACACTCCCGGGTGTGTGTCTGTCACTGAGTTCCCACTGAGCCGCCCGGGCAGCAGCCTCTGTCCTGGGAGGGGTGCGGGGAAGCTGCGTCCTGCTCTCCGGGCAGCCTCAGGACTGCACAGGGCCGGCAGCGCCTTCCCAAGCAGGTGGCCTTTGCCTTTCCTCCTGTGCAGTGCTCAGGCCAAGAGGAGGCAGCCAGGAGTCCAGGTCACTCCACCCTTCGCAGGGGCTGGTCTCCCACCCGCCCGGCGAGGACAGTGTTCCTATCAGAGGCGGGAACCTGCAGGGTGAGCGGGATTTGTCAGAGATAAACAAAGCTGGACAATAAAGCTGTGAAGACAGATTGCACTCAGTAACTACTGAGTAGGGAGGAGAGCTGCACTCCACTCAGATGTGTGTGGAGGGGACTGTAGTCGGGGGTCAGGGAGGGGAAATCGGGGGCCCAGGTTGGATCAGGGAAGTGAGAAATGGCGAAGGGCTGGCCAGTGTTGATGTGAGCAGGCCGGCGGTGTCGCCGGCTGGCAGGGGTGGAGGTTAGGGTTCTTTTCCCCCACAGACAGGGAGACAGACCTGATCCTTCTGATGATGATCTTTCAAAGGACTGGCCTTCGGGTTCTTGAGAAAGGCACTTGTGAGTTGTAGGAGAGACATACATATGTATCTCAAATGGTTTAAAATTCTAAGCCTTTTCTAGTAAATGCTCTAATAAATGGGGGGAGGTGGTCACAGGCTTATCGTCAGGTGTTGGCGAGAATAAACAGTAAATTTTTTTGACAGCCTTGAACTTTTTCAGACAGGAAGTCAAAGGGGGACCAGGTGGTCCCAGGAATGCAGCCCTGGGCTTCCAGAAGCCATGCTGGGGTTGGTCCAGTCTCTTGGTGCAGGTCCCGTCTCTTGGTGCAGGGGTTTGGACGTCGTTAGGTACCGAGACTTCTTTTATAGTGCCCAGTTTCAAGCAAGACCCCCCTCCCCCGATGTGGGAGGCACATCAGTAAATGGCAGCCTCTGATACAGGGGCTCAGAGAACCTGCACAGAGCAAAAGATTTCTACAAACGGGCAGTGCCTGGGAGTAGGGTACCCCTGAACCTTACCAAGTGGCAGAGTGGGAGGCGGCCTTGGAGACCACCCTGGGACAGAACGCAAAGCCCACTGAGAGAAGCAAAGGTAGCCGAGGAAACTGCACGCACCGTGTGGCCGACAGAGGGCAGAGTCTGCATGCAGGATTGAAGCCTCCAGAGAGCCCAAGTCCAATTTAAGCAACACCGATGGGAACATACGGTGCCAATGTTAGAGAGTAGTCCTAGGGCAATAGCTTTGAGCATGGAGGAGCAATAATTCTCCTGACAAAAATCATTGCCTGGATGAAATGTCCTTCAAGGATATTTAGTAGTATCAATGGCTAACGTTTATTGAGCAGTTACTAGGTGCCAGGCACTGCTTGGGAAACCAAGTGACAAAGTGGAGGTAACCTGCCAACGTTGCACCCCTCTGATCCCAGGCTTCCCAAACAATCTTCTGTGACTTTTTCCTACTTCAACATCCCTGAGAGATCTGGCACATTCCGATCTATAACAGGGACTCCTGTCATCCTAGATTCCCAGTGGGGAGAGGCGAGAGGGAGGTGCTATTCCTGCTGGCCACAAGGTCACCTCTCCCTGCCGCAGCCCCCAAAGCATAGTGCTCGATTAATTTGGGTTGCTTTGAACAGAAATAGGATCATTGATAATTCTGGAAATGTGAGGAGCCAAATAATCTCCTTGCCTGTTTATAAATCTTGGGGTTTCTGGGAATCAAGCAAGTTGGCAGCTACCACAGTTCTGCTTGACTTGTAACACCAGAAAAGTGAGGGCAGATGACCAAAGTCCTGTGTGAATTCGGGCCACACTCCAGGTTTACAAAGATCAAAGAGAATTTCTCACTGGGGAGATGTTGGTTAAAGGATACAAAATTTCAGTTAGACAAGAGGAACAAGTTCATAGATCTAGTATATTAACATGGCAACTTAGTTAATGACAATGTGTAATGTACACTTGAAGTGTATGAGAGTAGATTTTAAGTGTTCTCACCACAAAAAAATGAAAAGTGTGTCAGGTGATACACATGTTAATTAGCTGGATTTAGCCATTCCACATATTTCAAAACATCTCGTGTATACCATAAAATACATACGATTTTTATTTGTCGATTTAAAAAAAAAATAACTTTTAAAGAAAGAATCCCTCAAAACAAAACAACCCTTAGAATACTGGGACCAAAGCCCGGGCTGTTACGACAGAGTGCCGGATGGAGCCAGACCGGACTTGGGCAAGCTTTCCCGCGGGGCCCACGCAGGCAGGCCCACGCGGGCTGGAGGCCGGGGCTTTAGGGTCACGCCGCAGACTCAGCCTGCAGTGCTGTTTCTCCGTGTGGAACAATAACCTGGAATGCTTGAAAATGCAGCTTCCGGGCCCCACACCACACCCTGCTGGATTAGCACCTCACCGATGGGACTCTAGACTTCACATGTGAAACCAGATCCCACAGGTCCTTGTGCTAACGGGCCCTCTAGGACAGGGTTTTCAGCCTCGGCACTGCTGACAGGGGGAGATACATCTCTAGTTTTTTGGGGGTGGGGAGTGGGGGAGGGCACCGCCCTGTGCATTGTAGGGTGCTTAGCAGCCGTCCTGCCGTCTCCCCAGATGCTCACAGAACCCCTCTCTCTGCTCCTTGCTGGCACAGCCGTAACTACCTCCAGCCATTTCGAAATGTTCCCCGGGGCCTCCACCTTTGGGAACCGCTACTCTAGAGCCTCAGCCCCTCAGGCGATTTCCAAACTTAGTTGTCAGTGCAGAGCCCCCTGCAAAGGAGGCTGGGAGGCACCGAGGGCAGCTGGGGTCCTGAGCGCCTGTGAGCCTTTCATCCGCGTTGGCAGCAGGGCCTGGAGCTTCTGACCCCGAGACCGCGCCCAGCAGGTTTCTGGGATCGTGGGGTATCCGGGCGGGCACTGGTCCCAGCGCCCGGCAGTCAGCCAGTGGGCTGGTGCTCTCCAGAGGCCGGCACTGCCCCGAGCCCAGCAGAACCGGAGCTCACCTGGCGGGCGTCTGCCTGAAGGGGGTGGTAGATCTGGTTGGGATATTCCCAGAAACCCTCAGGACCCCTCCTTGGCTCCCTGACTGCAGGATGAAGGGCCATTATGGCAGCCAGGGTCTTCCTCCCTGCTGAATGGTCAGCGATCGTCCCCTGACAAAGGTCTGGGACATATGGGGCAGCGACTGCTCATCTTCTCATTCTGCATCTCCCACAGCAGGAACCCTGGACTCTGAATTACTGCGGATTCTGCAACCTTGGTCAGCTGTGATGTCAGCAGCAATGGCCTTGCCCACGAGCCGCTGCAATCAATTCGGCAAACATATTTCTCGCCTTTTCCCCTG